TTGTAGCTTTTTGGCGACAATGATATATCTTGTAGCATAGATGCGAAGCAAAGATGTAGAGCGAGATTGAATATAGCTGTAACTATGGTAAAACCCGATTATGTCGATATTGAATATACCTATAGAGTTATACCGGTATATATTTGTGCACTACAATACACCAAGAGACCTCTTGTCAATATTGATATAAATGTGACAATGAAAATAATCAAAAAATCTGAAAAGCTTTTATGACCTAACCATTTTTTATAAAGAAAAATCCGGGACTATCGAGACTAATTTGTTCACGTATAAGACTGAATTAGTCACATATATACCGATAATTGTTGATCGAATTTTGTGAATCAGTATAACCAGGTTCTACTGTATAATGCCCGAAAAATTAATTTGGAGAAAGCTGACCCCGTATGGCAATTTGACCTTGACCCTTACTCAAAGGCTGGACTTTGGAGTTTGTTCGAGGCTGCACCGATTATCAACATCACATAGCCTCACCGCCGCTTTCGGGAAGGCAAGGAGATCAGCGTACGAATCGCCCAAGATGGATGCGCTTGTCTCGACCAGATGCTTTCCCCACCCCCGGAAGAACCAGAACGAGTCGAGCCGACGCAACAAAACTCCAAAATAAGCCAGAATGAGAACGGCGAGAGGGGTTCGTTGAGTCAGAAGAATGAGATAGTCTCTGGAAATTAGAGCAGGCCACATAAGTCCAGCTATGATTGGCGACGTCGAGCCTCTGTCTACTGTGACCTCCCTGATAATCTCGAATGAATAAAGAAGCTGTTGAACGGCATCTTGGCAAACCTTAGATGTGTTCGTGCATATGTCGGCCTCGCAGCGAGCAACAAGATCGGATAGAGCACGCAGCTCTGTAACAACGTCGCCGCCAATGTCGGGGTATAAATTTGTAGGCGGACCACTCCGTATGGTAGCGTAGAGTTCATCACAAAAGATGTTTTCCTGCCACAAACTATGCAAGCCAACCATGCCCCTGACCAAGTTGGCGCAAGCCAAGAAATCATCAATGCCGCGACTGCCCTTGTTTGACTCGGGTAAGTTTCCATCTGCGCGAATAAAGCAAAATCCAGACATGGCCAGAAAGGCTGAGAACAAGAAGGCGGCGCGTTGACTTTCTGGCGAAATGTCGCCGGTGTTTATGAGACGCCGGTACTCTACCAGTGCCGCATTTTGGTGGTGGGCAGCCTCCGCCACCAGAACTTGAGGGTTTTCGCACCCATCAAGGGCAATATGTAAAGCAGATAGAGAAAGAATCCCGCGAAGGAGAAAATCATTTCGCATGGCTATCTGTACGACGGATGTCTGCCATACTTTCTGCTGTGGAATAATAGTGCTGAGAGAGTCATAAACATTGATCGTGTAGTGGTGAAGAAGTTTGAGGGCTTCAATGTTATATGCTTGTGGCATGTGAAATGGTGATAAGGGGGCACCAGGTGATGATACTATGGCTTGGGAATGAGTACCAGACATCTGCTGTGAACTCTCTCTCGTGGAGGTGGAAGGTAGTGGTTTTTTCTCCCACAGATATGTGCAGGTGATCCAGCGATCATGACAGTTCCCACAATTGGGACGACGTTCATCACACTTATTGATCGTGTTAGATATGGATATTGTGGCAAACTGCGCTGCGTAACTCATGATTACATACCTTTAGGTGCTTCTGTTTGCAGGCGGTGCATCCCTTCCGCGACTTCTTATGAGGCCGTCTAGTGGCCATAGGAGCAAAGCAACAGAATGGCCATGAAATTCAATGACTAATTACAATACTTGCATCGAGCAAGCTAGGAAATCAAGTATTGGACGAAAGAGCGACAAAATGTGTGGGGGTAGATGTACGGATGTTGACGGCGTAAGTACTGTGAAACACACCAAAAGGCGACCGAGCTTTTCCCCATTTTTATTAGTTTGGCCAATCATCACACTAGCCTTAGTTCAAGGCTAGCTTGGATTAAGCGATTATTATTATATAAGAATTAAAGATATTCCTTGAGAATCTCTTTCCTCTTTAGCTTTCTTATTGTATTTGATTGACCTCTATCGATATGCTCTAGTATGTGATCGTAACAGGAATTGCATGACAAAGCATTACAATATACGATAACTAAGCCCCTGATCTCTTATATTTCATCGATTTCATCTATCCCTTTCCCTTATAAATTAGATAAGATGAGAATAAAACCAAAGTTTGACTCATTACTTGAATTTTTCTTTTCTTTAAAATTTAAATCATAAATCTTACACCCCTTCCCTTTTCTCTCGCTTTCCCTCCTCCACTTCCTCTTTCTCCTCTGGCTTCTCCTCCCCCTACTCTCCCTTGATCTCTCGCTTCACCTCTCAACCCACCATTGACACTGTATTTCCGTTTAATTCGTACTTCTCGCTCTATTTCCTCGGAAGTGTAATCGGAAGTGGAAGTGGAAGTGCTCGATGATCTGTCCCTGCGTTTGAATTTCCCTCTGCTCGTACTCTTATTCCTTCCTCCATCATCGCGAGCAACATGAGAAACATGAGAGAGATAATATATCCTTTTCCTCTTACTCGTACTCGTACTTCTATCTTCATCTCTACCTCTCAACCTTGCTCTCGACATCGACTTCAACCGTGATAGTGACCCATCTCGAGGAACATCAATTGTTCTTGTTATATATCGAGTTCTTTCTTCAGTGTTCCCTCTTTCTTCTTCTTCTGTTTCTTCTTTTCTTGACTTCGATTTGGATCTGGATCTGGATCGAGATCTGGATCTTCTCGGACCTCGATTTCGATTTCGACTACTGAAATTCTGAGACCTCCCTCTCTGATGGTATATGATGTGGATATCTGAATTTTTCCATTTGGATTTATCTTGACTTTGATCAAGATCAAAATTTCGATCTCGATCTCGATCAAGATCTATATATTCAACGATTCCTTCTGACTTTATTTCTGGCGCTCTTCCTCTCTTCTCTCCTCTCTGTCTTTCTCGTTCTCTCTCTCTCCCGCTCAATCTTGATCTTGAGACTGCATCTCTGATAGGTATTGAATTCGGAGAGATGTAGTTATATTCCAAATCGCTCGCACTCTTTCTGCCCCTCTCACAACTTCTCACATTCCTTTCCCCTCTTCTGCATTGACATCTACCACCATCCCTACACCAACACCTAACGAACCCCTCATAATAAGGCGTAGGTGTTCTATTTCTTACACATCTCCACCCTTCTCTTTCACTTTCTCTCTCTCCTCTTCCCCGCTCTCTTCCTCTACTGCAACTTCGTGCTCTACTCCTCCCCCTTAGCCTCTCGTCCTCCCCACACCTTGCTTCTCCTTCCCTTTCTACGGAAACTCGAACGCCTGTTTCTTTTTTGCCGGCGTGTTGAGGAATGTAGTTGGCGTTTCTATTTTCGATTTCAACATCGGTGAGGTTTTTGATGTGGACTCGGGTCGTTTTGGTTGTGGGGGATAATATTGGTGGTGATGATGGTGATGGCGAAGTGATACGATAGGTGGATCTACTACATTCCTCACATCTCCCATCCCTATCCCTATCCCAATCCCCATCCCCACACCTTATACACTCCATACACCCCCGTCTCACCCATCCCTCCTTACCCCTACTCCTACTCCGACCCCTAGCACCATACAGTCCATACCAATCTTTCCCATTCCCAGAACCCGAAGTACGATATCTAAAATATGGAATGTCCTCTCTGCATGTATATGTATGTCGAATCTTCGGATTTGAAGCCCTGGGAGTGGGAGTCGTATAAGAAATCGATGTTTTTATTTCTTTTTTCGGTTCTTGACTATCCGCTCGACTATATACTTGGCCATATTCTTCATGATAGCTAGGTCTAGATTCAGTTCGAAGAAGCGATACAGAGCGATTTCTTCGGAGACGTGGTGATGGAGATGAACTGGAAGTAAAACATTCCTCCCCCTTCCCTCCTTTTCCAACCTTTCCAATCACATATCGCGGGCGATGAGGAGTGGTATCGATATATATGTACTCATATCTGACTGGAGAAAGAGATGTCATTGGTGATGAGGATGGAAAGTAGTGTCGATTCGAGTCTCGCAATGGAGAGGAAGAAGGAGAGTAATAGCGACGTGTCGAGCGGGTTTTGGTAGTACGGGACATGGTTTTATTGATTGGGAGGGGAATTGAGTTGAGAGTTGAGGATTGTTTGGGGGCTGAATTTGGAGATTTGGCTGTCTTTGATTTGAATCTTGGAGATTTGGATTTTGAGCTTGGGACTTGAGTTTAAGTTTTGGATATGTATGCACATATCTTGCCCTTCCGAAGTGCAAAAATAATCTCCTCTCAGACTATTTTTTATCTTCCACGAACACAAAAGAGAAAAACGAAAGGAATAGAACACGAGACTATGAATCTGCTTCATAACAGAGTGAGATAAAATAGAGAGGAGACAATAGCAGAATAAGAAGAAGAAGAAGAATAAGATTTAATGGTACTTCGCTTGCTGACTTACTACGTAGCTAGGAATAGGTCGATAAATATTCTCAGTGGTCCGATTAGAGGGAGTGAATAATCTCGGATCACAAAGGGGGGTGAGATGAAAGGGGCATTTGATGGTGGTGTGTGAGTGAGTAAGGGGGTAGGTAGTGAGGCTTTTGGTGGTGAGTGTGTGTATGTATATGTGTATACATGCATTCATTTTTCTACATACATATAAACATACAAACCAAATTATTCCTAACGAATATAATATAAAGACAGAAGAAAAAGTCCCAACACCATAACAAACGGAACTATGTCTCGAACATCTACAAACTCCTCCAATGAAACATTCTGGAAATGATGCATATACATCAAAACATACAACACGACGAATCTTCAACAACTTCGTCGCCATGACATCCTATCCTTGACTTTGCCATGAAACCACAATCGCAAATCGCATATTTCAAATCGCACACTTCCATCCTCATCCACATCCCCGTCTCCATCCCCATTCCCATCCCTATCTCCATCACCATCCCATCACCTAAACATTAACTCTCTTCAACTTAACCCACAACTCCGGTTTTTTCCACAACGCATAAATCCTATTCCTCTCCAACCAACTCTCACTATCCCTCGCCCCCTCCAAATCAAATCCCCACACCACATTCCCTAACAAAACCCTCATTTCAGCATACGCCAAATTCTTCCCAATACAATTAGCGGGTCCCACACTAAACGGTTGACGAGCTTTCCTATCATCGCCCTCAAAGATTTTCGGATCAGTAAGTTTCATATCCGGGAACGCGGATTTCAATTCTTCGACATCCGCGGTACCGAGCCATCTCTCAGGATGGAATTCATACGGAAGATGGAAATTTTCCGCAGAAAGTTGGGAGCTTATGAAATTGACACCGACGGATACTCCGGCAGGAACGTATTGACCAGCGACTATACTTCCACCTTCGGGAACTACACGGCCAAGAGTAGATGGGACGGGAGGATACATACGGAGTCCTTCTTCGAGGACGGCGTTGAGGTATTTACAGGAAGCGAGAGCATGGAGACTGAGATCTTCTTGGGTTTGGAAGGTACTTCTTAGTTCGAGAGTGAGGTTTTGAAGAACGGTAGGGGTTCGAAGGAGATAATATGTTACGCCATTGAGAAGAGATGCAGTCTTGGTTGTGTTAGTCAAGTTACAGAAACTTTGAGAAATGGAGGAATAAATACCGTTTCACTACCGGCGATAATCAATATGCTTGCATTTTCTCCAATTTCCTCACGGGTCATTCCTTTTTCCGTATCATTGTGCTTGAGAATATAGCTCGTGAAATCAGGTTTATCCCTCGGTGTATCCAGGCGTCGGTTTGCTTTTTCCCTTCCAAGTTGTCTATGACGTTCAAATCTACCTTTCATACCTCTTGGAATAAAAAAGAACGCAATAGCCCCAAGAATTGGATATTTTCTTGCCTCATTGATCACGGTACCTATTTCCAGGATCTTGAAGATTAAGTCAATCCAATGATGTGTTTCTCCAGTCTTGACACAACCAAAAGGTTCTCCAAATGCGAGATCACCGATCAAATCGAAGGTGGTATAATTATACCATTGACCGATGTTAATATCATTATCTGAAGTGAGAGAAGAAAATTTGATAAGTCCAGAGATGAATTGTCGAGCATAATCTTGAATAAGAGGCTCTTGAGATGTGAGGGCTTTGTCGGAGAAAACGTGTGATTGAAGGCGACGAAATCTTCGATGATCTTCTTCATTTGCGATTATTCTTTAATTAAAACATTAGCTCTTACAGTTCGAGTAACCAGTGCGGTAGAATGATGACTCACATATTACTACCTTGATTCTTCTGAACACCCCGTTCCTTCAGATCCTTTGGGAAGTTCTTTCTGTGATGATCCTTCACAAAACCATAAATGTCTTCCCAGGCGACAGAGGAATTGTAGTCTAGAAAGTTTGGAGCAACTCTAACCGCATCACCATATTGATCATGAAGTTCTTTAATCTTATATGGAAGAACACCTTTTAATTTCCAATATGTCATGGGAATTCTACAAGCCGCCCATAGTTTTGGTCCTGGGTAGGATTTTAGAGGGTGAAAGAATAGGTTATAGATGCAACAACCGAGGAAGTAAAATAGGGATCCTATGGCCACTGCGGCGACAATAATAATGAAATACATTTTGTTTTGATTGAATTGAATTTCCTGGAAATATAGTGTGCTACGGCCATTTTATTCTTCAAGATATCATTAACCTATATACACCACTGACCGATATTATATCGATTATAGCCACTGGTTTCAGCTCAGGATGCGGGGGAGCGGAATTTGTTGAGCCCGGCGGGTTCCCAAAATTTGAAACTCCGTGCCGACCCTCCATTACATTTTGTGAACTCCACATTGCCGATTGACGAATTAGATGTCAAATAAATAAGTCCTTTCGCATGTCGTACTCGACGAGTCATTGTGTGATTAAGTAAGTTGCCGAACGGCATTCAAGTGATTGGAGATAGATTATAGCCGGAAAGGACGCAGCAGAACAGGCAACCACGATAACTGCAACAATGGAGTGATACTGGAAGATGGTTGCGAAGACGCTTGTAATACAACACTCCGTCTCCTGCTGAGGGCGCGTGGCCATGCAAATGCGAAGATTTCACCGGCTTCTTTCAGATCCAGCAGTGATTTATGCATTTAATAATGCAATTTGCCTCAAAAGAATTATGGTGAGCCAACTTTGGCATTCAATAAGCATGATTATGCAGGAGTACTGCATTTCTCCGCTTGAACAGTGGCCAATGAAACAACAAACAAGGAAGGTATATAGGATGATATGAAGATCACTTCATCGTGCATTTCGGCATTGAGAATTGATCCCACCTACCCACGACCATTCATCTGCATCCAATAGTGTTGGGATTTCCCGGGACTGGAGGAGCGAAAATAGATCGATGGTAAATATTCCATCAAACACAAGATATTACCTAGTCTCATATGATTCCTATACATCATACCCTCGTGGCATAAAACTTTTGCGCCTCATCCAATTGTACAGTATAAGCCTGGTATATGCCATGATTTCCTTCCAACGCCGATGCTCATCAAATATGCAGTTTATCATAAATGTTGCGAATTCCAGTTTCCCTGATCATAACTCCATATCCTCATCCTCACTGTCACCATCACCCCCACTTCCAGTACCCTCTTGTTCTTTTTCCCTTCTGGAAACTTCCCTAGAAGCTCCTAATTTTCGTAGTCCATCCATAACACCTGTAATGAATCCTCGTCCCTCACTGACCTCCATTGCGCCAACACCTTGTAGACTGGTGAGCCCACCTCCTTCTACTACTAATGTGCTGCTCCTCATTTTTGCCATCCTCACTTCTCGTAGATCTCTGAGTAATTCCCGAACTTTATCTGGATCTTGTATATCATCACTTGCAGCTTCCAGTAAAATTTCACCCATATCAATCCAATGATATGGTAAATAACCAGGCTCTGAGTCTGCAGTATTCGACGGTAAAAATGGCGGTGATACTGCAGACGATGTGCTATGGTCGAGTGGCGGAGGAGGAGAGAAGCTCTCAGGATTATCGGTCTCCATCTTGAGTATTCTATCGAGGGAATGAGGATGAAGCCATGGTGGTGGTATAATATTGGCACGACGTTGTCGCTTGAGGAGTAGAGCTAGCCACAAAGGTAAGGGAGCACGATGCGGTGGCCGTAGAGAAATTGTCTTGCCCTATAGATACCATATTGATATAAGCTTTGAGTTTTGGTTACTGTTGTTGGAGGGGTAAATGGCGGGGTAGCTTACACCTAATAAATCGAGGCTCTCAAGTCGTTGCCGAGGGACAACTGTGACCATTTCCATTTCACATAGAAATGCAACCTCCATTGGTGTTAAGCCAGGTGGTAAAGGTAAAGCCATATCGAGCTACTTAGGTATGTTACTCTTTTGACTCCACTGAGTTACAAACATACATTGCGATCAAAAGCGGGCGCGCCTCGAGCTTGGAGTGTTTGATGCCTCAGGCACTCAGAACTTTAATTCCATCTCGAAGTCAGCTTGAGGACGACATTACTTTAGGAGATCTTTCTCACCACGTCCACTTCAATTGGAAGATCATAGATATGATTCGTTGCATACTTTCATTCTAATACCCTATCTATACGTTATTTGCCTCTTCAAAAATGACATTTCGATTGATTTTACAACTTCCAAGCATTTTTAATCACGAAGCAAGGGTGCAGCAAGTGCAGCACAAACTGTCATCGGGACATGTCTCAAGATGATCAAGATGCGGCATATTGTTGTTCAAAAGAAGGTTCATCTTATTCTGTATCGCTAGAGTGACCATGGTGTAGTCCTGTCATACATTAGATTCAAGCTGAACCTTTTGTTGTGCAGTAGGACGTAGTTGTGTATGGGCATTTCCAAACCGCTTTCGTCGCTAAGATATTGATAGCTCCACGATCGTACTAGTATCTCACGTAGGACCTTTTTCATTCTCGTGGCAGTTTGAAACCTGATTCGCTTTTTTGTGGGAATTTTCCTCGAGATACTCGCCTCATTTGGATGAGTTTATCTGCATCATGTCGTCCCAGCGGCTTGTTACGTCTATCGTTAAACATTTGATGTCTTTATCACGTTGTATCCGAAAGCTTCCGTAATTAAAAGTTTCAAAGAGCATCTCAAAAATCAAAGCTCTCTTCAACACGCTCGTCTCCGCAAAGAAGATACTCTATTTCATGTGCTTGTTCTTCATAATAATCATAGAATATCGTTGAATTCGCGACTTTTGAAGGTCTATTATTAGTCTTCAACATAATGTGTGTATATCATCAGATTCAAAGACTCAATAGCTACTAAAGATGCAGGTGAAATTCTCGCAGCTTATAAGATCACGCCGAATGATAGATGATCTGTCCGCATACTAATTCACGATTTTTACGTCATGTTTCCCTTTTTCTACAGTGATGTGCGCATGCACTCTGTTGCGTTGCATGTTGCTATGTTGTATAACTTGTTTTGAATCTCATTTTAATGTGGTTGGTTGGCTGAGATCGCATATGTTCACTCAGTGCGCCCCCATGGTATCACTTCATGACATATCAGGAATCTACTAATACTCCATCAAAACCCTATGATACCAGAGATCTCATTTCTTAGCTAAAATTTAATCTTGAACCATTGAGAAACATGTCGACTGCCCTTCACAGGATAAGTTCGGGCGTCTTTGCAGGACTACAATTTTACGATGAGGAAGAAAGAATTTCAGAAGGACACAGTAGAATTAGTTCTAGAGTGCCTGATGGAGTTCAAATTTATAAGGAAGAGAAGACGTCTGAGTCCCATTCTGGAGACTCTATAGCTGCTACAGGATTTGATGATGCTGCAACGAAACAGTTGATTCGGAAGCTTGACATACGTCTCATTCCAATTCTTTCTACTATATATCTGTATAATAATATACCAATTTGTCTAGAATTGCTGATTACTAACACTAGGCAGAGTATGCTTTCTTGATCGTGCCAATGCTGGCAATGCACGACTCGAAGGACTGGAAAAAGACCTTCACATGACCGGCCTCGACTACAATATCGCGTTGTCTGTATTTTTCCCCTTTTACGTTGCAGTTGGCGTTCCTAGCAATATGATAATCAAGAAAGTTTGTCCAAATATATGGTTGACGGGAATTGTATTATTTTGGTCAATTGTTATGGTATGCACGGGCTTGGTGCACGACTACGCAGGCTTTCTAGTTGCCAGATGCTTTTTGGGCATCGCAGAAGGTGGCTTGTATCCAGGTGTAGTTTATTATATCACCATGTGGTATCCTCGAAATGAATGCGGCTTTCGCATAGCATTATTTTTCTCTATGGCAACAGCAGCAGGAGCATTCGGTGGGTTATTCGCCCGTGGAATTTCCGAAATGTCTGGAGTAGGTGGTAAAGATGGATGGTCATGGATATTTATCATCGAAGGGCTTCTTACCTTTTGTGTTGGGTGCATATCATACTGGGCCATCGGGGATTACCCAAATAGGTATATCACAAGTTCCCAGATCATTTTTCATACATGTCGTTGTGTGTGATACTTACGTGAACTTAGTGCAAAATTTCTCTCGGAAACGGAGCGAAAAGAGGTTATGAGACGACTTACGATTGATCGAAACCTTCTCTCTGATGATTGGAATTCAACATACGTCTGGCAAGCTTTAAAAGATTGGAAGATTTATGTCAATATGGTGTTAGGGTTTTGCTTGTCCACGCCTATATATTCATTGTCTTTGTTTTTACCCACAATTGTGAAAGATATGGGATATACCAACAATGCTGCACAGCTCATGACCATTCCCCCTTACGTTGTCGCATGTTTCTTCACGGTCTCTGCCAGCTTTTTTGCCGATAGAATGAAACAGAGAGGCCGTTTTATTCTAGGATTCTTGGCTGTGGGCATAATTGGATCTGCACTACTTGTATCCAGTAATAAGACACCTGTTCAATATACGGGCGCTTTCCTTGCAGCTCTTGGTAAGCAAAGCAGCTTAAACAAATCAAACCACATACTTATAACAATAATTGTGTAGGTGTCTTTCCAACTCTGTCCCTTCTCACCACTTGGGTAGGAAACAATCTAAGTGGGAGTCTAAAGAGAGGAGTCGGTTTCGGTATGGTCGTTGGCTTTGCCAACTTCGGGGGTATCGTAGCAGCTTTTATCTATCGCTCTGTGGATGGTCCTAGGTAAGATTTTATTCCATTTCAGTGCATCAATTCTATTGTCAGTTTCTCGGTTCTCCGATGATTTATCTATACTGACTATTAACTTTAGATTCATCGAAGGACATACAATATTCATCAGTCTATTGTCTTTGGCTTTTGTTCTGACAGCTCTCATGATGATCTTTTACAAAACAGAGAATAATCGTAGGGATGCTAGAGATGCAGAACAAGGCTTAACTGCGGATACCTATACCCCGGAAATGAAGCTTCAACAGAAAGATGAGGGAGATGATGCAACGTTTTGGAGATACACTATATAATTTGGGAAACGAGCTAGGACACAGAGTTCTCGAGGATCGCCCCCAAGGAATCCTGATGGTATCTGTATGATATCAAAATTACTCGAGATTGCCTTCCTTTTGAGGTGCTATGTCTCGTTCTTCTCGATGCATGGATACAAACATGAGCGAGTCCAGATGAAATGAGCAGATCTAGCTAAGTATTAAAGACGGTCTAAGCCAAGAATGCTAAGCTTCAACACTTTTAAAGTCCGATCCTAATTAGATGACACATTCGCGCTTATTCTTCTTCGACGTCTCCAATAAAATTCCAGCTGCTAATACTCCACTTCATCGTCTTTGGTTATGTATCGTTACCACAATCAAGTACTGAGTCTTGTCATAATAACTTTGGTGACTACTGGCTTGAATATACAGACTGACTCTGAACAACGTAGAATTAACCTTATCTGATACCCAAGGCCGACTGTCCCCATATTTGTGTGGGATAATACAAGACTAATTATTAGTACCATACCATGCCTACAAGTGCGTTACTTCGGAGAAAAATGCAGACATGAAGATCATACTACCATATATACAAAACTAATTTATTTACATCCGACAACCAATCGAAAATCTTGAGTGACAGTCTTCTAGGCCCATTTTTTAATCTACAATTTAGGCTTGGGCACCATACCCCTCTCTTTAACAATCCTGGCTCCTTCGCTCCTCAACTCGAACTTCTTAACTTTTCCACTACCCGTCTTTGGAGTTTCCATTTTCAATCCTTCCTCTCCAAACCAAAATACATGGTGAGGAGCCTTATGCCATCCCAACTCTTTTCTTGTCCATTCTCGTATCTCTGCATCTGATAACTTCTTTTTGACCGCAGCTGAATCTTCTTCAATATCTAGGAATGCACCAACAACTTCTCCATATTTGGGATCTGGGATTCCAACAACTATAGCTCGAGAGATGGCAGGATGGGCATCGAGACGAGTTTCGATTTCAAGGGGATAGATATTTTCACCACCTATTTGATGGTTAGTTTCATCAAAAAATCGTACGATGGGAGGATAACTGACCTCGGATAATAATATCCTTAAAACGTCCAGTGATGGAGCAATATCCTCTCTCATCGAAGGAAGCTTCATCTCCTGTTTTCAACCACAAAATCCCCTCTTCATCTCTAACCATTACTTCTGCCGTCTTCTCCTCATTATTCCAATATCCTTTTTGTAGCGAATATCCAGATATGCAAAGCTCTCCTCTTGCACCTTGTGGGACGATATTTCCATCTCGGTCGATAATTTTAGCACGAAGATGTGGAAGGATCTGTCCAACAGTCGCTAGACGAGTGTCGATGGTATCATATGTATAGGCATTAAAGCAAGTGGGTGAGGTTTCCGTTAATCCTGTCAACTGTTAGTTATATACACTTCCATCATGATCATTCTAACTTACCATAACTGGATGTGTATTCTCTCATATTAAGTTCTGTCAACAATCTCTTCATTAAAGGTCTTGGTACTGGGGCACCAGCTATTATTCCTGTTCTCAGATTGTCACAGTTAAAACCCTCCGGTCGTGGGAGACTCAAGATCTCCTCGAACATGGTTGGGACACCATGGAGGGCAGTACACTTCTCATCTGATACCGCCCGCAGTACCGCAGAAGCATCGAATGTTTCCGCAGGGAGAATGATTTTTGCGCCATGTGTAATAACTGCCAAAACTCCAAGTACGAGACCAAAGCAGTGAAAGAGCGGTGGTGGACAGCACAAGATATCTTGAGGTGTGAAGGCCAATCGGTCGCCGATTGAGTTGGCATTGTTGACTAAATTACTGTCGAAAACTGTCAGAGTATTTTCCTCGAGTCCGGATAAAATTATGCTTACAAGTGTGTAAGCATTGCTGCTTTTGGACTTCCAGTCGATCCACTTGTGAATTGCAAGTTTACGATATCGTCTGGCTTTACCATGCTTTTTACTCTCTCGAATTCTGCCATTGAACTTGCTCGACCTTGACGTTTCAGTCCGTCGTAATTCATGAATCCATCTCGAGCACCCCTCAACATCACCACTTTATCCAAGAATTCAGAAGTGCCATTGTGCTTTGGCAATGGCCCTAATTCAGAAATAAGTCTTTCGGTACTCTGTTTCCCGATCTTTGGTACCGTAAACAAGACTCGACAACCTAACATTCGTCAGCGGTAATACTCAGAAATCTGAAAAGCCGCCTTACCAGCATGTTTCAGCCCGTTCTTAGCCTCTTGAGTTGTGTATGTATTATTCAACACCACCAATATACATCCCATATAAGCCGCGGCGAAGAACACCGAAATATATTCCGCACAGTTGCCAGCCAGTATTCCAATTCTATCGCCCGATTTTATACCTAAAGATAGCAATCCACGAGCCACGGCAATACTCTCTTCCTGTAACGTCCCATAGGTCCATCTCGTTCCCAGTGAAGGGCAGACTAGACATTCATTTCCAGCACGAATTCTTGTTTGTTGATCAAGCAAATCTCCTAGAGTAAGTGCTAACAGCGGCGGACTCGACGCTCCCTGGACAATCGACAAACGAGGAGTCTCATTCTCAACTTCGTAGAGAGATTGCATGGTGAAAGAGAAGCTGAAAATCTACTAATTGAATTGCAAGTACGAAGGACACACAAAGAATAGATCGAAAAGATCAGATAAGATAATAAAACCAAGGTGCATACAGGAACCAAGCAGCCGCCAAATGCCTAGGTTGCCCCACGGGACAGAACATACGGTATGAGTCGTGCATTGGCATGACTAAAACTTTGTCGGAGAGAATCTAGATGAGGATTCGGAGTTCCGTAAGAAGCGGAACCATTAATCGTTGCGCAGTTTTGCTGGAGTGGACGAAATTCCCACATGTCAAATCAATATGCATTTCGTGACGTAACGAGGCAGAGATCCACTGCATCCGTCACTAACTCAGACAAGGGTTCAACACGAGGATTGAGTTGGTGTGAAGTACGCCTATAGATCAGCATCATCTTCGAACCGAGCAGCTTCCGGATATGGGAGAATGCAACCATGAGTCGTATAGCAACCATTCACCCCCAGGGAGCCTTTCATGCGTCGGGAGTATGTATCCAACTCGGAGTTCTCGCATGAAAAACACAAAGACCGCCCAAAAGCTATCACATCATCCACGAAGAAAAAACCTTTTGCACCTCAAACTTGGCTCCATTGAAAAGATCTCAGATCGTCACTCATGCAGTAATAAAAACTAGCCAGTGGGACCCAAAATTCCACCCTTATGAACCCCGAAATATACCCCAATACTACTCTATCATTCGTTCAATCATGTCTTAAAAACGAAAACCCCACCAGATCCCCATCAACTCCGTCATCTAAGCCCAAAGCGGCAGCTCAAATCCATCATATGCATTCAAACTCTGCATATGATATCCCGGACGTAAAATTTTTCATCTGATTAGATCGATTGATAAGATTAAGCGTTACGAAACGATCCACTCTATTTGCGCTAAAAGATTTTTGCCGGGAATATACCATAAAACTGACATTATCAGATTGAAAATTCCGGATTCGGAGGAGAGATTATGAAATTGACAGGTGTTGATTTAGTGAGTGGGTATTTATCATGGAAGGTGGGCAAGGTTGCCCCTGACATTAGCCGGGGCGTCCTGCAAGATGATGTGGAGACTTGTTTTTTGAGATTTGTGTTGCGTGAGGTGTTGAGATATTGAAAGTGTGTTCAGCCTGAAAAGATTTTGGAAAGCTTGACAACTCTTGAAAGCTGTCAAGCTTCTCGGCTTTGAGTACTTGGTTTTGACGCGAATTTGCAATGTCACGTGAGATGGACGTAACTTTTCTTCTTTAGCTTTCAGCAAAATGTGGTGAAGTCGCCTTTTGGTATAAGCTATGTGTTGTCAAGAGTTTTGTGTAGCATTATGATAGAATGGAACTCTGAAATCTTACCACCTAACAGGATGGGATGATGTTGGGATGCTGGCTTTTTTTTACTTCATCAGTTTTGCTCTCAAAATCTTTATTAGGGACCAAAAATACTTATGTGCTGTTCTCTCTGAGCAAGGCTTCTCTTACGCATAGTCTTCGTTTCACTCTCCTTTCTGCTTGCTTGTTCTGTACCACAATCTTGATCTCTTTGACTCAGGCGTAGGGTTTTCTTGCAAAGCTAGTATTTTGCCGGTATCTCCCAAGACAGGTGGAAGAATGGCTGGATAAATGTCCAAAAATCTAAATAAGATTCAAGGAATGTTTACTGGACATTGAATGTTCTGCACATCTTCTGCGTCGGCAAAGGACCCAGGATCTTTTATTGGGACCTTCCTTGAGATCATCCCCAGTATTTATATCACACAATAAGCATTGCATATATATAAATGATACTACTCCACAAATGCCACTGTCCTGGTACACATCCCACGCATTCGCATTAATTTAACTTGCGTATATGACCCCGCATGATGTAGGGAGAGATTATTCCCTTCTATTTGGAATTTGTCCTGACGACTCAGGTCATGTTCAAGATTCGCCGATCTCATGTACTTGAGGTATTCTTTGCAAGGATTGTGAGAATTGTGCGGAGACACATGCAAGGCTCAAAATGGAATCTAGTTGGAGAGGAGGAGATCTTTCAATGTTATTGGCCCTTGGATCTAGCTACGGGGAGCGACAATGATGATAAGGATTGAAATTCTGCGCAATTTCAGTTTCAATATCAATGAGCTATAGCAAAGAGAGCATTGCGAGTCATCTCTTCAATCATTGCTTATAGTAGTTGAGTTAGACTAAAATCACATCTTCAAGCTTATCCGAATTCCATTCTTCTCCATCCATTATTCCATGTACATAGCAGTCTCCAATTATCTTATATTCCTCCTTACCTTTCATCCGACGTAATATATACGGTACTTTCCCGCCCTCGAGTAGGAACAACTGGTCGCCAATCTGCGCATCCATAGGTACAAGGCCTATCCACCTGGGCTCTTTGGCTATGAAGAATCTTCTCATATGAGTAGCAAAGTAGACCAAAGTATGGAAGCGAATGATATCTGAGTTTGCGTTTTCGGCATTCAGTAACTGCTTCCCTCCAAGACGAGGAGTGCCTTCGATCTCCGATTCCCACCATGAGTGGTGATTTTTGCGCGCTTGCGAATCGTTCGAAACTCTTCTATAATAATACTCGCTCGCTGAATTATTGCTTTGGGATGAATCAGAGGCTATTGACATACAGAGAGTTTGAGAAAAAGCATCCGAGTGGGCCGTAATTCGCGAGGAACTCGGATATGGCTGGTCGAATTGAGTCTCACTCTGCGCCAATTGCCTCCACTCTCTGTATGTCATGGCCATCTCCTCGTCATTATCAACTTCAACATCGTTTGGTCTACCGAGAACCTGAAGAGAGTTTAAAAATATACCACGTATGACGATCCCTAATTTTCGTCTTTCTTTCACTATGGCAGAACTTTTGCCGGAGGCTGAAAATTTAGGGAACAATCTGTAACGCTCGCTTACAGTATCCACCAAAACATGAGAGGGTCTTTCTGCTGTCCAGTCGCGGATCCAAGAAGGGCCTTGACCAGCCAAAATTCCCGTGCAATGCCACTTTCTTGGCCACAACTGGCTGAGAATATCGAGATTTCTCGCCTTATTGATTATATCCATTACTGTATTTCCATACAATAGGACAATATCAATGCTATAGTCCGGGTGGATGAAATTGACTTCTTCAGTCGCAAGAATACCTAGTAGACCGTATATTTTGTCTCGTGGATCTGAGCAACGCCGTTCCCCAAATATATTGAGAAGTCCTTCCAGACTACTTGATGCATTGCCATCTCGATATTCACGAACAAATCTCATCTTCATCAATGAAGTTGTAATGAACCCACTTTTGCGTGGATTACAACCGTCCTTGGAATGTGCAAGTTGACTATTGAAAATAGCCGAAAGGTCATTTTGTAATATGCTTCTCCTTCCTGATATCAAGAGGGTGTCTTTCCCTAAAAGAGCTTCTTGAACTGTCCACATTCGATTCCACCAAGGGTTCTCAAAAAGCCGGATGATCCCGGCGCCTGTACGTAAGTTTTGGGTTGAAAATGAGGCAACGTCATCAATATCACTTTCCCAGTGAGCTTCGAGATCTTTTAACATTTTTTCGAATGTATCGAAAACCAAATCGTTGTCCCTCTCCTCGTCAACATCATCTCCTTCCGGTATCAACTTATCCATCCACCCAGCAGTGAAGCTTGAAGTCAAGCATTTGTTCGTTTTTGGTTCCCCTAGCCAAGCAAGGACAATTGATGATTTTGAGTAAATTGTGCCCATATATTTAACCTGTGAGTTACGCTCGGGTATATCTTCTTGGTTGATACAGATTGCGTCGATCCACAAAACTCTTGGTAGATCACGATACCTCAAATACCGAAGCGCAGACTCCAGATTGGTGGTCACTGGAAAAGAAAGACTTTGGAGGTTGATATCGCATTTGTTTGTCAGATTCCCCCAAACATATGAGAGAGCCTCGTAGAATGGCTTATCTATCAAGGAGACCGTTGTCAATGTGCAATAAATATCTTCTGAAAGGCCTCCAGGTAGCAAAGTGACAAGTCTCACTTCTTTTTTGGAGACATCAAGAGTATGATATAGCTGCGTTCCTTCCATCATGATGGAAGCCTTTTTCTTTTGAAAATTGGCCTTTCGACAAAAATATACCTCTTTTCCTCAAGAAGGGGCCTTTGATCAAGGGAAATTCATCTCATGGTGTGGTAGCAGATGACTCACGATGACGAGAACTGTTGTGATACCATATTCGCAATGTATTACAATCATCAGCTTCTCAAGTAGCGTCTGGGCATTTATCGCGTTCGACCAATCAAGCTCAGGCTGCTTTGCATTCTGGATATTTTTGCATCTTGGCGACGACGCCCTGTTATACTGAGCTGGGGCTTGTCGGAAGCTGTTCATTCCGAGAAAAAACAATATCACAAAGTAAGCAGAAAATTAGAAACTGTGATAAGCATACATCAAGGATCGTCATTCCTACGCGTCTATAGCCGCCGCATTCAAGCATACCTACTAGGCAGCTACCATTTTTACGACTTCCTTTATTAATGGAACTTTGTTCTTTATACAGTATGAGTATACTCCAAGTACTGGTTGCAGTAAGACAAGATGAGAATGATGTACTGAAATAAAGCAATGCTACCTTGATCCAAATATAAATTTAGTAATCACCCCCTCCGATCGTCAGTTTACGAAGGCAATTCGGGGGGAGGATAGAAAATATGTATTGCTGCGAAGCCTCTTTGATCTAAGAAGCTGATCTCCTCTATAAGTAGCTAAGATATCCATGACTCTGAATTTGGGGTTCCTAGGTGGTCATTGAACCAGAGTGTACTCCAACTCCCCTATTCACAAACTCATGCTGCAAACATTCCAGCATCTACAATTACCTGATAATTTTGCTCGTAATTTCTTAGATTAACGTCCAGTCTTTCATTCATCTCAACTGTATAATCCTTTTCGCTACGAACGCAACACCATTAGGTGAGAATCTCTACCCAAAGTCCCAGTCCAAAGATTTCAGAAACCAACTACCGTTGATCCATTCCCATCTCGAATTCAAATACCTCTTCACGACACATCTCAATTATACCATGTGTGTACAACGCAACACTGTTTACTCGGGATGCGGCGATGCCACATTCCGTATCTATGGCTGCATTAGACAACTACAGCTACGGTGTAGTCCTCCAAATTGCCCTCGGTTTCAAATACAAGTGGTGGAAATCCCTGGAGTTTGCTCTGGCTGTGGTGATGGACGTCGTCGCCGTGCCCGTTGTAAAAGTCAAGATTCTGCTTGAGAAACTGAAAATTGGAGCGAGGATGGGATTTTGGCAGAAAATCCTGGATGGGAGTTGAAATATTAGTTGGTCAAGCCATGGAATTCCTGGCAGGAGCGGCTCTACACTGACTGGCCATGGATATAAAAATATAGCAATAGAATCTGAACCTAAAATCACTATATTATATTCGCAGTTCTTCCTCTATTCTTCTAGTTGAATTCCCGTGTATATACAGATGATTTTTCCGGGGGGGAAGAAAGAAAAACAGCTTCCTTTTCAAATCATATCATAATATTACGATTTAATCCTGCATTTCTCCAATACATGTTTATGAAATGAATGCCTAGTGATAGTGTAAATGAGCGAGTTATAATTTGTAACCCATCATATAACTTGCATGACGATATTTTCATTAGGGGTATTATTCATGTGGATCCTCTTCTGAATTCCAAACTAGTTGAATTGTTGTTCCAGCTCCTAATAACAAAGTACCAAATATGGCTACTTATGTGATGTTTAATTCAACATACATTCACTCAATTTTTTTTATGAATGAATCGTAAATCCCACTCTAAACAAACTTTTTACCACACTGCTCTTATAAGAGGCCACTTTGACACTGCTCATTTTCTTTTTAACTGCAGAAATTCTTCCACGGCCAAAACCTTCACAGCCTTCAAGACCTAGATTCTCAAGTAATCAAAATAACTCTCAAAACACGGCAGCGATGTGCATAGAACAGTGGACAAACTTCCCATGTGGGTATACAGCCATTCGCATACAAGGATGCCTTGAACAGCAGCAGGCAAATTGCAATCCTTCTTGTTTTCCGTTCTACCAAGTGACCTTTCTCAATGCCCCCATGGTTTTTGAACCAAAGCCCGATCAACAAGATGAGGGATTAGTCTTACGGAAGTCACACTTCTTAGCACCCGATGGCAACAAGATTGAGGATGAAACCGAAATACAACCACAGACTAACGAGAAGCTGGTGAAGGACCGGTAGATGGAGATATAACAGATGAGAGTCTTGGGTTTGAAGCCATCATGCAGAGAGTCTTTAGAAACTGGTGACACTGATGGCTGAATGCCTTGTATCGAAGTATTTTCTTCTGCGGGATTTCAAGACAGATAGAATCAAAAACGTCGCATTTCCATCTCTGCAGACATGTCGTGTTAGTATCCGTGTGCTCGCTCTTTTACAAGATTCTCCTTCGATGCTTGAAACTCCGTACACAAGTGAAGCAGACAACCCATTCATCATTCACTGAAGTTTCTATCAGGTGCCAATAATCATGATTGCTAATCTCGGTATGCTGTAGTAGATGAACACTAATTATTAAAATCAAATTAGAAACATTCACCTCAATATTTGCAATTTCCCGTACTAAGTGACATACAGCTACCCCCTCAGCCATCTCTATATCAAGGTTGGAATCCATTTCTGAATCATGATTTTCCATCTCCAAGAAACTCGAAGATTCAAAATCCGTCAAAGTCAAAATCCGTCAAAGTCAAAAAGTGCAGTCAAACTTCAAAACCTTCAACCAACACCTCATCAAGCAAGAGTCCCGATCACTTCGCCAGCTTCGTCGATACCAGCACATTCCCTCACAGACAAATTGGCGAATATCTTAATTCAACCTACCTCACCATGTGTTCAAGCTTGTTAACACACTTCGCTTGCGGACACGCTGGCATGCGTAACACCGAGAAATGCCCAAAATTTAGTCAACTCCAGCTCAGCCATGTGGCAGCCTGCCCAGACTATAAGGGGTACCAGCAAAATCAAGCCGGAAAGTGTTTGGATCCCAAATACAATTGTCACTGAATGTATTTTGGTGATGGATCATGGGGAGTGTGGAGGAAACGCTGTCAAGAATGGGCGAGAGGTTAGGTGGAAATGACGGAGCTAGATGACCAGATGAAGAATGAGAAGTGAAGAGTGTAAGAATGATGATATGGTTGATGTTCACAAAAAGGGCTGGGACCTGGTAATTCTAGTGGAGAGACGAAAGGACGACGACATCAAGGGAAGGGGTAGCTATTCATCTTCCGATCACAGAGCAGGAACCCTACGAATCTGAAAGAAGGGTCGAGAGTGAATCAAGATGAATATATAGCGAATACAAAAACATACCAATCAAAAAGCACTAGCTCATAGACTACAAAGCAAGACTAGAAGTGACTTTGATGACCCCACAATCCCCGTATGTTAATAATCCACTTCCCCACATCAAACGCATTCAAACTATTGTACTCGAATACTCTCTTGTACATCTGTTTTTCTCATAATTGTCCTTGTACACTTGATATTTGTCTTCTTCAGCTAGTCTAGAGGTATGAAGGGGATTGCATTATAATCGTCACTTTCCTCTCCCCTTGTACCCTCGCCATTCCGACCACTTACAACGAGATGTTTTGGGGGAGAAAGCCAGAAACTTTTCTTGGGAGACTTTGAGAATGCGTGCAGTCAGTTTTGATCTCCAAAAATGTACGAAACTACCAAAATTCGAAAGAAACACATGCCTACTACTGGAATCGAACCAATGATCTTAGCATCGCTGAAGTATCTTCAATACAAGTGCTACGCGTTACCACTGCGCCAAGCAGGCTAACCTATTAATTTTCATCGCATGAATTTTATATATGATACTACTACACAAGATGTTTTCTCGAACTCTCGGCAAAGCTACCAAAACAGGAAACTCATGATGAACTACATCAATCCCGTTCACTTCACGATCCGGAGCTCCATCGAAATTTCCAAGTTTCACACCGCTGAATGCGTGGCTGAGAGGTTTATGCCTGTTGAGAAGTGTACGTCGAAGTCGATGAATCATCACGCGATCTGGTACCATAGATTCCCCGTTGAGGTTGTGACGACCCTCCGCGAGGATACTGTTCCAAGTACGGAGATGCAATCCGGTAATGAAAGAAATCGCCAATTCTGAGAATGTGGCCTTGTTAGAGTCAGAGAAACCTAGTCCTATCATGAAGCGGCGTCTAATATCCGAGCCTTCTAGATGTCAGGAATGCAGAGAAAATGTCTCAAATTCTATGGCTCGTTCGTAAGACTTTCTAATACATCAGTTTTCTCCCAACGCCAGAATTTTAAGCATGTATATACGTTCGTTATTTCACAACATCCTGCCCACGATTCGGATCAAGTTCATAGGAAACAGCCCCGGGACGAAAAAAACGCCATCGAATTTTTTGGTGTAACCGGCAGAAGTCTTTCGGATTGGGCTTCCATCAACCACTGCATGTTATCCCTGATGACGAGTTCTACCTTCTTTCTTTCTTTCGTCTTGAGTTAAAACTCTTGACTCGGCAGTTTCACCCCACATAGAAGCAGGGGAGGAACGGAGCGATCCCACCTGCTCCACTTACGGCGGTATCGGGAAGGTGGGGGTTTGATACAGAGACACCCAGCTTCGAGCTTCCCAGCCAAGACCTTATTGCAGGATAAAGCTTTCAAGGGCGAAGCTTGCTCGTCGGTTGTCTGAGCTACATGCATGGCTTGATGTGTGAATCGTTGTCATACATGATGCATCGTGTATCTTTTCCGGATTTATCGAAAACAAATCGGCAGAATCTTTTTTTTCTTCTCGAATACGAGATTTGTGCGAAATTCGTGGCCAGAATGATAAAGTAAAAGAGAAAAGTAGTACTAAATTATTAGAACGTAGACGTTTCAAGGCAAAGCTAAGCATCAGTAGTTTCCATATTATGTACATTGATGTTTTCAAAATCTAAAAGTTCTACTGGTATTAGCACCAGAAAATGCGCCGAAAGGAATCAAATGAGGTCCCTGAACACCTTCCATCTATCATTCAATATCGTAATAACCGAGCCAGCCCGAATATCTACAACAATGCTCTGACCATTCTGCTCGCTTGTTCTTTCTCGTATTGTGATAGTAACTTCTCGTTTTGTGTTGTGAGTGACGCTAAATTCTATTGGAGACATGTTAGGCACAATACGCAGAAAATCTGGAGAAGGGAAAAAGGTAAACTTACAGTAGATGAGACCGCCGCGCACAAGTTTTGCAACGCATCTGTAGCTTGGAGCATGTCTAATTCCTCGCTTTCATTTGCAAAGGTCATAGACTCTTCACTCCCATCCAAAATGATATCCGCCTTGAACATCTCTCCAGAAACCATAAGATCAATGGCTCTTCCATTTCCTCTCTGCTCGGCTCCCTCTACGCTACCTTCAGAGAAGTCAACCCATCCTTCTTCCCTAACAACCTTAACACACCACCTGACATATTCTGTCCACTCTTCCATACTTGGATTCATTTCCCCTTTGGCCATCCATTCTCCCAACATCCCCTCCTCACTTAGATAATTGAGGAATGTATATCGACAAGTTGGATCTAAACTTGTAGCAAAATCTTGCATGAAGACAGCTTCATTTTTCAAGCCTCCAAGATCCAACTCAGGAGTTTGACTCAGGAATAAGATCGACAACGGACTCCGTTTCACCGTCGCGGTAATAGCGAGACTGAGTTGAGCGATGGAAAAGTTTGTTGAGATGATGTCGTATGCGCGCGCGCGGTTTGTGAGATGAGGATGGGGCCGGGGAAGAGATGTCTGGGGGGGATCGTAGCTGGGGGTTTGGAGAGACATTATGCTTTTGTTCTTGTTTCTTTTTCTCGGTCTTCTTTTGCACTAATGGTGACTGAATTGTAGAAGATGTTGGGGAAGTTTTTAAGGATTTCGAGGGCAATGAGACATGAAATGGGGTGGTAGAGGTGGAGAGAGGTATGATGTTAGATGTTGAAACAGAAGAACAAACTAGCATAGCAGGAGAGTCGGTCAAGGAGAATTCTAGAACCAAGGAAATTAATGTTGAAGATTGTTTGTCCGATCAATAGCCAGCAAGTTGAAATCGTGAAGGCGGTCAAAACATCAATTAGCTTTAGGTAATCTAACAATAAAGTTTGATAAAGCAGGGTACAATTTTTCCGCTGGGAAAGGAAGGGATTAGAGACGGAAACAAGAGTCATGCCATTTCATGTGATAAAATGGCAACAGCCCCTCGAGATCCCTACCTGTTGAATTGTTAGTTGATGATGCAGTCGCCAGTATCGGGACCGATGCCTAATCCATCATTATTTTTTCCAGACTGACTAGATTTTAGGTGCTCACTGCGGTGATCATGCCATCGTGGTGGCTAAATTGACACTAACCGGACCACGTCCAATGATTTTCAATCTGATAACTTAACATGTTCCACAATTTTAGGGTTCCAAAACCTTGCAGGAGAATTTCCATCTGATAAATATCCTTGGTTCTTGAGTCCACTTCCGATCCTCTACCATTTTTCGTCCTGGTTTGACACTTATTAATTTCCACCAAGATAATGCGGACAGTATGATACAAAGCTTGGGAGCTCGCCTGAGCCTGATTGAGTTTTATACCCGAGGATGAAAGATTCATGTGAATATTTCAATGGTTCTCATCTGATAAGATCAACCTTCTGCTTGAGTGGTTGCACCACATTACCCACAGGCAAAATGCATGTTCCTTGTAGTTGCATCTGGCTCTGAAGCCTGCTAATAAGCAGTGGACCCGCCATCGGCCCGGTACTGAGGGAAAATCGCAACACAAAACCCTATAACATAAGCTTCCGTACTTATGGGATTTGGCATAAGAGAACGTCAAGATCCGACAAGCCTCGCGCCCAGCTTTTAATAGAAAGAAACTTGTACCGGAGCTTTCTGTTTCAGGCTCTTGGTGCTTTAGACTATACATTAGATAAATAATCACGTTCTCTTTGTGGATACAAATATTCAATGAAGAGTGTTAAACACCATTCTTCTAGGTAGGCTTCATATCTGCTCCCTGGGGTCTGTGATTGTCGCGAAATATGGAGGCCAAGTTTGTGTGAAAGTGTTCGAACAATCGACATTTGAAAATAGCCGCGAAATTGTTATCTGATAAGATATGAATGAAAGTCACGTGGGTCAGTTTCGGCTTGAAATATGCTGCGCTTGGAACCGGTCCTCTGCGACATCAATCTGTCGCATTACTATTGGCCATACCCATGCAATGAATAACGAATACATCATTACGTTCAGATGGCTTCGTGATGATTATACAAGACTACGAGATGGAACTGAACTGTTTGAACGGGTAAACGAGCGCTATGCAAACGCAAATTGTGATGTTCCAGGCAGCAGTGCAACGCAACAAGATTTGAATAGTCTCAGGAGCAGCGACCACGATTTCTCTATAAATACAAAGTCTGTTGTCGATTGTAGTAACGATCATTTGGGTGATAGTAATACTGTCAGCCAAGGTCCCTCTACAGAATGGCCAAATAACGACACGAAGCAAAATGTGCCCCGCAGACCTCGCAAAGGTCACAAAAAGTCGAGACGTGGATGTTACAATTGCAAGAAACGTAAAGTAAAAGTACGATTCTTACTCAATCACATAAAATCTATGTTACTTAATAATTCCAGTGTCAAGAAACCTTACCTTCGTGTCAAAATTGTGCACGAAATCAACTGTCTTGCAACTACCCTACGCTTCCACCTCCAATATTACCCCTAAAGTCTCGCCAAATTTTTAATCCAAGCCCGGTCCCATATGGAAGCTTGCAAGCTACTCCAACGATATTCTCTTTAGATGAAATGTTCATTTTTCATCATTTTTTGATATATGCCCATCCCTATTTGCCTGTAGGGAGCAAGGAAAAGTGGGTTCGTCATGTCCCAGTCCTGGCTCATCATGTGAGTAGTTTTGCTCTCGACACTTTTGAACTGTAGCGGTCTAACTGACGATCTATCTCCAGAATTCTTTCTTACTTCACGCTATTCTTGGCTTATCAGCATCCCATATTGCAAGCAATTCACCTTTTTCCCCCTTTGATTCTACACTCAACTCAGGAAGTCCTACCAAAAGTTATCACACCCTGTCACTGCACCACCGCATACTCGCCATCTGCGGGCTATCAGCGCTATTCGCCAGACTCAATCCCTCGACCACGACGAAATTTCAAAGACAAACGATCCAAGCGACTCTCTACTTGCTGACGTTTCAATCTTGCTATATATCTGATCTGTCTGGCTTTTTTGAACTCTTACATTTTTTCCGTGGCTGCAGCATTCTACGTGGTAGTCTTCTCCTCGGCAGGCAAGAAAAAGAGATAGAAATGTGCTTTGATGGGGATGGAGATCATTGGCAACAAATGGAGGGGCGACTTCTTGATCTGCCTAGTATTCCCAATCATTCCACCCAGGATGCTAAAAGATCGTTGAATCTCATTAAATATCTATGCCAGAGGAGTAAAATCAATATGGAATTCTTTGGAATGCTCCTAGCCGTTGTCGATCAATGGGGAACCTCTTCTCTATCCGGTAGTCTTTTCCCCAGTATACCTTCTCCCTTTTGCCTCTTACATGATATGCTATGACAATCTAACACCTCAATAGCGTATTTCAAATTTGTTCAAATCTATCTCGCGATCAGTAAGATGAGTAATGGTACCTTCTACGCTTTTATAGATGAAACGAATCAAGTGGCGAGGGTATTGATTGCTCATTTTCTAGCAATTCAGAAGATCATGGGGCCTATTCTTTGTCGTGAAGCAGAAATAAGTAATCCTAGTAGTTTAAACGATGGCCTTGGAGTCAGGGGTGGGATCAGAGGCCATGAAAAATGGGTGGAGGCAATCTGGAGTCAGTTGACCCGGGACGGTGAATTGAAATGGAAGGAGTCAATGGAATGGCCAAGGGCAATTTTTCGGAGTGAAAATTCGGATAACTTTGGTTAGTCAAAAGTCTTGTGATGTGTGTCCCATACAATCTTCCGGCTGCACTGTATCTGTGCACACACAGGCCTCAATAGATTATAATCCTTAGAATGAGCAGGCGAATTATTGCAATACTACTACTATTACGGAACTAGTAGAATATGGTCAGATTGTTATACATACTATTGGTGGTTATACTCCATCATTCTCCGTCTGATTACATGACTATTATTTTCTCTTGGGCGACTTTTTCTCCTTTAAATTGCATTCTCATTCTTCCTTTGACAATGTGGGTGAAATCAGAATCATCCATCCAAACATAAACCACAAAGATTACCTCCTCTAGTACCGATATGCTCAATTTCTTCTTGAACAATAGTCCCTGGTACAATTTGGAAAGCCTATGTCACTTTCTTGGACATGATAATTCTCATCAAACTCGCATGCTTGGCAAGCAATGAAATCAAGATTGAAGTAGAGAAAATATGAGAATGTGTGTAGTCTTGGATTGATGTTTGCGAAGGATTTCACCAGAATGAGCCTTTTTATGGCTAGCAGCAAATAGCCACTTAAATTTTATTGAAACTAGAAGGTTTGCATCTACAGTATTAGAAGTGAATCTTCTTTATTCTTACCTAAATAACGAGACTCAACTCATATCATACAGGTAACATGTCAGATGTTCAAACGCCGAGAAGCATCGAAGATTCTAGGCACAGAAGATTCATTGTGCATACCTAGATATCAATTGATCTGAAGTCAATAGTCCAAACGTTGATGTTTCATTGTTTAAACCTGAAGAGGGATTGAAGAAGGCCATCATGAGTACTCATTACGAATGCTACCCCAGTCCTACAAACATCAGACAAGAACCCCTGAGTCTCGCTAATCCTGCTGTACATTCAACAACATTGAATCAACAACATTGAAGCAACAATCATCGAATGACAATCACTTCAATTTTTCGTCTCTTCAAGCCATCGGTAAACTCCATTTGCTCACCTCCGCAACTCACCTGTCTTATCAATTCACCAATTAGTCTTGCTCACATGACTTTTCATCTCCGAGTCTCCAAACAGGTAAGGGTTGTAACAATGGAATCTTCGAGGTCCGTGTAACTTGTTTAAAGATTACTTACTTTATACCAAATCAATTCTGATTCTAAATAATTCGAACAACAATTAACAAGTATGTCACCACATATTTCATTACTTCATCAACCCTTCAAGATCGTTTATCTGATTTGATTGTTCCTTCATGCTGATTTGACTTTGTACAGTACAAAAAGCGGGTGCCTTATGGTAGAATAAAATGGAAGAGGATGACCAGAATCCGTACTATCCTATTACCGACCGCCAGCGATATCCTTCTTTTCCACCTGAGGACACAGACGTTCATGCTTGTTCTGGCCAAAACATTGATCTCCAATTTCAACGCCATCAGCTTCAAAATCAATATGATCAACTTCAAATGCAACATGAACAGCTTCAGTCTCAATACAATCAACTTCAAATGCAGCACAATAATCTTCAAACTACGCACAATGAGCTTCAATCAAAGCATAATCGACTTCGATCCCATGTCTGCAATGACCCAATTGCTCTCCAACGTATAACCCTCGCTTTGAACCTAGTTCACGGTGCCAGTTTGGTTAAACATGATGAGCATGAAGCGCCTGCTGCAAATCTTGCGCCTGTTGGTGGTCATCGCTACATTACAAGAAGAACTAAAAAGACTGAAACTGTTGTCAAGGGAGAACGTAAGATGGAACCCGATGTCAAAGAAGAACCTCGAGTTGCAACTGTTATCAAAGAAGAACGTAATGTTGTACCCTTTGTCAAGGAAGAACGTATGATTTCGATTCAACCCACTATTTGTTTACCTTCACTAATTATATATAGCTATCGAAGATGACCGCTCCCATCTTACGCCTGATCGTGAATATGCCCCTAGTTCAGCTAGTTTATCCGATGAAGAAAGTAGGATTATATTATACGTGACAATGGAAACTTTTCACTGATAACTTTCTATAGTGGAGGATGAAGATTACGAACCTACTCCCGCACCTGTTGCACCAATTGTACGTTCAGTTGCAAGTCCAGCTACCATTGCACGTCCATTTGCACGTCCAACTACTGTTGCACCCCCAGCGACTGTTGCACCTCACGAGCTAAGATTTACCATGAAGGCGGATCGTGAAGCAAATATGTCAATTTACCATCGCAAGGAGTTTGCATATTGCGAAATCGCCATGACAAAAGAAGAGTATTACCATGTTAAGGGACAAAATTATGTTGCTCCACAAACCCTTGCTACGCCAGACAGGAATGGTAATACTGAGGACCGCAGGCGCCTTCGAATCACCTGGGCTGAGAGAGACCGACTTAACGCGTAAGTCTCATTTGATATGCATTTTTAATCACTTAGAGTCCGAGCTAATACATCAAAGCTGGCGCGCCAGACATGGACGTAAGCCACATGAAATCCGCGAAGGTACCAAGTATGCTGCTGCCAGAGATTTTTGGAGATTGAACCCCCCTCTCGCCATCGAGCCACGCAGGACCGTCGAGTGGAAAAAAGAAGGAGGAGACATTCCTGCCCCTTGAATTGTCTCTACTGTCTGATCTGAAAGTTATGGCCATAGGTCGAGATGATTGTATGCATGATCCTCGAGGGAACAGGCGAGAAATTTTTGAAAAAAAGATAGAAGATCTCTTAGTGTTTTCTAATACTAATATTACTTCTATTCGCTTCCAATATGTATTACCTGCCGTGAAGCTTGTTTGATGAACCATACTTATTGTAGAACTACACAACCAAGCACGAAAAAATCAGAAAACTGTGACATCGAACAACACTTTGGTTCTCATCGTCTCAGACGGCACAGGAGATGAGGTGGTCAAATGAGGGAAGGTAATACTGTTATAATGACCTGTTCCATATCTAATCAAAGTAGCAGTTTTATCTTCAAATGCTTGATTGTTTCTTCTTCCTGTTCCAAAGACTTCCCCAAATAAAACCTTTACCTTTTCCCTGTGACTCTTGACGGTATATTTGGGCTTTATAACATACCATACTATGACACACTTTGGAATTCATATGTTTATGATTAACGGAATCAAAGATGAGATTCTCTGGCTTCATCTCACGATAGTAATCGAGCATCCATAGCATTCAATTTAGTCTCCAATCCAAGGTCATGCTATTGTATTTCTGGCTTCCGGATCCTACTCTCGGCCTACAATGATAGTGCACATGGCATTCGTGCTGGATCTAGCAGTGTCATTAATATTATGATATTGAGGCCTCAAAGGCCTTTATATTATGTAGCACTTCATCGTTTCGTCACAGGAAGGAAGAGGACAAATATGCACTCCTGGATTGTTGGCAAATTATGAGACTGCTAACACTTTGATGAATATTTCTCCTAAAGGACCTTCATTGATCTTTCTTGGGATTTTGTTCTAGAAACATCAATTGCGGTTCGTGATCCGTTGAGTGTTTTTGTGTCTCTGGAGTGAGGTAGTTGTGACGTTTAGTCTTCGGCTTGGATTACAAGTTCATCATGCAGCGGCAACTTCTAACGTTCTTTTTTCACAAGTTTCCAGACCAGGCCCTTTCCCTCTTGAATCTACAATGATCAATAGTATGCGGTGATCTTGCACTATGATAAAAAGAATCACACCGACGAAATTATTAGTTTTCTTTTGTAAATGTCTAGCTTCCAAATCTTCCGAATTGGAGTTCTCATTCCATTTGTCTTGCAGATGTATTCCGGGCATCGCCTGGTCTCCTTTTACAATAGAGGCAAATTAAATCACATTTCTAGATCCAGGATTGATCATCCGGTGTTGGCTTGAAGAATCAGTAAGCAAGCCACTGCCTACTCACCTCGCTATTTATGCACGGCATATAACCCTCAAATTCCACTAAATTGGTCATCAAAGGCTAATGTAATAAATCCCAACCGGATAGAAATCCTAGTAACGATTCGGGGTCAACAATCGACGAGGTTCATGCCCATTTATGGATGCCTTATGTGCATGTAAGGGGTAATCGATGCGCAGATCGGATTATAATTCAGATATTGCACCTAACGCGTGGAAATATAATCGGTTTATGGTGCTCTCGCAATAGTAATCTGAAAACGATGATCGGTCTATGGCGTCTCGTATTGGGCTTTCGTAGAGTGCTGAGAAATTAAATCAATGTTGTCTTCCACGCGAAACTCTTACCTCATTCGGAGTACGCATTGGGGAATAGTCAGTGTTGAGTAAACGTGGAAGTGGAAATAAGCTTTTGTCTTCCCTGCAGAAACGTATCAGAATCCAAATTAGACGACTTGCATAATATTTCTGCGCTAGTATGAATTTAAGAATTTATAATCGGAGTTAATGTGGAATGATGATGCAGAACTGCCTTTCTCGACTAAAACCTCAGCTTACCCTCGAACAAGTGGAGTCATGATCTTATACCTGTCAGATTATATCATCATTCAATTTTCAGATTGAGAATAATCGCAAGTATTACAGTTACTACCTACCGAGGCAGTTCAGATGAGCCATTTCGTAGGTACATCAGAAATCAATATTTGTAACTCGATTTTTCTTCAGATATCTCGATATTCATTTAACCAACACCGATTTTTAATATCAACTGAATGTCAAATAAATTTTGAAAATACTAGAATTACTTGGTTGATTCTAACATGAAAAAATATCAAAAATATCATTTTTGAAGTAGACCTCCTCGCAATTTTAAGGATAAGTGAGAGTGAAACAGGTGAAGAATGATAATATTTGGTGTTTGCTTGCCCAGGATTCTTTCAATGGTTAACCACTATAGGTAGTAATCTACACTTGCTGGGGTTTCCCCCTAAAGTCGATATTAGAAATGAGAAAAGGAATACGGTACCGCGATGGCACCACAGTTTGTACCAGCTTCGAGTAGTTTCTTGCTAATCTTCATATTAGTGCTCAAGATTGACTGGCTAAAATCACAAGCGCTTAGTCTTATACCAATATACATTATTGACCATGATTTGCAAACCCGGCGATCATATGCATATACTACAGCTATGTTGACTAAACGTTCACTGCATCAACAGTACATTGCCAACGTGTTGACATTTCAGGAAATATGGACTAGACACGCCCAGTTCTTGACCCGGTGACACATCGGCAACGAATCTTGGAGAAGCAAAAGAGTAATACGTATTTAGCTATTATCAATAATCAAATTGCAGGAACGAGATTGAAAGCAAAATTCAAATCTTCAAGATCCCTCAGTTAAAGACCCGACGGCGAAAGCATCCTTGCTATGATCTTCAGAAATTCTATAAAGAGGTCGTGGAAGTCCCCCTCTAGAGAATCACTTTACCAGCAGAACATCACATCTACACATCTCCAATCGATCAAGCCTCCCACAACAGGAAACCTTCAGATACATTAATTCCAAGAATAAATTTCAAAATGAAGTTCATTTACACTACCAGCATCATCACCGCCATCTTGGCTGCTGTTGTACCAGCTCTCCCTGTCGCCGATGCCGAAGCTAACGCTGCCATGGCCCTCGAGAAGAGAGGCAGTACTCAATTCGCAGTCTACACTGATTCCTGTATGTCAACCTCGCAGTGACTTCCTCTTTGTTACCCTAACTGACCTTTGAATGACAGCTTGTGGTGGTGGCGCCGTTATCTTTACTGATGGAGCCGCTACTACGAAAGGCAACTTTGGCGCCACTCAACACAGCATCAAGATCTTGAGCTTGACCCCAAACTACCACGTCACCTTTTATACTGGTCTCAATCAAGGAGGTGACAGTTCCCAGTACGGAACTGCTTCCGTTGGAAGCTGTGTTGCAAATATCAACTTTCTGAGTTACGGATTCTACTCTGGAGCTTAGGTGATGGGTGCGACAGGACAGAAATGATGTCTAGGATGGATTAGAAGATGATGTTAAGATAAAACTCAAGGGATAACAACGGAAGGTGGAGAATTGAGGAAACAGCGATTTAATCAGACATTCATTCATTTGGCTGGGAATGACTGTCTCCGAACTGCAGCGGGGAACTTACAGACTTCTTATGTCTATCTTAGCGCTCTTTAACGAAACTATATAACAACTGCTCACTCTATATGTTTCATTGTAATTAACTTTGGGAAAATGAAGTGTAGTTCAATTCTTCCTCATACACATTTTCATAATTCATTGTTCATCGCCTTCCTCTTCCTCTCCCTCTTCATTATTGTTAGTACTGGGTGGTTGTGCTTGGATCGCCGCGAATCTGTCAGTATCCCTTTCAAGAATCTTATCGAACCAAAGCGGATGACTTCAGCACATCAAAAACAACACTTGTAATAGCTCTCGGCTTGTTGCAATCTGGCATATCAAACTTTTATTAACTTCCCTTCCTCTATACATGTGATCCTAGCTTTATCCCTCTCATCCACCCCCCCACGCCGGTCAATGGTGCACCCACAATTTCAGATGCTAGCGCCCAAAAGCCCCCACTAGGATTGCTACGCCTTTTCTACGCTCACACTATAAACAATCTGAATATATTTTGTGAATATGATGCCTTCCTCAACAAATCAACAATCTTTGATGGTCTAACGGTCATGATTTCCGCTTGTCATTAACACCGATAAGTCCGCGGGAGACCGGGGTTCGACTCCCCGTCAGAGAGTCACTTGTGATCCTGAGTTCATGCAACTTCATTCATTTTTTGATGTTTTTGGAATTTTCCATACAATTTTACTCGAGCCCGTTTAGTTTTGCCTGGCAGGATAAATGAAGGGGTAAAGTGGTAAAAGCGCTAGCAAAAATTTTCTCTTAGCGAGATGCTCAAAGGCGGTCAGTTAAAAATGGCAAGAAAGTACGTGTGCTTATATAATCGAAGCTTTCCAAATCATGTACGAGCATTCTCTTGTTGAAGCACGTTCACCAGTGGGTGCATGGATTGACGGGACACTTCCCAAGTTTCGAAATTTTTAACAAATTGGTTCTTCAATTATTTGATATTTGAATTTATGTTTTATTTGTTTCATATCTAATAAACAGTTGTGATAATTCTGAAGATATATAATTTGATATATCAATAGATATAATCAATAGATATACACGAGTTCATTTTTGCAGTGTCCCATCAGTCTGCATATCCACTGGTGGTCTCCTCCACTGAGTACTCGATTAGCTCTTATATTTGATGACTTGTGTCATTTATATTATGTCTGTTCTCTTATATGCAAGCTACTTGCTAACTTAGAGTCCTTTGCAAATAATATATAGAATTCGTCCAGTGCCAAGACCATTGTAAAATTGGCTTGCGGTCCCTTACTTGAGATTGCGAATGATGAAACGGTTCAAATTATCCATCACTCGTTCACTGAGTTTCTTCTAGATTCCGAACGAGCTCAGCACAATCCTTCTGGGTCGTTTCCTCAGTTCCCTGCTCTCGATCAGAACTCTGCGCATGAATGTCTGGTTCTCAATTGTTTAGCTTACATGCAGTCAGGTACACTCAGTAACGCCGTCAGTATATCGAACGATGTTTCGTGAGTAAAATGCCCAAGATGTGATCATAGAAACGATAGGTGTAGCTGTGATTGGTCAATAGCAACACTTTACAGTATCGGTTTTCGGAAAGCAAAGCTTGATCACCCTTTGCTTGACTACGCCATCCGAAATTGGACATACCATGGGAATAATTATGATATCGAGGACGAGTCTATTTTCAATGCAGTATCATCATATTTGAAGCCGGAAAGCATAGACTTCGAAGATGGCTAACACTTGAATAGGGCATTAGATTTATCACGAAAGATTCAGTGATACCATCGACAGCGCATGTGGCTGCGTTCAGCGGAATGAGTAGCTATCTAAAATTACTTTTATCCAAAACTGAGAATATCAACTCAAAAGACACTGGCGGCCGTACTCTACCACATTGGGATGATTAACGTGGCCATTTCAGAATAGTCGAGCTTTTACTACAGCATCGTGCCGTACTCGACAATGAAGATGATTCTCACCTAAGGCCTATTCACGAGGCTGCTCGCAGAAATTTCGCTCTCATCGTACTGGCTCCACTGGAAGCTGGTGTTAATCCAACCAGAAGTACCGATGATCATTCTCGGCCTGATTCGGAAGTGTGCTATAGGAGTAGAGAAGGTGAGCCTGGGGCTGCGCTGGATTATATGTGCGCAAATGGACATACAGAAACTATCCTTGTGACTGTACCGTTCCTCGAAACGAGAGGCATCGAGGAGGCATTGTGGCGATATTTAACGAATAGAAAATCGGCAGCGGTACGAGCCACACTTACCGACACTAACGTCTCGCTAAGTTGTGTATGCACCGGCACTACTACGCTTTACGCTGCAACGATGGACGAGAATCCAACCTGTGTAGAGCAAGTATTGATTAGGGATGCAGATCCGAACGCTTTTTCCGAACCACGATTGCTAGATCGTCGGCAGCATTCTGCAAAGCCTCAAGATAGGAATCATTTTCAGAGCACAGCATTACACGTTCTTACAGAGAGATGGGGTGATGACAATCGAGTTCATGCTAATGAGCAAATCTTTAACCTGCTCGTAAAGTATGGAGCAAATCTCGAGGCAAAAGACAGCAATGGACATACTCCTCTTTGGTTGTGTTTTATATCACGTACAACGTCGCGAAATCGGACATCCAATGTTTCCTGAATGCAGGGTCCAATGCGTTCACAACAGATGAAAAAGGACATGGCCCAGTATACCACGTGTTAGCCCAAACTAAAGATGTCGAACTACTAAAGCTACTTATTCATCATGGAGCCGATGTTTCGCAAGTCTATTCTCTATTATTAGCCCTCCGGTATGACGTCTCGTGTTGAATTTCATTTTTATAATCTGATTGCTACTCTGAGTTTGCTAGTTGACTTACGACAATTGTGATGCCATTTCTACTAATGGTGAATCATGTCTTGAGGCCTTATTCGCATACAAATTTACTACCAGAGATACAGATAGTTTTGACACCACTATTCAGTTCTTGGTCAAAAATGGCGCCAGATGTGATGTTTAACCTGTGAAACGCTTGTCGATCATTGAGCGCGTGGCAAATTCCAAGAACTACAAAATTGAAACTTTCAAATTCATGCTTCAGTACTGCACAGACAAGGAGACGAAAAGGCATTGTTTGCTTTTATTGAATAAAGATACCAAGGAAAAAATGATGAAATTTAACGAAGAAATTTTATTGTCCGGTGTATCACTGAAGGAAAGGGACGAGAAAGGATGCACTGCGTTGATTTAAGAGGATTGAATAGAGATATCTGCTTTGGATGTGGCTGATGCATTTGGGAAGAAGGATATCCTAGAGTTGCACAGAAAAATGGGCGGAAAGTGAAATGAGATCTTAATTATATTTCGAAGTTGAAAAAGAGGCTCATCACCTGTGAGGAAAGGCGCAGATGAAGATGAGCTTTTTGTCAAGCTCTTCTAATGTGAGAAGGCTTAAAGGTGCAGACTTGCTTGTTAATCAAGTTCGATTGTACAGAATGGATCCTAGTAACTCGATAAATTTGATATACAGGGCCTGATATGATGGGAAATCGAAACTGTAACATCGGATACTTATTGTTCAATTCGTTTGGGGCATCAATAGTCATTTTTCCAATTTTAATGTGACAAAAAACTTCTATATCGACAATAAGAAGGAAGATGTATATTGAAGGTGCTTCATATTCACAGGATCAAGGCACTCTGCTCGGTTGGAGTGACTGCTAATCGATTAACGAACTACCTCCTGGTTCTGCGCTACATTTGAGTGAAACTAACAATCATTAGCATTTAGACAAGCATCAAATAAAAACGCTTGTAGGGCTCTGCGATGCGTAACAAGTCCCATTTATCATTTAAATTCACAAGAAACAGAATATTAAGGGAAGAGCGACGCATAGGATTTTATGATGATACCCAACACCTTACATGCGCCCGCGATGCGCAATAAATCTGGTCGAGATGAGATTTGATAAGATATTGCTACGAAGCCAGATCCGCTAATTCTTCCTACCATCATTCCAAACCTGCAGCAGAGAAGGAAAGACTCAAATGCTAGCTACCAAAGACCCTCTTACCTCATCATTTTTAACCACCTCTCGCTTCGAAAAGTCAGAATTTGCAGTCCGTCCCAAATCTCATGTTTCCGAGGCTCAGTAAACTTGAAGAGTGGCTTTGTGTTATATGAAGACAATTTGTCTCATCAAGGTATGAGACGGTTTTTCATTTTGCGAAAATCGTATCAATCTTCTTCATTACTAACGTGTCTTCCTAAAAGTTGTTCCCAGATACCTCAATCCGAACTATTGAAAGCCTTGAATCAGAGTATGGTTTAGAAAAAGAAGGAGATGGTGGCCAAACTTAATGTTCAGGAGCCCATCTTAGGCAAGTGCAATCCGCTCAATAATCTAGTTGAAGAGCCTACTCCCTCCTAAAATCCAATCTCCTGGATTTGACACAACTTTTGCAACCAAAACTTGGATTTGTTGCGAACATGTCTATGTGGGATTATATGCATCTTCCTCCCTATGAAGATGGAGTTACATCCTTTGGCCTCAGCGGCGAAGAAGTAGTATTTCTAAGACAGAAGCAAATCATCTTGGGAAATGAATTTGAAGGACAGTGGAAAATTGACCCGGCCTTTCTAAGTAAGTTACGTCTCGTATATGCGTAAAATTGTGTACGCCGACTAATGGGTCTGTTTCAAATAGGCATGAGCTATTGTGAGAAACAAGAAGAAGTTCCAGAAAGCTCCATACGAGCGAAGAAACAATCAGTCCAATATTTCGTTACCATCGTACCGGTTGATGCGTCCACCCTTCCGCCCGTCATACTTCCAGAGAGCACGTTATGTATGGCTGCTTTGCTGAATATTGGTTGGACGTATGAGACAGCGGGGATGATCTTTGGTTCTTGGAAAGATAACTCCAAACCTAGAAAAATGATGACATGTGATGATCGTGATCCCACTCTCATCGAGTGAGTATTTCATACCGTAAAAAGACATCAGGTATACACTGACTCTCTGTATGTAGCTATGCAATCTCCATTGTTCAGATGAGAATGGACCAATTGACTATTGCGAAGCAAGCAAAAGTCAATGCAAGAAAGGAAATGACTATTCTCGGACTATCCACCAAATTCCAGGACGATATGCTCGATCAAGATAGCGATCTTCTCGGTGGTCATGTCCATACTGTGGATCTTTATTTTTGGATAATAGATGCGCTGGGCAAGCGATACAGAAACTTGGTATTAAGATTGAGATATCTGAAGAACTATGCGGCAACGGGCATGAAGGCGATGAATTGGTGATGGATGCAGCTCAAACACGAAACAGACATAGTTGGAACGCGGAATTGAATGCCGCTGGGCTTTCTGGGTTTTCAGGTTAGATTATTGCCTTTGTGTTACTTGAATACTCGCAGTAGATAGATGTTGTTAATGTATTTTAAACATTCATAATTAGAGAAGACAAATGGTGTGCAATGTGTTTCGTCCATGTGGAGGCGGGTGGGTCAGCCACACTTGCACTGCCACAATATGAATATCATGTTTTAACAGTTCGAGGGTCCAAAATCATCGTTGTTTCTTACGGTAACCAATTTCTTCGTGAGTTTCATATCCTACTGATTTCGATGTTGTGCTAATATCTGATCAGATACCCAAAATTCAATTATGATACCAAAAACCTCACCGAAATCATAAGATAAATTAAAGCCACATCTCGCAAACGCCAAAAGGTGTCCTCATGGCCGGTGCTATTTCCACTCTCCTCGTGGGAGTTCTCACTGCCGTAGGCAGATCAGATCCAAGTTCACGGAGAGGACTAGGTCTCAAGACTGCTCTTGCCGTTCCGTTGACTGTGGCTTCTCTTGCCGGGTTCTGGGAATATCAGGTGACCAAGAATGTTCCTGAGCCTTATTTGGTATAGTTCTCTTCATTTAAACCTTGATTTGATGCACTGGCTCATATTATCTAGGATGAAGTATTTCATATACCACAAGCTCAAGCATACTGTAGATGGGACTATGGTACTTGGGATCCAAAACTTACCACACCACCTGGATTGTATGATCTTCGTTCAGACAACATGTTATCCTAAGCATCACTGACCAGAAACTAGATATTGGTGGAGTCATTTTCTGAGCATAGTCTCTGGATTCACAACATGCAATGTACATTTTCTTCGCATAACGAATGTCATTGCCCTAACATCTATTATGATGCTTGCTTGGAAATGTCGGAATCTTATTATTCGAACCGGGGTTGAAAACCGCACTGATCAAGTTCCTAAGTTGAGATCCGCAGATTCATTACATACAGCTGCAAACATTGCCTTATTTCCTCCTCTATTTTTCTTTTCGGGGTTGTATTATACGGATGTGCTGTCTACCTGTGTGGTTTTATACCTGTATAAGCAATTCCTTGAGCAAGTAGAATCTAAGAAGATTCACAAATCGTGGAGAGATGGTGCGTGGTTTTATCTTTGTGGTGTGTTGGCTTTGTGTATGAGACAGACAAATATATTCTGGGCTGCCGTGTTCTTAGGGGGAATGGAGGCTGTGAGGACAATGAAAGGGACGTATCGTCCTGCTACTCCATCTCTGAGACACCTCCACGCATCGTCATTGGAGGAGTATCTAAAAGAAGTTGGTGAGCTTGTGAAATCGGAGCATCTACATGATCCACCTCTACATGCTGCTGGTCTCGAAGGTAATTCCTATTTCATTCCGGTTTCCCCGTCAATGTCCATATTTTTCACCCTGTCAACAAGAGCTAACAACCTCCAGATCTCATTCTCACACCCCTTTCAATTGTCTGGACCGCCATGACCCATCTCCCGACTATCCTACTCCAGTTGATTCCCCACATCTCACTCCTCATCACATTTGGTGCTTTCGTCTTCATCAACGGCGGCGTTGTCCTAGGCGATAAATCAAACCACGTCGCTACCATTCACCTCTCACAACTTTTATATCTCTGGCCCTTCATTGCCTTCTTCTCATTTCCACTACTCATCCCGACTCTCTTCTCCTTCCTCTTAAACGCAATCGACACTATTCTCCATCCATCCAAGTTCCTCACCTCCTCATTCAACACCCAACTCCGCGCCTTCATAACCCTCGGTCTCATCCTAGCGTCTCTCCTCGGCTCCCTTGTAATTATAAAATACAACACCATAATCCATCCATTCACCCTCGCCGATAATCGACACTACATATTCTACGTGTTCCGATACAGCATCCTCCGACACCCTCTTATCCGCTACCTCCTGGCTCCTATCTACATTTTCTGTTTCTTTCTGATCTTCGAAACACTTTCTGGATCCTCATTTAAATATACATCATCACCTAAAAAGGAAGCACCCAACAAACTCCACGACTCCTCATCTCCTCCTACCCCCACCTCCTTCTCACTACTCCCCTCCACCCCCCTTTCAACACTCTTCCTCCTCCTCCTCACCACCGCCCTCTCCCTCATCACCGCTCCCCTCGTCGAACCCCGCTATTTCATCCTCCCTTTCATATTCCTGCGTTTGCATTTCCCCACCCTCACAATCTCCGCCTCTCCCAAGATCAATATCCGTTTATACGTCGAGACGATATGGTACCTTTTAATCAATGGGGTTACGGGGTATATATTTTTGTATCGGGGCTTTGAGTGGACGCAGGAACCGGGGAGAGTGCAAAGGTTTATGTGGTAGACATTTTTTAAGAGGGTGGGGTGGTTTTTAGTTTTGGGGGTGTGGAAGCTGGAGGGGGGAGAAGTTTGAGTGGTTTAAAAGGTTCGTTGGAAGGGAGATTTAAGACACCATAGGATGAAATAAGTTGGCGATTTAGAGCGCGAATGTACTTTGTTGTCGTGGAGGATGTACATATAGTTGTAAGATATATATAGATAATCCTTGAAGGACATATTACTATCCTATATCATCTCACTGCTTCCAAGACCATACTCCTTTTTCCTTATTTCCCGCGCACCCACTCTCTTACTCACTAACTCACTTCCCAGCCCATTCATATACAGTATTCATTCAATATTATTTTTTCATTTGGTTCCTATTTATTTGTCTGGTTGAAGTCTTGCAAGTTCCATCTGATATAATATCACCAACGCCCCAAATCCCCATATTCCATTCTGTTCCATATGTTATGATATGATGTAATATAGTATAATCAATCCGATTCCAATAATTCAACATCCCTTCCATATCCATATTACCAACGCCAGTCCATGAGCAGTGACCCTATCATCAATCTTCTTGAGGTACCGGAATTTATGCCGTCTTTATGTGGTGTTGTAGACATTTTTCCTTTCACATTCCACATTCATTCGCTCACTTCTTCCCTGAACAAGATACGCAATCAAGCACGAGATTCCTCATCGTCCAGACTGTAAACTAACAAGAAGTATCTTTTGTTTCCTGCATCCATTTCGAACGTTCAAATCATTTAAGTGGCTGAGTCTACTTTGAATGTTGAATCATCTTCGGAAATCGACACCTTAAGCGTCATACCATGTTGGGATATTTATATCATACCCATTTCCTTTCCTTATCTCACATCACACCCCTTCACAAACTCAATCGATCCAAACTCATCTCGCCTCCACTCCTTCTCCTCTTTATCACTCCGAGCTGAAAATATCTCTCCTCTCCGCCCTGCGTGCGTCCCCCAATATACCATTTTTCCTTGCCCATTACATCTCGAAAGCCTTCCGAGCTACTATCGCTTCCTCTTCTATCTGCTGATGTTTTGAAGCCTGCATACTTGTTTGTGTGATACGGTGCATTTTGATTTGAGATCTGATTCGTACTTGAGGTTGGAGATGTGGGATTCGATATATTTGAGTTCGCATTTACATTTTGGTTTTGATTCAGATAACTCGAGGCAGCGGGGCTAGGACTCGAATCGTAGCTCCCCACGGGACTACTTCCGCCGTTCGTTCCACGATTTCGATCGATTCCTCTTAAAGCACTTGATGTAGCGTTCGACTTCGTGCTGGTACTTATTTGGCGCGGTTGTGAAGGTGTGGATTGCGAATGCGAGTGTGTGTGGGCAGGTTTTTGGTGCGAGGAAGAGCTATTGTTGCTTATGATGGGAGTAGAAGAGAGTTGGGAGGAGCGGAAGGAGGCGAGGAAGGTTGAGAGAAAGGGACGGGACTGTTGGGCTGGAGGTGGCATTCTGGACGAGGTGGGTTGTGTGATGTTGATGTTGACGTTGACGGTTTAAGGTCGTTGTATGCCGTACAATTTACGAGTATTTGTAGACCGGTGGGTGGCTGTCGTGTTACTACTTGACTTTTGAGGAGTCCAAGGCTATTGGTATTAAGAGATATCAGATGGAAGATTGTGGATCATGTATTTCATGCGTGGAGGGAAATCGTGGGACGATATAATGTATGGAGGCGGCTGCTGTTGATGTAGTGACCCGCTCAAGTACATTAGATCCGTCCAAGCGGATATGTCTCCAGGTTGATTTTAGTGGATTCCCTTCCTGGTCTGAATCGTGTGTATGATCGATGAAGTGGCAGATGTGTTGGTAGGTTCGTTGTAGAAGTAAAATTGCTGTAAAACTCGATGGTAAATGCTAATCCCCGCGGGTGGTTTCGATGAATTAAAGTATATTTGATTAAGGTCGTCCTTACTGTTTTTTGGTGTTGTGATTGAACCTCGGGTGTACTCGGCTCTTGCTCTTCCTTCCTGGTATTCCTTGTTTGGTTGTGTTTATGGCTTAAGTCACGAGATTGAATAGGAATCAAATGTCAGACCCTCATTATCTTGTCAAGGAATGGAAGCTGGAATACCAAAGAGAAAATGAGGGGAACACGGGATGATTAGTTTCTTGTCTAGCAGTGACTGCTTTCTAACGGTAAATATGTTTATACTGCACAGACTTATCAAATTTCGTGGACATCTAAATCGTAAATTGCTCTTTCCTGATAGAGAAAATGATCGATGTCGGAAATAAGCGGAATAGGTTTCGTTCGATCGGATGCATGTAGGTTATGCGGGACGATTAGACGATTACTTATGACATAAAAAGTAATAACGCGGGGACGAATTAGAACCCGATGATTTGAAAAGTCAGGTACGTAGTTAAAAGTTAGAATATTCATTAGGGGAAATATTAATAGTTTATTATTCTAGTTGTCAATATATCCTAACCTTAAATCCACTCGACGATGATAATGACAAACGTCGTTGTACAAGCAAAAAGCGCCGTCGAGAGGCTACGAGCACAACTCTGTACGGAGTGTAATGAAAGAACAATTTGATTGTGGCAAGGGATTTCTTTGAACAATCGTAGACCCGAGCGTGAGGAAGCTGCGAAACAATGCCAACCATCAAAATTATTCTACTTTCAGACGTATCGAATTCGGCCAACGCAGAACGTCAAAATGCACGTTTAATACCTAGGTAAGCTTCGCGGCAAAACAAGGCATATGGAAGTTATATCGAAGGGTAAAAGTTTGTTTATCGGACGGAAGGGTCAGTGATAATGGGAAGTATTGTAGAGAATAGTCCACGCAAATAAATTGGCTGAATTGTCACATGAAAATATAACAAAAAACAATCCGAATAGGATTTGCAGATGACTTTTATTGTTCAAGAAAAGCTTACCGAGGGGACCCCGAGTCAATGTAAGCAATGATTCATGGCCACCAGGGCCAAAGTACACCAATTCACTCCCATCAAAGCATATGACCCTGATACGTCTCCAAAGAAAACACATCGCAAACCTTTGGATTCCGGGAGGAGGATGGCGAGGGGACGACTGAGTAGCAACGAGAAGGATATCGGTACGTATATGGGAAATCTCTCATTCGAGTATTTCAGCTTTGGCTAGGGCATTTTTGGGAGCAAGTCTCAAGACATTTCTGATGCTAAGAAAAAGTTCGCTTGTTCAAATAGGAGAAAAGCAGCAACAGACAGGCAAGAATTGAGGTATGTCGCCCACTTGGGAATATAAAATGAAGCACCGAATATAATGTTAGAATAGGTTCGAGCCATTTCTAAGACTTCTGATCTCTAATACTTGTGACAGTGTGTAGATGAGTAAATACAGCGCTAAATATAACCATGTTTTTTGAAATGTTCTGAAAATTTAACTGAGGACGGTTTTGAAATCTTGAGAGATCATCGATGCTAAACATGATTATGTAAAAATGCCTGAGGCTGATAATAATTCTTCCGGCTACCGCCGACTAACATTCTCAATAACGAATACATCGTCGACCTCAATATTACCATTGAATTACCAACCACACATCCTCCTCTTCAAAATGGGCAGCAACGGCGATGTGAGTGTCTCCTGCCAGTGGCAACCGCTCCGCACACTTTGCTGACACGATTTGCGCTTTCAGTTCCACGTTTCCACAGGTATCACTCCTCCAAAGGGACCTGTCTCATACTCGACATATAAGTCTCCCTATGGACCCAAGTACGATGCGCGATTCTTCAAGGAAGAAACCTGAGACTGATGGGCCCGCAGATACAAGATTCAACCAAACATTGCCGGATGGACCCCAAAGGCAGCTTCCAAGGTGTATGTAGATTTTTTCTTTTGAACGGGCACGATATTTATACGCCAGGCCGTATGAAGTTTGGAACTACGATGCTATACATGTGGATGATGTGTTTCATGCTATGATTCGGCATGGCAGAATTGAGTCGGAAACCTGGCTAATTTTGGCATGCAGTGGCCTTACTTTAGCAGGATTTGGTGCTACCGCTGGATTCTTTGCTCTTTTCTTCTTCTCCGACATTCCTAGAGTACGAAACGATATCATGGTTGTAAGTTGACATACTATTGTATATTACAGTATTTTGGCTCATAATTAAACAGAAAATCCCTATTATTGGTGACCGCTGGAGAAAGGAAATTCCTGCATCCGACAACGTACGTTATTTTTTATTTGTTTGGCATTACTAGAATTGGCAATTGGCTCTTGGGCTCGGAGAAAGAAGATCTTGCCATGGCAAATCGTTAGGCTTCAAATTTGCTGTCTATAGCGTCAAGAAGCCGATGTCACAAGTGTACATCAGTTGTTTCCGTCCAGACTCCTTTTCTGAACCGAGTTCTTGACCAGAACAAAAAGTTCCACGCCAGTTACATATCATTTACTCGGCTACAGGCTGACATTGTTTTCTTCTAGCCTTTTTAAAGTTTGTGTCGCTGGTCCAGGGTTGGGAGGATGGAGTGAAGACAAGAAGTGCATGGTAGACAAAATATCGAATTGTACAAAAGATTATTTGAATTAGACTTCACATTCACACTCACCCTCACCATATTTCCATGCCGTTTACATGTAGCAGTTACCGCCCAAAATTATATATGATGTCGGTTTTCAGATAGCTCTAGAAGTTCATAGCAAGGCTGTTCTCGAAGTTCTCGAACCTTCCAAATTTGGAATTACCAATCCAACCTCTCGCGAGGCTGACATTTACCATTTCCAATAATATTCAATGCCAACACTCATTGTACACAACCTACTTTTCCTTCTTATCCTAAATTAATATCATTAAATTTGCTCGTAATACGATTCTTTAGTACAAATTCGTTCATCTCAGACTACGTTTCAATAATATCCTCAACAGCACAGCCCTCTTGTGTAACGAGGCTGAAATCAACCCCCATAATCAATTAACGCAAACAAATAATTTATACCGGCATATCGAAAAAAAACACCATTTCGGTGAATAAACTGGACGGCCTAGTATCTATACGTTCTAGGTCTATATTGCTTTAGCCGCAGACTCTTAACCTCATAGTCGGTCCAATTATCGTCTCCGCCGTAAAGTGGCATCATGGCAGGATCCAATCTACCTCACGATCCCAAAAAAGCTCTCGAGTTTAAGAACAAGGGAAATGATCATTTTCAAAACAAAAACTATGAGGCTGCTGAACAATTTTATAGTAAAGCGTTAGTCTATATTCTTGATTGATTTCCCTAGTCTTGCGCACTCCTTCAACCCTTCTGCTTCCTACCCCTCATCATCCATATACCCAACCCTGTCATGTCAGATAACCCCATCTAACACGCCACTCCCCAGCATCGCCCTCGACCCTCTCAATCCTATCCTCCACACGAACCAGTCCAAAGCTCTCCTCAAACTTGCCCGCTATCCCGAAGCAATCGCCTCTTCTGAATCCGCTATCGCAGCTATATCCTCCGCCCCCATAAACAGCGTATACATGAAAGCATACTATAACATCGCACAAGCATACCACGCACTACGCGACTATGATTCCGCGCTCAAAGCGGCGGAAATGGCGAGGGAACATTGTATAAAGGATATGCCGATCGGAGGGAAAGGACTAGTGGGGAGTGGGAAGAGTTTGCCGCTTATCTTAGAGCTGGGACTAAGGTGTAGGAAGGAGGGGTGGGAGAAGAAGGAGGAGAGGAGAAGGAGGGATAGGGGCTATCTGTTGGGAGAGGTAACGGGTTTGATGAGGAGGGAGATGGAGAGGGAGGGGGAAGAAAGGAAGGATATAATGGGGAAGGGAATGGGGATGCGATGGATATTGATACTAAAGAAATCACGGGAGAATGGGAAAAAAAAATTGAAGAGGTAGAGAGGGTATTCAGACTTGTTGAAACACAAGGAAAGGAAGGGAGGAGGAGAGAAATGCCCGATTGGGCAATTGACGGGATCAGTTTTAATGTTATGATCGATCCTGTTGTGGTATGTTTTTCTCATCTTATATCCTGACTTGACAGTCCCTTCATCCGACCCTGTTCATCATCACCATTGAGAAGATACTAACATGCCTCCCTCACAGACCAAAACAGGCCAATCCTACGAACGCACAAGTATCCTTCAGCATCTCGAAAGAAGCTGTACCGATCCCCTAACAAGAGAACCGCTACTTCCAAGTGATCTAAGACCCAATCTAGGATTGAAACATGCAATTGAAGAGTTTCTGGAAGAGAATGGATGGGCTGTTGAGTGGTAGTTGCACTTGAGAGATGAGAAAAGGAGAGGGAGGACACGAAAGTGGGATTTGGATTTAAATGATATGTTAAGCGAGCGTTGGTTAGCACAGCTCTTCTGCCTGTCTGCCTGCTTACATCAAGCGGTGCATTTCTTGGATCTTCTTTTCTCGATTGGCTTATTTGTGTGTTTGTTGGAAATACAAGGCGAGAATTTGAGGTGCGTGGAACTATGAAATGGATTTGAGATATTTATTTGAATCATTTCTTGAAAGTATGGATTGGAATTAGATCCTTTCTCTCCAAAATCTTGTTAATTCATGGGTTGGTTAGATTTTTGTGCGTGATGTCCTTTTTCTGTTTTGAGTATGGGGCCTGAGGAAAGGGAGTAAAGGGATGAATTCACGGTTGAGTACAACGATGAATGGGTGTTTCATAAACATCTTGGGCTTTCTGAAAAGAAAGAGGAGAAAGATCAGCAATACAGAAATCGCAGCAAGTGATGAAAATCCTAGACGAGGGGAAAGAGAAAGGTGAGGTGTCAATGATTTATAGTAATCGGAGTAAATTGCAAATAAATAGGGATTGGTGTGAAACCTTGAAAATCAGTATTAAAACTCAACTGCTTCTTTTAGATCTGGGATAGTGATATGCAGAGCAGTATTGTTGACATGTTAATCAAGTCAGGTAAGTCGCGACCTTTCACTCACTCAAAGTTCTTACACTCGGAAGATCCTGGATTCGTGTTGAATATTTGAACAGGAAATGTATGGTTGAATATGAATAAAGAGGAAAAGGGAAGCCAGGGGGATATGAAGACGTAGCATGGGTAGTGATTACCAGAGCTTAATTACAGGTAGTTTCCTTGAAGCTTTTTATTCAGGCAAATGTGAAATGGCAGACGGAGGATACTATTTCTTCACGGTTCAGATGATCAGAATCTAGGAGATATCAAAGAGAGTCCGATTGTTGAAGCGTACAGGTGTAAGTAGTGTTATACCCTGCCTAGAATACTCAAAAACTAGAAATAGAAGGAAGGATCTCCCCCATAGCAACTTTTCCCCTTCAGTCATAGAAATCCTCAATTCTTTCCTCGTCTTGCTTGCAATTTAGCACCACACAATATTCGGAGGAGATATCTGAAAGCACTTTAAATAAAGAATAGCTAGCGAAGCGAAGAATGAATATAAAGAGATACAGGTAACACAATCTAAAGTAGTATAGAAGTGCTGAGAATAATAAATATCAGCAAAGGCTGCGCATGTGAGAGCGTTCGGACCATTTTACTCTTTCATTCTGGTAATAGAAGGTAAATCATAAGCCGGTTCCTCCATAACGAAAAATTTCTATGGTACTTCTTTCTTTCCATTTTAAAAGCACAGAAATAAGATGGCCAGAAAGCGATTCGGTTGAAGGAGGCCAAAATGAAAAGGTCTGTAATCCGTCTTGTTCAAGTTGACACGATAGGCGTTACCCAGGACACACCCCTACAGATCGCCGTGGATAAATTGTGAATAATGTAGCTTGGTGCTTAATGGAAAATCATGAATGAAGGAAATGAAAAGCAATAATAAATAAAACGAAACTGGAATGAAAAGTCTTGTGTGGTTAATAATAGGACGAATGGGCGATATATGTATCACAAAGCTGTAACCAATCCTGCAAGTAGAATGGGCTTTCAAACAACTTACAGAACATGCAACTTGTGCTAGCCTTAGTTGACCTCTTTGGATATACCAGAGAACCAAATGTGTTTCGATAATTCCAGAGCAGTACTTCGTTCCTCAGGTAGGTACCTGAGAGACTTTCGGAGTAAGTCCTCGAGAATTTTTGCTTCAGCAGTAGATATCTTAATGCCGGATGGCTCAAGGTAACTATTAGAATGTTCAGGACCGCAACGTTCGACCTCAGTAGAAGTTACCATACTCTGAGTCTCATTATCTTCTGAATCGGACACGTTGGCAGAGGTTTTCGTTTTGGGTTTCTCTGCCGGTATGGAAAATTTAGTGAAACTTTTTTTAGGGGATCGGCCTGTCGATAGTCCCTCGGAAGATGGTGTCTTCTCCGAGCTTTTAGCATCTGAACTCTTGGCCTCAGAACTTTTAGCGTCTGAACTCTTGGATTTCGAACTCTTGAATTCCGAACTCTTGTCTTCGGAACTCTTTGGGTTCGACTGAGATCCCGCAGCAGAACCATTTTCGGCTTTGTTGGAATAAGAAATAGATATTCCTTGGCCAACAAGATTCGCTGACTTGAGAATAGCCTCCGCTTCGCTGGTTCTCAACTTCTCCGCCATCTCCACGAGTTGATCTGTTCCATCAAGCATATCAGTCTGAGGATGCTCCTTGAAATTTTCAATGCATTCCAGCGCTTCATTTCTCAGCTTATGTCGATGAGGAGGAGCATCACCATCGTGTGTACCGGTCTGCAAAATCTGATCGAGTATGTTTCCTGCTGATTTTGCATCAATTTCTGTTTGTTCTCTATACCATTGTAGACCTTCTTTCCACGCATCCCACCATTCATCAGGAAAGACGCCTAGAAGTCTCACTGCAGCTATCAACATCTCGTCCCTGTTAGGAATGCCATCATATTTGAACAACCGAGATCCTGTACGAATCTCAAAAATTGTACATCCTAGAGCCCATATATCTGAAGCGGCACTTCTGTAACAACCGAATAAGAACTCAGGTGCACAATAGCTTTTGGGCGTGCCAAGGTCAAAAGATGGGGCCGTTTGGAGGAAAGCGATACCAAAATCGATTATTATGATGTCATTTGCTATCCACTTGGGATTAACCTCCTTCATGTTGATTGGGGCAACGGTATAATCAGGAAAGGAAGAATCAGTTACTGGAAGCTTGGAGTTGGCATATATGATCTCTGTTTTCTGAGGAACACCTAGTCTTTCATAGATTTGTTCCTCGGTCCACTCGTCGATATTGGCAAGCTGTAACAGAATGTTGGCAGGAGTAACATCTAATTTTGTGGTGAGCTGATGGAAAAGTAAGAAGGAAGTTATATGGCATTGCAAACCTCCATGAACGACGCCGGTGCTATGAATATAATTTAAGCCATGTATAGCCTGCCAGCAAACATTCCTTGCCACAGACGCTTCCAACCGTCGGCTTCCTTTATATTCACCTGGACAAGAATTGAATTGTTTGATGCTAGGTCCTCCAACTTCAGAGACCAAGCATAAATGGTCTCCGTTTGGGCCCTTGTGAGTGAAATGATCTAGCAAAGACATGACGTAAAATCTTCCGTCATGCTCGGGACTGATACGATTAAAAATTAGTCAACGCAAGCAAGACTCTTGAATGCGAAACCGGATTTTAAGTACGGAATAGAACGGGACACTAATGTGAAATTTGCGGTTGAAACCTTAGGTTTCGCAATGCGAATTGAAACATTTTTCTTTAAATTCAAAAAGACTTTACTCGCCTCGACTTCATCCGACGTAACATGTCAACCTCTTTTGAAGTACTTGATAATCGTGCCGCAAGAATTTTTAAAGCAACATATCTTTCTCGCTTAGTATCTCGTGCAAGCCATGCCGTCGCGAATCCTCCATGTCCTAATTTGTGTATGACCTTGTAGCGATCGTGCTTGAAGGTATCTTCGAGATGTATGGGATGGAAGCCCCCTTTGCCATAATTTTTTTCGACAGGCTGTGCTCGATATTTGGCATCATCAATAGGCTTGGCATGCTTTGGATTGGAACGAGCATTGGCATCAGCCGTAGATTCAACATGCTTCACATGAATATTGGCATTGTCCATCGTGGTATTTTTGATTTCAATCCCTACCTTGGTTTTGCTTCAAGTAGGATGAAACGAAGTAAGTGAAATTGCTATTTCAATATAAATGTTCATTGATGTTAATTTATGAAAAGATTATCTAAGTATGTATTAACTGATATTGTGTTGAGATCGATGAATGGTGTCTGAGGTCGTATTTAATTAAATTCGCCTCAATTAAATCCGCTCCAAAATTTATGCTGACGAAGCAATAATCGGTTGATCATTCTTCCGTAACTAAATTTAACGTCCTCCTCGATATCAGACTGATAAATGACAACGACAGTCATGCAGGTTGTATTTCATTAGTTGATGCTCAACTTCATAATCGAAAGATCACAACAAAGGCAACATGCCAGTGTCATGCTACTTTGTGAAAAGTCTCCTCGCACAAACTTTTCAAGATCTGGATCATAACTTCATCGAAATGACAACGACGATGATATATTGTTCACTTGAATGTGATGCTGTAGCTGCAACAAAACAGGTAAGTATTGACTACAAACTCTAGATGAATGAACATACCTAGTCTACCTAGGCATTGTTCCAACTCATCTTTGAGTTCTGTGGCCTATTGCAAGTGGAGTTTAGAAGATAGACATTTCTAGAAGGAAAGACCAGCGGCAGTTGATCATCCAGCAAAGCTCTTCCGCAATCCATTGGGTGCCTTTCGATTGTTCTTGAAAGATGTCTTGGATATCATACGGGAGAAGTTTAATTTCATGCTTTCAAATTCAGTAGTTCTGCTAGCAATTGATTTATCAGTGTACTTTGGTTGACCTCGGGATTCGGCCTGTTCTCTCTACCCAAATAGGATGGATGATGGTTCACTATCTATTATTTTCCCTGGCGGTGATTTTCGTTTCATTTTATTCTCATTTCCTTTCATTTTACCTTCCTGCTACCACAATTCTTCTTCTTCGCGGTATGCTTTATTAGCTTGGAATGCTGTACAACAGATAATTTTTACCTCCGATTTTACTTCGTTTGCCAGTTTGTCTGAGAATCTCTTTACCGCCAATCGCAAGTACAAACAAACTTCTTTTCGCAGAAGGGCGCATTCTGCAGTTCTGGTGATTCCATTTTCATCGGACAAAAATTTCACAATCAACAGTATGGTCTAGAAGATTAAGGAGCAGCGCAAAGATGACAACGACACGCGGGAAGAGTGAGCTCGTTCTCTGTGATTTTTCCTCATCTCTGCTGACATGACTAGCTTCAGAATCTGGCGTGCTAAGCTTTCTTACCCTACGTACCAACCAATTTACACGCATCGCGACGGAGTATTCTGGTGTTACAGACATAGCTTCAAGCCTCCATGCGAATGTACCGAATGTAACCAACAATTTCGATCTATGGGATCTTAGATAAAGAAAATCTTCACATATAGCTTTATGTTATCCGACGCTGAAGCTCGACAGAAATCCGAAGGATTCGTTCAAAGCATAGATGGGAATCGGGCCTATCTCCAAGAACAATGTAGTAATAATGGGAACGCAATCATGAAAAAATGGAAAAAGAAAAGTTGCGGAAAACCGGAAGGGCTATTACGAAGCGTCGATCCAGACTTATATCCACATCAGTGGTTTTACGCTTATTTCAATCAATCCTTCCTTGATACTTTTGTAAAGAAAATCAGTACTGATGGATAATTCGACATCGATTTTACGCAAGGCAAACAATTGCGCAAGCACCGCACTTCTTGCCTACTACCATATTTGAACGTGGAAGGGTTGAGTCAGGATCCTATGAGGCTTTCAGGTCTTTTGTATAATCGTACAAAGTATTCCCCTGAGCAATGGGGTCCATATGACAATTGTCTGCTTGAAAAGCATTGGGCTATTGGCTCTTTGGCGCTGGATTATAATTCCCACAGCATCATAATGCATGGACCCAAGTACGGCACAATGACGCAATGGAAGGGAATTGAAGCGCATAGATGGACACCAATTGGCTTTCCAAGGGCTATTCTTATTCTTGAAACGCAGGCATATCTTCTTACATTTCTCCGATCCGTGGTTGAGCAAATTGTGTGCTCTTCGAACGCTTCTCTTGTGAAGAATCAGACAACGATGCTCGACGAGGCTTTTCAGCAAGGCTTGAAGAGGTCAAGTGGAACATTTGGATATACCTTAGAACTGGCTTCTCCTTATTTAAACCAACCTTTTTCGTCACCGCCTTCATTTGATATCGATACGCTATTAGATATCGCCAAGACAAGGCAGGCATTACAAGGGGACCACCTCTGGCTTGTCCAAACCGACCCTCTGTACGCTAGGCGCTATATAAATTTAGAAATGACCAATAATTTCGGAGAGAATTCAAAACCTTACCACCAATTTTTTCTCGGAGCATCTTCCTTCATTCAGTATTCAGTCATCTTCTGGTCGTAGTGAGATATTTGACGAGATACCAAAGCTGAAGGGACTTCTGACTCCTTTACATGAGATCCTTGATTCAAGAAGACCTTTGTGGAAAGTTTACGATGAATTGCTTGGAGCACTTGAAGCGCTCTTGTTGGACCAGCTTCAACGTCGTCTGCAGTATCTCGGAAGCATATTACCTATGCGCCTTCGTGATACATTCAGATTCAGCACTTTTCAACGGCTAGAGTCTATGGCATTTTACCACACTCGTAGAGATCTGAAGTTATTTCCCGATTTTGCCAAAGGTAGGCTAGAATTTTGCTTGTCGCTGTTAGCATTTCCTGGATAGCACACTGAACATCTGGTCCACCCCGAGAAAAAGCCTAAATTCGAGTATACAATGCTCTTTGCCATGTTGGACGAACACTTGGCTAAATGCGGCCAAACTAAAGATATGAAGGAGCTTGCCAGAATGGACGAGATAATGTATGCCGCGTTCTTTGATATGGCTGCAATAAATCAGATGCTCGAGATGGTTCGGTTTTATCGTCCTCGAGGTGTCAGGCGGGAAATTGATGAGATTACGAAGGTCGAGGATGGTCGTGGATGGCGTTATATCAGGAATAATTTGTAGGATCAGTACCAAGCAACTCGCCTCGATACAAGAACATGGGAGCCCAGTGGAACTATTCCGATGAGAGAAGATGGGGATCGGAAAATCGAGGCTGAAAAACTGCTGGTAAAATTCACCAAGGAATTCATTGACACACCCGAGCCAAGCGGAACGCGTCTCAGCCAGCAATGGCTCGATACGGACAAGCAACAACGAGTAGCACTTGGTAGGATGTGGGCTCAGATTCGGGCTCGTCACGAGCAAACACTTCGCCGCTTAGGGTTTGAGCAAGAGGACGTAGATTGTGATCTGGCAACTCTCTCTGCTGACAGTACCCCTGACCATATCGCGTCAATTGATATACGAAATAGCGAGATCCTTGCAGAGATAGTTGCCAGAAAAGCAAAAAAAGACTGCATCACTAGAACAAGTAGTGGTGCAAAAGCATCGAGGCCGCCAACAGCAAGAAAACTGCCAGATTCCAGTCTGCTCGAAAGTCAAGACCAGGAAGCTCAACATCGCAGATACGGATGAAGAGCTACCTTTTAAGATATCTGTCGATTCAGACTCGATTGTAAGTCCACCTCTCGAAGTCCCATCCACAAAAGTGTCTGTCAGTAAGAACTCGTACGCCATATTCCAAACCATGTTCCCAACCCGAAATTTCGAGAAGCGCACCAAGACAGTACCCTGGGATTCCTTCGTTAACGCCATGGTCGATGCTGGATTTGTAGCGAGTCAAAGTGCAGGAGGATCAGCCCTTCAATTCGAGCCTGATGCCATTTCGCCTTGGTTTGGATAGGGTAAGATAGTTTTCCATAAACCCCATCCTGAGCGTGTTGTGGATGCAACCATGCTGGGAGCAATGGCAAAGCGGATGGAGAAGTGGTTTGGATGGAGCGATGTGACTTTTGAAGTGGGTAAGAAATAATAGGTTTATTGTCTGGATGCGATTCGCACAGCACATTGGTCTGCGATGGTTGGTCCGGGTGGGACAATTGGACTCAGCATAGGTGGTATTGCCTATCCCAATACATTTATTAGACGGAAGTTTTCTGTCGTACTTTATCACAGTCAAATAAATAGAAACATTGAGAAAAAAACTGGAAGATAGAAAGACACCGCCGATTACAATAATAGCAATCTACACTCTATCCCTTAGATGCCTGGTGTAAATACCATTCTAGATACCTGTACAAATGATATCATATTTAGAAAACACAGAACTAATCACCCTTAAATCGAACAACTCAATTTTATATGAATGTATCAAGCTACACCACGATCACCCCACAAGATATATAGATAAGGATGGGTGATTCATTCATCCTAGGGCACAGTCACTATCATCGGTCACCATATCACAATTTTACAAAACAGCTGTATTTTATTTTAATCTTTTGTTATTGCCAGATAACTGCAAGTAAGAAAACACAGACTTGAGGTCTTGTGCAAGCCATAACCCCCCCCCCCCCCCCCCCCCAAAAAGATAAATCCTAGAACATTCGTATTACAAATGCAACCAAACCAGTAAGTAGTGAGGCGAGATTTGTCCCAAATAGCGATTTCATATGCGATGCGGAGTAGTCGGGATCCTAACACAAAAGACTGTTGGAAGTGCTGCCATTAGTATTGCGTATTTGTTCGACTGAGTAAGACACCTCTATCTGTACTGTACCGAATTGTTGAAAATTAGAGTAAAACATCGTCCTCCCTGAGCCTTCTTTGATCTGAATTAGATGTAATCGATCATTCAACATCAACGATTGAAATCTCAACATAGATCGTCATTCTCTTTCTTAAGCCATTGACCTGGTCGTTTGAGTATTTGTGAAAAACCTGCTGATGAAAATGCGGCTCATACTTCTTTACGTCGGAATTGTAAACCCAGACAGTCTCCAAGGTAGTAGTAAAAGCGTCCTTTTCTTTTCTGCATTGTGGGTTTCGCATTTTCTCAGTGACTCCTGGGGTATCATATGAGATAAGGCGATCCGGGTCGTCAGGGAACTGTCGTGCGCGCTCGACCTGCGCTCTGTATGATGGCGGAAGGTCGTCTCTATTGAAGCTCTTCTCGCAGCTGTAGATTTTAGAGCCCGGCAGCGCCTTGTGTGTAGGTATTTCCCTTGCAACATCCTCAGGCGAACAATTTCGGAAGAATGCTACTATTCTCTTGAAATCAGTAGCAGGGAGACTAATTTGAACATCTTGAAGAATGTATTTCGGGAAGAGCTACTCAATGTCAGTTGTTGTTACCGGCGGGATTGTGAAAGTGATGGACAAACGTTGTTGAAAGCCTTGTACATCTCTTTTAGCTCATCACGGGAGGCAGTGTCGACAATCTCTTGTTTCTTACGCGCAACGTTCAAGTCGTCAAGAATGTTATTTTCAAAAGCCACTTTCCGAAATTCAGCCAGCAAAGCTCTTGAAGCATTTGGGAACTCCTTTTTGAAAAGTGCCATATTATCTTCCTACAAGAGACATCAATTTAGCATTGAAATTCTCAAAGCTGGTCAAATATCAATACTCACAATCAAAATACGGTATTTAACATGAGCTTCCTCCCTTAAAATATCGATTTCTCTAAGCTTTTGAAAATTTTCATATCGGGTTGCTGTAAGTGCGTGTATCTTTGACTGCCAAATTTTCACATCTGGGTTCATGTCAACCGTAATTGTATTTTTGTTCATCCTTCTGATTTGATCCCCCTTTACTTTTGCCTCAGGTAGGTTCTCCATTGTGATGCCAGAGAGCTAATAAGACCTGAGTTGATGGCTTGATTGATTTGGGATAGAATACGATGAGAAAAAGTTGCTCATGTACACAAAATTAAGCTTCAGAATAGTTGTGTGGCAAAAGAAAACAAGAAGAGGATTTCTCGGAGCAAAGCCCCCTCCTTAAAGAATGGTCGCAATGCTCGCAGGAGTGAATATGAGTGGAACAGTCTCAATAAACTTAAGACGGTTGTATTAGTGAATATCGAATTTTGTTGAGTTGAGTTTTGATTTGTTCTGCACAGCTAGATGAACAGTGTGAAGGATATCATTGGGCACACATACTAGGCAGGACAAGAAACAACAACTTGAATTTAGGGTCACACGGTACATGAAAACAACACAAAACTGAGTTTTTATTCGCCATATTGAATCAAGTTGATTGAAATAAAATGGATGAAAGAGGAGCAAGAGCTCAGTGCCGAATAGCTTGCATAAGCCATAAATTATGAGAGGTATAAACGTATCTTGAAAGAGAAAGGAATAATGCTCGAGTGGATCCAAATAAGCTAGGAGAGGGGGGCCTAAGTGTAAAGGAGAACCAATACAGAGTAGAGCGTAATATTTTAATTAGAGAAGAGAGGAGTGCGAAGAAAGAAAAGAGAGAAGCAAATGAAAAGAGACTTCTCCTCTCATTTTATCTCTATAACGCTCATCTAAGAGATACCAGCCAAAAGAGTAGGCTCTTGATCTTTCTAAGATACATCACTTCCCTCCCTCTCCAACCTTCCAGTCAGTTCGATGCAAGAAACCTACCATTAATAGGAGAAAAGGTTGGGAACTTTAATCAAAACAGTAGCAAGATAGAGCCTGAGCCAGGTCTTGCTCTCCATCTCATTTAAAGGTCTCGTCGCCCAAGAGACTGAGCAAGAGAATCACACGTCATGGATCATAATCATCATTGTCGAAGATAGAATGAGTGAGTGCGAAAAGGCGATGTTTGGAATTGATGTCGAATATCACTGGCCAGGTGATTCGTGGCAATCAGTATTCAGCAGTCAGTTGGTGGCCAGAAAGGCAATGCGAATCTACTAGCACGTGATCAATTGTAAGATCTTGACTCCGTGAAACATCTTTACAGAAAGACCTTCTGTTAAATTCATGAAAACATGACCGTTGTGTTCGTTGTGTTGATATGCTCAGGGTAAACATCAAAGATCGTGGGGTTGGAGTGGAGTGGATAGCTTCCAACGGAACGGAATAACAACTCACCCGGAGCCAGATTAATTATTACGCATAGAACAACATTTTTAAACATCCCCGTGAGCAAGCAATCCGTCCCTCCATTTCCTTCGTACCCGGACAGACATTCAATATGTCGAACCCTCTCTTGCGCACTCTGCGTACATCGCGACCAAATCTCTCCTCTTCTCCATCCCGTATATCTGCCAAACGCTTCGTATCAACCACTACCGAAACATCCCCAGTTCTTACCCGATCGAAGAATCTCCTCGTTGGAACCTCGATAGCTCTCGCTCTCGGCTTTGGCTACCTATATATTACCGATACCCGAGCGAGCGTTCACCAATGGCTTGTGGTTCCCGCATTACGTGCCATATATCCCGATGCCGAAGAGGCCCATCATGTAGGAACCAAAGCTCTCAAAACACTCTACTCATTCGGTCTCCATCCCCGCGATCGAAGCTTCAGAAACGGTAATACAGATAAGGCAGATTTGAGCGTGGAAGTATGGGGACAGAGATTACAAAATCCAATTGGTACATCTGCGGGGCTTGACAAATTGGCAGAGGTTCCAGATGCCTTGTTTGCTATGGGTCCTGCGATTGTCGAGGTTGGCGGATGCACACCACTTGCTCAAGATGGAAACCCAAAACCTAGAGTTTTCCGTATACCGAGTCAGAATGCTTTGATCAATCGATATGGACTCAATTCAAAGGGTGCAGATGATATGGCTATGCGATTGAGGGAACGGGTTCGTTTGTATGCATATCAAAATGGATTGGGTGTAGGTGAAGATGCTGAGAAGATGGTTTTGAATGGAGAAGCTGGTGTTCCTCCAGGAAGTTTGTTGGACGGGAAATTATTGGCGGTACAAGTTGCCAAGAATAAAAATACCAATGGTGATGACATTGAGGCCGTTAAAAGAGACTACGTTCACTGTGTCGAGAGATTGGCTCCATATGCCGATATTTTGGTAGTCAATGTTAGTAGCCCAAACACCCCTGGTTTAAGAACTTTACAAAAGGTTGAACCATTATCCCGAATCTTAGAAGGAGTGGTTGGGGCTGCCAAATCCGTAGATCGGAAAACAAAGCCTAGGGTTATGGTCAAGGTATCACCTGATGAAGATCAAGACGAGCAAATTGAGGGTATCGTTGAAGCTGTTTGGAGAAGTGGTGTTGACGGTATAATTGTCGGTAATACTACAAACCGAAGGGACAAGCTTATCCCAGACGATATCAGAATTTCCGCCAGAGAAAGCAGGGTTCTTGAAGAACAAGGAGGATTTTCCGGACCACCAATGTTCGAGAGAACACTGTCTTTGGTCAAGAGATATAGAGCTCTACTCGACCGAGGACCACCACAACAAGATACCACTACTGAATCAAACGACGCTGGTCTTGTCTCCACCATCGCCGAAAAGGCAAAATCTCTCACGGGCAATAAGACAAATGACCAGAAAGTAATCTTCGCTACTGGTGGCATCACGAATGGAAAACAAGCACTAGAAGTCTTGAATGCAGGTGCAAATGTCGCCCAGGTTTACACAGCATTGTAGGTGTCTTACCCCATTCTAACCATCACCTCCATGTGAAATAAAACAAGAGCGCAAACATCTCACAATGTATACTAATCTATCAAATAGGGTCTATGGAGGTGTTGGCACAATAACTCGTATAAAAACTGAGATGAGCGACGAGATTTCGAAAAAGTAAATAGAGTTAATAAAATAGTAATATACCCAAAGTTGTACATATTGTTCAAGCGATGAATTCATTGAACTCAAGTTCCAATAACCTGTAAATAAAGTGTTCGTTCAATTGAATATTCGCGTCACATATCTCGTTAGAAGTAGGCACAACTTCAATACGTGTTTGGAACTGAGTCATTTGGTAGTCTTGATACGGGGTATATAATATTTAATTTACGAAAGAGTAAAAACAAACCCGCTCAAACGCCAATGCCCCCATTTTCCCAATGAGACTTATCCAAGTCCGATTTGAACATATCACAACTAAACTCCTACTCTGTTGAACTTAAGTTCAGACGACTTCCATTGCTTCCAGACAAGACAACGCCTTCATGCCCTCGGCCTCGAATGCTGCTACCATTCGCTCGCATTCATCAAGAAGCTTTCCTTGAGCAACCGTTGCCGTATGGTAAATCCATTGCTCCACCGACATTTGGCTTTCCGCTTTGGTTAGATTTCCTGTTCTGAGATTCGACATTGCTTCCAAGAAATGCTCATGTTCTTCTTCGCCGAAAAACATCTCAGCATCTACGGGTTCCCATTGCTTGGTAGTTTTGGGTGCTATAGAGCCTTGATTTGGAGGAGTGTTAGGTCTTTCAGGAAACTGGTTCTCCGCATCAGAAGATTGATGTTCTGTGTCTGAAAATTGGTTGTCCGCGACTGAAGATTGGGGTGGCGACAAGGGGGGTGGAGATCCGGGTGGAGATTCTAGTGGAGACCCTTCCATCCAGAGCAAGTCCGAAGCTCCTGCCTGATTCTGCAAGTCTGTAAAGGTGGGTGCTCGTAGTGGTGCAGCTGATGCTTGAGGAATAACAACTTGTGCAGTACTAGCCCTTGTAGTACGTTTTTTAGGTTGGGGATTTGGAAGGTCAGGTTGAGACATCTCGTCGTCACTTTTCCTCTTTCTCCCACGATTGGAAGATGCTGTTGGGGCTTTGGGAGCCTCAATTGGTTCGACTTTCTTAACCGTAGCCTTGCGACCTTTGAGTGCAGATGTCTTCACTTTTGTTGTGGCTGTAGACATGATACTGTCTCCCTCTGCATCATTTGCATCATCTGTATCGCTAGCGCCGTCAACGGCGGGCCGTGTAGATAATTGAGCTAAGGCGGCCTTTTTGGTCGGGGCCTTTCGACCTTTAAGTACCGATGTCTTCGCTTTCGTTGTTGCTGTAGACATGATACTGTCTCCCTCTTCGGCAGCTACATTGCTAACAACGTCAATAGCTGGCTGTGTAGATAATCGAGCTGAGGCGGCCTTTTTGGCTGAGACCTTTCGGCCTTTCGGCCCAGATGCTTTGCCTTTTGTTGTGGCTGTAGACATGATGCTGTCCCCCTCTGCTTCATCTGCATCACTAGCAACACCTGCATCACTAGCTACATCTGGGTCACTAGCTACATCTGGGTCACTAGCTACATCAATAGCGGGCTCTGTAGATAACCGAGCTGGGGCTGCCTTCTTAGCCGGCGCCTTTCGACCTTTGGGTCCAGATGCTTTGCCTTTTGTTGTGGCTGTAGACATGATGCTATCCCCCTCTTCAACATCTGCATCGCTAGCAATAGTAACAGCAGATTGTGTAGATAAACGCGATGCTTTCGATGTTCTGCCCCTCTTAGTAGTTGATTTTTTCAAGGCAAGTTCTGAGTTATGCTCGTCGATAAGTATGAAGAAAGGACATTCGGGCGATCGGTTAAAATGTTCATCCCTGTGAGAAAAGTTAGCTTCGGTAGTCAATGGAGAGATGTCCAAACATACAATGGCTTGTCGGATGGCTCCCATCCATCTAATGCCAATGAACAATAAGTACAAGTAGCCATATCATTCGATTCTGCGGTTGGAGTATATTTCCATCCAGCGTTGACTAACTGTTACCTCGTCAGTATAAATGTTGTCATGAGTAACAGACAGTCCATACCTGTTTAGTCTTGCATTTCCAACCCCTCTTTGCTTCATGAGGCCATTTTCCTGCAAATGTCGCAGTTCTAGCCTCGACCATTCTCAAACTGGCGGGAAATTCCCTGCTCAATTCTTCATCTTGTGCCTCAATCGAGGCAACAATCGCCCATCCACAATTTGGTGAATGCTTTAGATGTTCTTTCAATGGATCATCACCTTCCTCCCAGGCATCAATAGATCTATGGCAGAGAAAACAAGCGCAATTGTCAGGATTGGCTTGCGAAGGATAGTAAAAGAAACCTGCTTTTGCAAGCTTTGCGCAAAGTTAGCGAGCGGCAAGTAAACAAAGATAGAATACTTCATACTTCTTCTGGTAGCAAGGATTTGTGTGGCCATTTGAGACTTTTTGGAGCTCTTGATCCAGTGGTCGAAGTCCGACGGCCAGCAAGAGGTTGTGCGTTACGGTAAGATGCCACTCTACTTTCAAAAGTAATGTAGCCCGGGGCAACATCGTGAGCAGCCATTGTAGCAACACGCGTCGCGTCGACAGATCCTTTTGGATATTGCAATGCAGGTATTTTGTAATGCGAAATAATTTTTAATCTGATGAGCTTGAGCTGAAGTTTATCAGCAGTGGTAATTGACGCGTTTTGTTATACGAAGCCTCAAGAATTGTTTATTGTCGTGGGGAGAAAAGGTTGGATTCGTTGATATGTTTATTGAATGTATTCTGCCATTTCGAATAAAAGCGGTGTAAATCGTTAGCCGCCTCTATGGTTAGTAAGACCTCCCTTGAACGTTACGACATAGCTTAGCAGTCAGCCTATCACAGAAAACTACAAGAACTTTATTTTGTCTACAATAAATCTTCACTTATTCAGATTCTAGGTACTGTACTGTACTGTAAAATGGAGTACAGGGTCTTAATTGTCTAATTGATGATGCCTCATGTACATATCCAATCCTTCAACTCGAGATTGTGTGAAGGAGAAGATCAGCTATTCTACCAGTAAAATAGTTACATAAACGTCTTCGCCCCTTCATTTCAACTTTGTATCACGGAGTAGATTAGCTAGTTCTATTCTATTCATAGGTCTACTTTCTTGAATCCCTCATCAAGCACATGAAAATTCCCAAGGCTCTGCTCCAAGTTAGCTCAAGAACTCGGCTGCAGCCTGCCTGTAGTATCATGATATACGATGTTGAGAATCTTTCCCCTACCACTGCTTTCTCATGTCTTCCCTCAAAATTACAATGTCATGAAATAAGAAAGAACTCACAAAGTCGATGGTGTAGTTAGTACCAGGCAATAGAGCGCAGTTGATATAATACGGCATGGCAGTGATGTTGTGTTTATACACACACCATCTTTTCTATATCCAACCAGCATTAAGCCGTCGCTTTTGTGATGCTCAACCCCAAGATTTCAATTTCAATTTGAAGGGAACTATACCATGTGCTGTTCTCTTGACTACCAAAAACCGTCTTGTCTATGCACATACCTGTCAAAACATCGCACTAGATCCTCACCAAAGGTATCTATAACGAAGTCCCATGCGTCAAATGTACACGTTTCTCTAACCCATCCTCTGTTTCTTGGCCGGACTCTGAAGCCGCTTTTTTGTTCCTCTAGACTAGTACGCAAGTTTCCCCTTAGACCATCGGGATGTTGAAAGACTATCTATCGAGAAAAAGTTGTTTCGTGGGATGAGAATTGAGTGATAAGCTCGAGTCCTTCTCGTGCTTGCCACATGATATACTTCGGCCTAAGATACCTACACCTGCCATGTCATTCACTTAATAGGTTCTAATATCTGGACTTTAGAGACGACTGACCAGTGTCCCCAAGAAAGGCCTTCAAAGTAGTTTCCTTCCAAATATTGATATGAAGACTAGAGGTTATAAAAGCAAGAGAGTTTGTATCAACCGGATGATCAACTAGTATCACAATCGAATTTGAAAAGCATCTGGCCAAGTTGGAGTTCATTAAGAAACTATAGCCCCTAGAGAATATCATTGATTGAAATTCGTCGCAACCTGAATATCTCCGCAGCCCAGTATCCGCTTCAAAGTCCCCATATTATTTGAATAAATCAAAAAAAGTCTTCGCTTCCCAAATGTCTTCATGCTCTCATGTACTGTATCCCAAATGATTGAGCAGAACTAAAATCATCGCTTCCCAGACGAACCGTGTGTGAGTGAACTGATTGCCAGCGCAACCCTCACAAAAGCTGAAAAGAGAATTTCATACTCAACGATCGCCGTATCCCCAGATTATCACCATTAGTTCAGTTATTATGGAACAACTCTTTGGCCTTTTCCAAGCCCTTCTTCAATGCAGACTTACCCTGGTCATTATCACCATATCCACCAGAGGTTGTCTGATCATTATCATCATAATTTCCCTCTTCAGAACCAGACTTGGTGGATCCATAACCACTGGAGATTTGGCTGTCATCACCACCATAACTACCAGAAATAGCATCATCACCCTTTGCGCCCAAACCTTGAGAGCCACTCTTATCTCCACCATATCCACCTGAAACATCAGAATCAGCAGTAACATTATCACAGTATCCAGAAGAGCTAGCTTTGACTCCTCCAAATCCATCAATCTTGTCATTATTATATGAATCACCTCTGGCGCCAGTGGCAGAGCCAAATGCATCACCTGAGGATGTGACATCATTGTTGTAGCTGCTGCTTGTACCATCTTTTATGATGCTGCTGTATGTATCATCCGATGTCGTATTGTCTCTTCCAGTGCTACCATATGTATCCTCGGATGAGATGCTGTCGTCACTCAAGCCACTTCTTGTATTGTCGTTTCCGATGCTGCCATATGTATCATCAGATGATGCATTGTCTCTTTCATTGTCTCTTCCAGTGTTGCCATACGCATCTCCAGATGTGGTATTGTCTTGACCAAATCCACTGCCTGTATCATTGTTTCTGGTGCTACCATAAGCATCGCCAGACGAGACATCATCATCGTTCAAGCCACCACTCGTGTTATTGTTCCAAGTACTGCCATAGCTATCACCAGATATTGTATCATCCCGACCAATGCCACTGTTTGTGTTGTCCTTCCTGGTACTACCATAGCCAGCCTCTCTAGTGCTACCATAAGCATCAGCCGACACATTATCAGTATCATCACCACCTAGAACACCGCTCGTATTATCTCTTCCTGTACTACCATATCCTGCATCCTGCAAATCAGCCCCACACTAAATCACGTACCATACCATGTCCATATTCTCATCAAAACAGAAAGTGAAAAGGAGAAAAGATACATACCACCAGGCTGGCTATCATCATCCCTACTTCCATAACCTGCCGCAAGTTAGTAATTGGAAGTAGAGCGGAAAGGATGGTGAACAAATCATACCACTCTCCTGTTTCTCACCGTAGGTATCAGATTTTCCACCGTAACTGTCAGATTGCTCTTCGTTTCCGTAGCTGGACATGATTGCTTGTGTACGACTGGATTTGGTAATGGGAATGAGGGATTGGAAGTAGTATGTATGGGAAAAGGTGAGGGATCGTTGTTGTTGTTGTTGTTGTTGTTGTTAAAAGTTATGGGAAGTTGTAGAAGGTTGTAGAAAATTGCGAGAGGTTGTAGATATCAAGAAGTTATCCAGAGCAAAGTCGATAATTTATCAGAATCTCAAACCAAATCGAGAGCGGGGTAATATAATCCAAAATCCATCTCACAACTTTAGAAGGAGCAACAAGGGCAGTGACGTAGGTGGTTTCTATATCCATTCACAATTCCATATCCCACACTCGTTATCAAATGTTACATACATACAGACACCGTCTCACCACACGATTCTCCGAGAAGTTCCATTATCACAATATCACCGTATTAACCCCTCATTGCTAAATCGTGTAATGGTTCTACTGTTCCCAATTCATATCTATCTATCCATCACTAACAGAATCACAACCACACTCCAATCAGAAGACTCCCCACGAGCCTTATTATCCATAAGCCGCTAACCCATCATACCACCTCATTCCTTACTCTGTTCTCCAAATTCAAAGCTGAAAACATCTTTCCCTAAACTAAAGCTTGATAATGTTTCATGTAAAATATTCCCACAATGCCGTTCTAAACAAAGATAATGTATATCATGAAGAAAGGAGACTGTGATTTGATATGTGTGTAGTAGCTTTCAATCAATCCATCGTCACAATTCGCATGATCAAAACAAATAGACAAAAAAAAACCATGTCATAATCTCAAATAAGTTGGTTATTGAGTATATACATACATACATATACTACACTACAAGAAGAAAAAAGAAAAAGAATAGCGTGAAACGCTAGGTATCAACTCAAAGAAACGCTTCCACCATGCTCCAACCATTACTCTTCCACCATGCTGTGAACCCTCCTGTGTGCACCTATGTACTTTTCAAATACTCTTAAAGAGCATGCAAAAAAAGAGAAGAAAAAACAACTCCTGGAAAAGAACTCCTTTCATTCCTGAGTCCTCAACCTTCAATCCTATCCCTTTTTTCATGCTGTGCTTTGTCTTGCCTCATACGCCCCATTGGCAATCTTCCTACTAGTCTCAATTTCCACCCAATTACCTGCTGTTGGAGCTAACGATTCATCTGCAAATGGATCTGACTCTTCAGCACCTTTAGCTGCTTCCAATCTTGAAATACTGATGCCACTACCAGAAGTCGGGCGTTGAACTTCCCATCTGGCTTCCGCATGACCTGGTTGCTGAACCGCGCCATCTGAACCGGAAAATAAGGCACTCATTTTATGCCATTCATGACCGAGAGTAACATCCCCAAGACGCCAAACAATAGCGGACTTGTCACGGTAGTGAGTACCAGAAGGTTTGGATTTACACACGGCTGCTCCAGCACCTGTGTATTTACCTACGATAACAAGGTTGTTGAAAGTTATAGCATCCGAGGAGAAAGCTGGATTGAGGGCATACTCGATAATTAGACCAAGCTTATCACCAACTGGTTTCCACGCCGGTTTTAACAATAATGGCGAATAACCAGCCATATCCTTATCATCAATGTGCACTCGGTAAGTGAATGCGGGCGATGTTTTGTGTGATACCGACGCAAGGTCTACTGTAAACTCATCGGATTTCTCTGCAGATACTGGATGAATGAATGTTCTATTAGGACCGATAGCCTCTAGAGCGGGGAAGTTGTTGATTCTGATTGTTTCGGTTCCTATGCACGTTAGACTTTGCAGCTGCATGTGTTGGGGCTGACTTACCTGAAGCTGGTAACGAAGCATCGTTTGGTGACGAGATATAGCTTAAAGCAATCTCCCCACTAACCTTAACTGTCTTCACTGCTCCGTTTTCTAGTGTGGCGCTGACAGTCTCTATCATTGACGCATTGAGGCCAGGGCGATGCATATCAGCATGTTTGACCACAACATTATTGGAAAGAGAATGCCCGGAACGAATTGAATTTGCATCAGATATACTTGGCGCAGCATGGCCATGCTCCGAAATAGCTGCAAATGCTGCAGCACGTGCTCCTCCGGGTGAGAAAGCCGGCGAAGGAGGCAAATTGTTTTCTATGCTACTGACATCAAGATTGGGCGAAGGGACATAGACTGTGTTTCGAACATCTCTTCGACCTCGGACGGTACCGACTTTTCGACCAGGAGTGGTCAATTGAGATGAACGCAAAGTATTGGCAACGCTTGACAATGCAGCTTGTGCATCTGCATCTTGCTCGGGAATCGGTTGATCTCGGATGTCAAGCTTAAACTGAGGTTCATTTTGCTCGTGAGCTTCATTAAGAGCTTGCGATATAGGATCGTTCATGGCTGCTGGCACCGAGAAGCCTTCAGAATCTTTTTGGGCTTCTTTGAAATGCGATGGAGGTGGACCCGATGGTGGTTCCACTTCCGACAGATCCATCATTCCCGGACTTGGTACACCGTTGGAAGTAGCTGGTCTAATCGCATCTGATGCGTTTAATGAATCTTGACCCATGCCATGAGAGTTGCCATTAGGTTGCAAAGTGTCGCGATTAGATGGCGATTCGGGAAGAGCAGAAAGTCGGTTGTCTTGTGAAGAGGAATCTCGCAAGTTGTTTGATGAAGTATGAGGCGAAAGGGTTGGTCGTCCTGAACTGCTGTTGGAATTGCGATTCAAACTGGCGAATCCCTTGTTCGGTGATGGGGCGCGAGCAAATCCTCCATGAATGCTTTGGCGTCGACGTTGAAGCATCGTGCCAAATCGGCTCTTTAGCTTCGACTCTAGATTTTGTAAGTTAGCATAAACACATAATCATGTAGAGCAGTATTCTCTGTAGGAACAACAATAATTCAAGAGCTTTAGCTTACCACCAGAACCTTCTTGTCTTGATATATCACTAGCAGCTGCTGAATGTGTAGACCGTGGAGTCGGCGGAGGTAATGGCATTATGCCACTATCTCCAGCGCTTGAAAGTTGCCTGACGGGCCGCTCCATGACGGGCCTTCCCGCGGTAGATGCTTCAGACCAATTCCTAATTTCCTGGGCAGTATCTACCTCCAACAATGCTGTTAGGGTTTGCTCAACGGCCACTCGACTTCTCTCAATTCTATCGGCTTCGTGTGTTTCGAATTGCGTGAGGACATCGCGGAGGTGGTTCAATCGCCTTTCATCTACTGCTTGAAGACTCTCATATATGAATGGAGCTTGTGCTTGCCATTGTTGCTCCGCATTCTGTAATTTGGCAGCTGCATTCTCCACCTTTTGCGTACTTGCTTTCCCCCCCTTCCTACTGAGCTTTTCCGAGGCATGTTGCGCATCTTCCAACTCCTTAGCCATCGCCGCGAGATTCCCTTGTATTGTTGTCATTCCCTGCATTTCTCGATTTTGGGTAGCGAATTGTCGCAATGGTTGTTCAACATCCTTGGAGATTCGTTCAGCCAAATTGTGATGAGAATCCGCGATCGATTCGACCGAATTTACAATTTTCCTCCATGGTGTATCGAATACCCTAAGTTCCGGTTAGTCAATGTGGAAACCGAATGTCCCAACATGCCATACCCCAAATCTCCCCCAGTTTCTTGCAAAGGTTTGCGCGCAAGCTTCCGGAGACCGGAAGCATATTGTTCTTCTACTTTGCGGCGCTCCTATTGAATGTGTAAATAATATGCCACCGCAGCCATCCGATAGTATATATACCTGCAACCAATCCGCGATTTCCGTATTCACTTTATTTATCTTCTTCACACGCTCATTAAGTTTTGCTGCAGCTGGCCCTGGTTGTAATCGATCCTAGAATTAAAGAATTAAGACTTGGTGTGCTGTGATTCTGTGGAAAAAGGAATAACTTACCAGCATAGCCGGATACTCTTGTCGGTCTACTGCATCCATATTTGTGATTTGTTGTAATCCTAACTTCCCAATGAGTTGATCATCTAGTGTGACTAATGATTGTTCATGTTCTTCTTCTTTGTAGGTAAGTGGATGTCGTTGCAGTTGTACTTGTTGTCAAAAGGAATGAGTGCAGAACTATTTCTTGTAAATATAAATTGGTATGTCAAGTACGCTTTCTCACAAAAGGTACTAGACAATATAATATCGACATATGATAAATATCATGCGCTCTCGGAATTAGAAGTTCTCCACGATTCCAAGCTCGAAGGAGTGAAAGCGGCTCTTTCTCTTTCTGGAATTGATTGGTCGATGCTTTTCGGTTGCTTCCATCCATACATAATCCTTGTTGGAGAATCATGCAAAAACAAAATGAACAATGCAAATACTTGCTGCATGCTCTCCTAGGTGCAATTGGAGGAGCACGTGATGTATCACCTATTCTTCCTGTACGAGATGGTGAAACCTTATATCATGGAAGGAGGTAAAGGTAAAGCAGACCAAACCGGTCTGAAGTAACAAGTCAAGCAGGTAATGCTTATCAAACCTGTTGCTTGACCAGATACTTGAGGAGAGAGACAAAAGGGGAATAGTCTGGACATGCTGGATGCTCTACTTGTTAGCATCCATCGTATCGATCATCTAATGTCTAATAACATTCACGTATTCACGTATTCACATATTCACATATTCACATATCCACATATCCACTGCATTTGACCTCCTCATTCACAACACTGTACTACTTTACATGCTCAACTAGAGACAAGACTTCTTACATTCTCAATAAGACACATCCGAACTTTATCCGAAATCGCGAGAGATCATCTCCTGTCTAATACGAAGTAATCACCTCGGATAAAGCATCTTTACTGAGGTACACAGTCTGCACGAGAGCACTATCTAAATCTAGTTTATCGTTGTTTACATCATCTCAACTCAACAGTATGAGCTCTACATCAGATTGGAAGCATGATTTGAAAGCTTCTGAACGATATGATAATATCTCAAAGCTGTAAAGTGGCACCACTCCCCTTCAACAGGTAAATTGACATGGCTAATCTTCCTAATTATAGAAAGAAATATCTCTCAGTCGGTGGTCTTGGCGGCAACACGCAGAAAACTGCATTTGAAATCGAAGCAGAGGCTTATAATTCTTCGTCATCAAGAGTAAGTTCATGGTTTCAAATATAAGCATTTTATGTCACGTGAGCGATACAGCTTTCCCCTTTTCTTATGATGCTGTTCTGCTTGTATTTTTTGTTCTTTGTAATTCGCCGGGAGAACAAGCTTCTACTCTTGAGTTAAGTGGACGTTCAACTTATTGTAACGATCTCGCTGATACAATACATAGGCCACCTACGATGATTTGTGTAATCCTTCCCAGCAAAATGGTGAAGCCTCTTTATCAACAACATTGCCAACACCCAAAAGCCCCGGTATCATCATAGGATCTTATGAAAACTGTCACCATATATCTAGTGGTGCTGTCTCTCAAGTTTATAGGTGCGATACTGAAGAGGCTTCCTATGCTTTAAAAGTGATAACAGAAACTCATAACATGGAGCCACATTCTCCCACTCGTGAAATTGCTATTCTCAAAAAGCTCTCACATCCTTCAATAATATCACTTATTCAAACAATATATGATCGAGAATCAAGATTAGTTCTGATATTGCCATATATGCCACGCACATTAACAGATCTACTATCAAAAAGTAGCAATGGTCTCAACACACGCACAACTAAAAAGATCTTCAAGCAAGTGTTATTCGGGCTCGCATACCTTCATGCAGAACAAATCATTCACCGTGATATATCACCATCCAATATTCTTTTACCTCAGGATATCGATGGTCAAACTCCCGTTGTCATCACCGATTTTGGCACCGCATGGCACCCAACCATCTCCTCATCTGCTGAGCCCTGTGACCAAAAATGTCTTGAGGTTGGTACTACATGCTATCGCTGCCCCGAAACTCTCTTTTCTAACACGGCTTACACCACGTCTCTTGATCTCTGGTCCACGGGTGTTCTTCTCGCTGAATGTCTCCGCTCGCCTCCTACCCCACTCCTTGAAAGCCGACGCGGGGATGAAGATGGTAATCAATTGGGTTTGATTTTGAGTATGTTCAAAACCTTAGGGACGCCAACTGCGGAGACATGGCCGGAAGCAATGAAGTGGAAAACAAACCCTTTCCAGTGGTGGAACATTTTCCCGAGTAAACCATGGGAAGAATTATTACCAAATGCTGAGGATGATGGAAGGGATTTGGTCGCAAGTCTGGTTGTGTATGAAAGTGGCAACAGAATGACTGCGGATGAGGTGATTTACTCCAGAAGAAAAGTAAAAGCAATTCGCTAACCCTTATTATCTAGGCATTGAAACATCCATTTCTCTTGGAATAATTCAATCAAAATATAAGCAGCTTGGTTGCGGATTTACTTTCACAGATACGATAGCTGCCGAACCGGGTTAAGTCATTTAATGCTTATTGCCTCTCACACTTCAACTCATGTCTCACATCTCATGTTTCACGTTGACCAGATTCATCATTTTAATGCCCCAGAGATTGACATACTAGTACCTCAGAAGTTTTTTTCCATTGCTAGCTAGGTAAACCGATCATCTAAAACGAAGGCGACATTGTTCAATCCCAAAACAAAGTAAGAAGCACCACTTCGCATGCTCAAATCGTGATCACCCGCCCAACTTCCTTATAATCCAAAGATCCCAACGAAATCGCCAAGCCAAAGTAACCACCCCCTCCTACCCCTCAACTCCATATCCAAACACGCTATCCACTAACAAATCCACTTTTCCTTTCCAATCCATCTTTCCTCCCCAAAGCCCCGCCATAATATCCAAACCCCTTCCCACCACCCAATCCCACAACCCCCTCTAACCCCCCCTCTAAATAACAACAATCGGTGTCGTAAAGTAAGTCTGATCCTGACAATCCGTCTGATGACAACACGTCATATTCGCCGCGTCCAACGCTGGATAACAATCGATTCCGTATGGATACGGCGCTGTATTGTTTCTGCAGAGTGTGCCGTCGGTGGAGGGGTCGTATTCGCAGCAATTCCAGTGGCACTTTTTTGGGTTAGTTTTGTTTGTTTGAATGGAGAAGGGGGGTGGGGGAACAAGAGCGGGAGCGAACAAGAGTGGGAGGGGGAGGAGAGGAGGAGGGGATGGGGGTGATGAAAATAAGGAAAGAGAAAAAGAGCGGAAACAAAACGTACGGTGGATTGATCACCACCACCACTACCATTGAGAGGGATACCCTGGGGAACAGAAAAAACAGCGCCTGCGAGGAATGCTGCGGCGATGAGGGCTTGAGTGAGGAAATGCATTTTCTTATTAAAGTCTTTTTGAGTGTTTGAACTTTCAAGATGGATCTAATATCAGCAATGTGCTTTTCCCAAAGTGATGCGAGGGAATCTCTGTCTCTATATAGATAGAAGAACTCTCTTCGACCGCTTCTTCTCGGGTAAAAAATCACAGGTATACGTACATTCCTCCCCATCAACCGTTTTCCTTCACCACCCATGCACAGCCATTTATTCCCCAGAACAGGAATGTGGAAGTCAATTACCGAAAAGTGTTTCATTTCATTTCATTTCATACCTTTCTTTCTTTCCTTTATTTCCCTTCCCCCAAAGTTGGGAAATCAGAATCAGAATCAGATGAGCTTGGAGAATGTACGATTGTGGGCCGCGATACAAGGGAGAAGAAATGTACGGGATAGATCGGCTACAAGTCTCGAGATTATTTGCTGCGGATTTGGGGGTGTCTGGATTCTGGATTCTGGGATTGAGGTTTTGTGTCTGGATGTTGAGTGTTCATACGTGTATCGGTATCGGTATCAGTATCGATACTTCGAATTCATTTTTCTTTACTAAGATATTCGAGTAGAAATTTCTTAACTAATATATCTAAGTTGCCGCCCCTTTTCAATCTCTCTATCCAAATTCAAACTTCCCACTCGCACATCTCCCACTTCACCACCTCAATCTCCTCAAATCCCTCAAGCCCCAACTCCCACAAAAATTCCCAATTCATCCAATTCCAATCATGCGAAAGTACATATCCCACATAATCCAACATATCCACACAGCAAGCCGAAACCCAACCCAGATTCAACGCCTCCACACTCCTCATGATCAGGCAGTAACCATTCATCGATGATACAGCCTGTTCTTCAATCATCAACCCCAGATATCACAAGATCTTCGAGTATTGAAAGAGGAGTGACATGCTGTAGATCTCCTGATAATCTCTTAACAGATCATTTCCATTTTGCATTTTCGTGTTTTACATGTCACTCAAGATACCGAAGAATACCGCGATATACCGCAAATCTTGATACTTTTATGTCGAGCTGATCTAGTGGTATTCCGAAGTTTTAACCATCGAGTAGGAGTTACTGTGTATTTCTCAGCCGTGTGAAGTTATATGTCTGAAGAAGTACCGAAGTAGAGATATCATGATCCTATCTCGTTTTCTACATTGCAGTCTTCTGATATAATAATGTCATTCTTTTCAACAACACCACCCAAAGGAAGAAACTTACAGCTAAAATCTCCTGTTTCGATGCTTCTACGATTCAAGAGTCTCACCACAATAGTCATATCACATCCCCAACTATCCACCACATTCTAGTCAACAATCACTGCTTCTCACGCATACAAGTTCACATACACACACACAATCAACGCCTCAATCAAAATGATAACACCATCGCATTAATTCCAGGGCCAGCCCAGCTCTTAAGAGACAACTCCATAATGCGCATCTCTTTCATGTCTCGACTCCTTGTCTCCATGCGATGCCACAAATTCGCACCGCTAATTACTCAGTATTTTCATTACTGGAAGAATGATATCCACTACCCTTTGCCCATCGTTCATTACCATTATCCATTATCCATTTATGATTGACCATGTACCATTATCTATTAACTCATGAACGAAATATCTCCATGGAATAGATTGTCTGCAGAAGAAAGAAATCGAAAAATAGTGCACCCGGTAACCGTCTCCTTATCCATAATCCATTCCCCATAATCCAGAACGCGCAAAGAAAAACAAAGGAAAGAAGAAAAAAAAAGTCGAAAAAAAAAACGTCTGATGATATCAAGTCTCGTGTCTATGTCAGTTACAGTAATGGTCCAGCCATATGATAGGTTTTCTCGTATCCATCTCGTAGCAATATTGTTCAATTCAAATAGCATCGAAGTCGTATTCAATAGTATGTTCAACAGATTCGCCAAAGTTGATTCCATCGGCGATAAAAGTATTGACCTCATTGAGGAGATCGTCATCCCACATTTGACTCTGGGGTTGCATAAAGTCGCAACCACTGGTACTGGCGTAGCTGTTGAGCTCAAGGAATTCGGCAACGTCGCCGCTGATCTCGAAGTCCTCAAGATCTTCCTCTATTTGTTCAAGGGAATTGTTATTGACACTTGAGCTCATCTTGTTAGCGCCATGACTGAGATTGCGGTGTCGGTTACGGCGAGGCTTGGGATTGCGAATGGGAGTTGCTGGGCCATGTTGGTCACCACTTGAGTAGCTTGTAGGTGTAGTTGGACTCATATTAAAAATCATGTTGTAACCGTCGAACGAGGACATGGTGGGTGTTACTGGACTCATCTTGAAACTCGCATTATTGTCGCCAACTGAGTAGTTGACAGGAGTAACAGGACTCGTATTGAACGCGGCATTGTTGTCGCCAAATGTAGATGATACTTTTCTTGACGAATTTCCCATCCGACTAGAAGAGCTTGCATAACCACTGTCGTAGTCGGTTCCCAACGTACCAGTATTTTCGGCACCATTGTCGAAAAGATGATCTAAGATACTAACATTCCAGATATCTCCATGGGTGGTGCACTTCCAAGCACTACATCGGTCCGCAGGAGCTGCCGTATCTCTTAACTCCTGAATCCATCCTAACTGGTCAACTGCGCCTCCCGGCAAAACCTCCCAATACTTCTTTTTGCGGTTGATGATGTCACCAACAAAAAGTCGTACGACCGGATTCTCTCCCAGCTTGTCGACCCTGTAGACGCGAGCTCCAGAAAGAAGAAGCATTGGAATACGATGATCTGGATTGTCTGTCTGTGGCAGAACACGCTTGCGACCACTGTACAATGGCTCCTCAATTGATTGTCGGGAGTAGTACAATGTAAATTGGCGAGTCGCATACTTATAGTCAGCTTTGCACTCCTGTACACAGGTAGGAGACTGGCAGCAAAACACAGCCACATGCTTCAGGTGCGCATGTGGATGCATAGGATCAACAAATGGCACCTTTGTAGATGACTTTTGAAACTCGACATGGTCGTTTGTGTTGCCGAGGCGGAAAGATGAAGGGGCTCCAATGTGATCAATATGGAATGAATTGCAATCCTTTGGATCAGGGATATACTCAGCAAACTCGCTATTTGGCTCGTATTGATTTGCTGAATTAATCGAATATGAATCTGGGACGGACTCTGGAAAACTTGAACTCAGATTGAGTGAAGGATCAACCTCCAAAGAAAATGGGTGATTAAAATCTGTGGCGAGAGAAGGATTGATGGCGTTGTTTTGCATCAACTGTGGGTCAATTGATTCTTTCAGGCCATGCTCAGCTTGAGATTCGCTATCTTTTTCGAGGTTAGAATTGAAAGGAGAGTTGAGAAGGGAATTCTGTAGAGGGGTGATGGGGTTTAAATGAACGATAGTGGGAAAGATATCCTCTTTCTCAATGAGTCCCTTACTCTTTGAGGAGGAATCAATTGCTTTAGCTCTGGGTGCCATTGCGTTGGTGGTTCTAATGGTTGTTAATGATTGTGGTGTAATGATTGTGGTTGTGAGGGAAAAGGAGAGGAAGCGAAGTCGCTGAAGGAGGTACAATATGTGGGCGATCGCTTAGATCAAACTTCATCAAGGTATCTAGAGGGTACTGCCTAGCCATCGAGAGTGAATATTCTATATGTCGTCATGACTCCAAGGCACAAGAGATTCGGAGGTTGCCGTGCTCTGCACTCAGGCCTCAAAGTGTCATTCAAAATGCTTCATCTTTGTTCTTGATATGACCATTTCCAGTGATTTTGAACTATGTAGGACAGATATTACTTCCTGTGAACCTAAACTACAAATTCATAAGTCGACGGAAAGAAAGTAGCTAGTTTTTGAGCACCCGGAGGGTGAAGAAAAATAGTATCAAACTCATGCTCTGGAAGCTCACATCATGCAAAATCAGTGTGATGGAAAGCACTTCAAAAAAACGTCCAAGTGTCTTTGTCATTGTACTAGCCTTACTGGTACTTTGAAACTGAGGGACAGACAGGCCAAGATAGTGACAAAACGTAACAGTCAACTCACAACAAAGAAAGACTAATCATGAGAAGGTGAATATGAGAAGTGGTAGTCTAAGCTCGGGTAAAAAAGCTTCAAGTGAATATTGAAGGTGGTCTGAGTTTTATAATAGGCAGCTCTTGATAGGCCATAGGCCATCTCGTACCTTTTTTGTGCTAGTCATACCTTCTGAATTGGAGCTTCTGTTTCGTCAAGAAAAATCCCTCGTTAGGTACCCCGTGCCTTCTCTATTGGATATGAGTGCTCCTCGAAACTCACTGTTGACTGAAATTGACTACCAGTTATATCTTTGCAGCTTCAGAATCGAGTTTAGTTCTTTGTTGTCCCTGCATCTTCAGTATTCATTATTTAGAAGACGGAGAGCTTTGATTTATGTTATTAGTCAGGAAATAGGAAAGACTGAAAAACTGGAAAACTGGAAGCCAAGCACGAGAAAGAGTCAAGAGTGAAATAGAAACGAAAGAAGAAAGGCCTGAGAGACTTTTAAGTAGATCTAAAATTGGATTTCCAGTGCCTAGAGCCTCATAGTAGTATAATTCTTCAGATTCTGTACCGCCAACCACAAGTAGTTTACCCAAATTACCATTATTCCCCAGATTGCCCCGATTGCCCATTTTGAAATGACCTTCCCTCAGATTACTTTCCTCCAGACAGATCAATATGACTACCACCAAGATGTTCCTGTCTTCGACCAGGAGCTACACCTGAAAAGTGACTTGTATCCCCATTCCACACACGCCCACTCCAACTCCTTCCCAACATTGGGAACAAACATGCCCTGAAGCCATTCCGGCAACACCGCAGGTTCCAGAGGACGACTCAAAAGGTGTCGATCAATCTCTACAAAAATGAGACGGCCATTATCGTCAATGGACTCGACTAGAAATATGACCCTATAGCCAATCTCTACTCGAACCAAATACTGTGTTTTGCGCATTAGAGGCCCGAGACGTTCGAGAGCGAATGGTGGTTTATGGACGATTCTTCCATGGAAAGCTGCGAATAGAAAGGGAAACCAAGGGTCAGCCATCTCTGGCAGATCTCCATGATAGCGCACGAGAGGTAGTTTCTTTCCCATTTCTTCGATATCCTCGATTCCTGGAGGAAGAGTGGTGCGAGCCTGGTAGACCGTCTTAGTTAAGGATGAGCGTGCCGAAAGACAATATACTTACTTTCACAAAATGATGCAAAAATACCTTGCGAAGCGCATGCAAGTATGCTATATTCTCACTATTCTTGACTTCCATCATGTTTGAAGGTTGAATTTCCGGTCTGTGGAAATCGTACGTGTCTTCAAGAGATACATGTGAGGTTGATGATTATTTAAGGATACAATGCGTCGGCTGCTCTTTCCCCAAAATCGTCATTGAAAGGCTAATACACACACTAGAATTGAAAATAACATACTACAAGGAAGATCTCACACAGATCTTCGAGTCTTTAGTGTAAATTTCGAAATCAAGATGGACGCCATTTGACGCTTCAGAATCACATAAAGCTTCTGTTCGCAATCATCACGTCACAAACTTGTAAGAATTTGACAATCACATAATTCTCTGAATGTAAATTCTGTTTATCTAAAATTCCTTTTGCTGCAATATCCATACCATGAATAAAGGGTGCCGCAAGTAATCCATGCACTAGTACCTCAATGTCCCCATACCCAGGTATCAATTATCTCATAACACTGTCGATCCCCCAAGTTCCAACTATTTTGTGAAATTCCAGCCGAGACTTAGTAATTAAAGACACTATAGAGTTCAATCTTACCTAAGTATTTCACTAAAGCAATGATCAAACTTATCACATACTCGAATAAACAAGAGCCAGCAAATGGGTCAGGTCACGCATTTCTTGTGCAGATATGATTTCTCTTCAAGATTCGAAAGGGAAAAGGGCTATTTTCCCCTCCAAGTGTCCTCGGAACAATACATTCTGTGAAAAATATCCGTGAAGTTGACTTCAATTCATGCCCACCAAGATTTCGTTGCCTGAATACTTGCACATAATGTTATGAGACCAAATGATCTTTCAAGAAACCTCAACTAGACATCTTTCAAGACTTACACGGATCTTCTCGCTGTCATCTCATAGCCACTGCATGACATACTTGTACAGGTAAATCCCCTAGTGATTAGGTATTTGACCCTATGACAAGTAATAAGACCTCACATCAACAGGATAAATATATCATGAAATATGCTGTGCTGTGTTCTGATTGAGGCTAAAATACAGCAAAAATTGCCCGCTGTTTCTCAAATCCATCTCAAATTTCTCATCCATCCAGCCGCCATTTCGACGAGTCAAAGAGCGAGTCGCTAAAGTACTCTCTCTAATCTTGGAATTGCCAGTTCTGAAATGCATCTCGTCCATCTGAATCAGAGTTCTGTGAATTTTCAAAACTAGTAGCTGAAATGCTCTCATTTTGAACTACTGAAGATTCGAATTGCTGAATTTGGTTTTCTTTTTCTTCATCGCCGTTCCGACGAGTCCCAGTTGGTGGAATGCTCTCATCTTTGAGTACGGAAGGTTGCGGTTCTCCAGCTCTATTCTGTTCTTCTGAATTATTGTCCTTATCAGCACCAAAATCGATGAATGCAATGCTCTCATTGTCGATGGATGAAGAATTTTGAATTCCCAATTTCGCCTGCTCATTCGTGGTGTCTGTGTTGGCTTCTTCCGTAATTCCTGGTAGAGCATTTTCGCCTACGAGAGACTTGCTATTATTCATATTCTCCTCAAGCTTCTGCGTGACTCGGTCGGCTTCTTCAATCGTTTGTCTGCTATCCTCCGTTGCACATTCAAGTAGACCCCCTGAAGATGCCCCAAAATTGATGCCAAAGTTCCCTACCACGTTAGCCCCTGAGGTTTGAGAATTTTGAGTTTTCGCAAATTTCTTCAGGTCAGCATCTTCTTCATGCTTCCTCTTTTCTGTAGATGTCATTCGTTTATACAAAATTACACGCCACCTAGGATCCAGTTCATTCTTTGAACCACACCTGCATGTCATGCGAATAGTCATCGCTTCGACGTTCTCAACACGTTTGAAATCATTCAAACCTTTGGTCCTGAATGTTGATTGACATGAACGGTGACAATCATCGGGATCATTCATTGAACAATCGAAATGACCTGGATAGACTCGAAAAGGTCCACCAAATAAGTGCCAAAGGATTATGTCACGAACGTGGGGAGATTTTGGAGTAGCTGGGTCCCAATTTCTGGGTAACCAGAAAGACGTATTGTATTTTTCTTGACTATTTGCATCCTTTCTGCCTGGCATTACAATTCGTATCTCGAATAAGTACCTCGGATCGGATTTGTCCTCCAAATCTTGCCCCCATTTTTGAAACGATGTATGTTTTTCGTACCATTTGGGATTCTTCTCCTTTGCTATCGTTGTGTCATTAACACGCTTTGTTATGAATTCAAGACATGTTTTGAGCCTTTTATCAAGATTATCAAGTGATGGAGACTCGACCACCATTGTAGTCTTGGAACACAAACCGCAGTTCATCATGGGAACGAGATTTTTTATATTGGCTGGCGGTGGTGCTTGTATGGGCGGCCTGAGTGCGATAGTATCCTTTTCCATCTCAACCGCAACTTTGGGGCTGAATGATACAACACTACTCACGCTTTTTATGGATGAGGCAGTGCTGTCTTTCCTATCAGTGCCATCATCGGCCTTCACAGATACTATATTGCCATCTTCAGTGAATTGGTCAACGTGACCCTTGACAGGAGGCTGCGAAGACTTTCTAGATTCGTTTGGTGAGGACAAGGAACGACCAGAGAAACGAGGCATGGCTTTGACGACTTTGGAACCGGGGCGATGGACACAGTTTACACAGAGTATCTGAGCACGAATTCAGATAGTGGCAATGCTGAAGTTTCGATTGGTTTGTGGATAATGGGGATATCGTGAAAGGTGATTGCAACCACTTTCTAATTTCCGCAAAGAACGGCTATTAGCAAGGCAATAATTCATAACAGATAGGTAGCCTCACCTGCTAAATAAGTAATATTTACGGATGGAGTTTGCGAGTGAGTGGTAAGTATGCTATTCCAAGCTTATAACGAATGGGTTGAATTTTTGTTATAATGAGATGTAAATTATCAAAGGAAAACCTGTAAATAGAAAATGGGAAAGTATGTATGTATGGAACCTTTAATTGCACTCGCTCGAAATAGAAGGCTCACTTATTGCTACTGAATTGCATTCCTTGAGCAACCACGTTCATTGACAAATGCTTCACACCATGATTGGCAACTACAACATTGTACCAAGCCCCTTCATACCTTCCGATAAATGATTGATATCGTGTGATCTCATGCCATTAAATATCATGTTTGTAAAATTAATCGTGGAATAAAATCATCAACTGATGTTCTTCCTTCGTCTTGGAATAAAATCCACGTTTCTCTCCATCATCATGTCATTTCTTAAATCTCAAAGTTATTGAAACTCATTCATACATATATCATGCCACTAACATGCATCCACTACTTCCGAATCAGTCGGACAATGCATAATACATACTGCTCATAAGAGCAATCGATTACTTAGAACTTCGAGCATTGGCATAGCCAAGAACATTCAACGCAACAACTCTTCCCGTAACTCAACACCACGCTGGCATCATCAAAACTCGCAGCAATCAACCCCTTTTCATATTCTAATACTTCCTCATCTCTCCAAGCAGTATGAGACCACATTTGTCTGACCAGTGAAATCTGAATAGAGGCACCATTTTCGCCAATATATAATGCAACCTTTGAAGAGGTAAGGTATCTGCAAAAGTGCTGAGATATTCATTTGTGAATGATAATAGACTTCCCGGATGACTTTAGACTACTCTCAAACTTCTTGTTGAATTGCGATAAGAATCTTATCCTTCTGAGGTTGTGTCAGTAAACTCACAAACTGAAGCTTTCCTTTCAAGTCTTGGCCACGACTGATTGGCATCATACATCACGTCGATTCTCTTGCAGCCGAAAACCGTTGTCTGACCGCCCGAGAAGTTCAAATTCGGCAGAATTATCTATCTCGTGGCTATAAAAGCTCTAGCCCTGCATTAATCCCATTACAGCTAGATCGGCTGATGCTAGGAGGAGGCTTGAATATTACTAAGCACGGTGCAATCAGATCATTGGGCAATTTCTGTCTGAACTACCACCCCACCACCACTTCAATTCCGTCATTGATTGTTCGGCCTTTGAAATTTCTCCACTGCTTATAAACTTATCTCTCCCCTCCATATCAGAGCAGTATTCCTTATACTTCATCCAAATTATTTTGTACCATTTTCTCCACCAAAACGTCTGCATAACATGGGCAAACGACAATTCAAATCGCAGGCTTCTAGCACTCGTGCTTCAACTGCCACTGGCGCCGGCTTCGGGTTTGGCTTTACCACAAAAGCCACCAGATTATCATACCTTACAGAACCATCAGACCTCTCTTCCATCAGTGATGCAAATGTCATTCTATCATTCAAGAATCTTTCGAAGAAAGACGCTACAACAAAGTCGAAAGCTCTAGAGGATCTGCGAACGTTCGTTCAGAATCAGCCAAACGAACAAGGAGGCACTGAAGAAGCAATTTTAGAAGCATGGGTAGGATGCGCCGAGGGAATCTTAGAGTGCTTCTGCTAACATAATATACAGGTCGACGTCTATCCTAGAATTTCCATAGATAATGCACGTCGTGTTCGCGAGCTATCTCACAGCATACAGTATGAGCTTCTAAAATCAGCCCGGAAAAGAATGGAAAGATATATACCCAAAGTCGTAGGAAGCTGGCTGGCAGGAACCTATGATAGAGACCGAGCAGTGGCACGATCAGCAATGGATGGTCTAACATCTTTCCTCGATACGGATGCTAAAATGAATCTGTTTTGGAAGCGTTGCCAGAATGAGATCCTCGACTACGCCGAAGAAGCCTTGAATGAGACTCCTATTACTTTAAGTGACGAAAGATCCGTCCCGATAGAAGAAGCAAACGAAAAGTACTTCCGTGTGAATAGCGCCAGTGTATCTCTTCTCGCCAATCTGCTAGCCAAGCTAGGTGATGATGATATGCTTAAGCATCAAGATAGGTACGAAAAGGTTATTTTCGGGAACAAAAAACTATGGACGCTGGCATCATGCGAAGATGCTCCCGCAAGAAAAAGTACCGATAAATTACTCGTACTATGCCTAGAGAAGCAGACTGAACTGGTTGAGAACAACCTTGAGACTATCAGTCGTGCATTCATATCTGAGGCATTGAGATCTCCTCAATTAACATCTGCTTTGCAACTATTGCAGACTTTGCACCAGCTAACCAAGCAATTTCCTCAAGTATGGACTTCTGCATATAAGGCTAAACGATCTACTGCTACAAGCGACCTGATATCTTTTGTTCAAAAAGGCTCACAAGGCTCTTCCCCTGCTTATTGGCAAACATTGCGAGCTCTTGTGGCAATTCTACCAATAGATGTTCTGCCTCAAAACCCCAATTCTATCCTGGAGTTTTTGGGGGTATTTCGCAAGAGTATCAACCAGAGGGAGGAGAGCAGGGCCAACTCTTCAGAAGCATGGCTCGCTTACGGAGAAACATCCAACATTTGTATCGTAAACCTGTCAAGTTCTCAGCAAGCGGAGATTGTACAGAAATCTACATATCCCATGTTTGAGCATTATTTACATCCATCTCCAGAAACTTCCGAATGGCTCATCAGAAACAATACACCATCTTCAACTATATCTGCTTTTATCTCTAGCTTAGGGAAGAACTCCAATCTACAAAGTTCTCTCGCCGAAGAATGGCAAAAGCTCGCCCAAAATTTTATTACAAGAATTCAAACATCAATGCCAGAGCAATCAAAAGAGTATTCATCTTCTCAAGATGCTGTCATGGCTGAAGGCCACCGGTGGTTTTCACTTCTGTCTGACGTCTTCAAATTAAAGGATCTTACAGCTGATGAAAACCCACTCCTTCAACCTTCGAGCAATATCATAGATAGTACTCTCCAAGTAATTATCAACAGGAACGGGAAACCCTACTCGGCTGGGGCAGTATTAGAATCAGCGCTGAGATACTCTCCGCAGCTAATGGAAGCCTCCCCCACAGTCTTGGAAGCCGTCAAATCGTTCATGGAAACCCATCTTCCTAAATTTCTTTTGTCGCCATCATCTTCATACTTAATCTCAGCTTTAGACCAACTTCGTTTAATTTCTGGGCAGCAAGACTCTTACAAGAGTATCTGGCAGACGGCTATTGATGCTCTGTTATCGACCCCCAGGAATTCACAGCGACAGAAAACCATCACAGCTCTGATATCTTCAAATGAGATTTCGGATTTGGTCCGTGATGACCAAGCTCTCCAAGATATTCTCCTTGAGACTTCCCGTGATGTGGTCGATGGCAATAATGAGGAGTGGGCACTGTTCGAAGCGGCGGTAATTTTTAATGGGTTCTCCAAATCAACAGAAAAGTTATTGCTTCAAAGCCTAATCTCTTTACTAAATGCTTCTAACCCCAATGTAAATCTTGTATTTCAGGCACTTGAATTACTATCCAAAAGACAACCTGAAGCTATTCGAGACGGAGACGCGCACGTAGATTTAATCACGAAACTTTTGGCATTGACAGAACTCTCAGATTCTGAGCTTGGCAAACGGGCTATGAATTTACGATCAGTAGTCGACAATGAAAGTGGTGTCACTACTTCTTCTGTAGTTCATATACTCAAAGAAAATCTGGAAAACGCAAGTCCTCAATCACTGACGTGAGTACAATCCTTGGAGTCCTTGACCGCAATTAGTAATTGTCCGGGGGAGCAATGACTGATGTTAGTTTTTAGTATCGATACACTTGTTCAACAGGCCGAAGCGGTTATCAGCACCTTGGATGATAGTTCGCATCATCCCGAACTCTTTCCAAGTGCAACTAAATGGTCTGAAGCTTTAGCCCCTCTGTTGGATCAAGCACCAAATCCTACTTTAGGAGTGATGAGACCATTCGCAGGAGCTGTATTTTTAGCGCACGCACAAAATGGTAACAATAGTAGTCGCCCTGGCAGAGATCTAGATGGCTATTCCGTAGCTCTCAGAATGGCAATGTATTCTGCACATTTAATTCGAGACCATCCTGACCGCTTGTCAAAGGATGCTCTTGTCGAGATTATATATCTCATGTGCTTGACTGTGGAACTTGCTAATGACCAGCTCGATCTACTAGAGAATAACAAGCTTTTCGTGTTATCGTCGGAAGAAGCTATTTCTGGCGTGCGCGATTTTGTGGACCGGATATATCAAGATTCATGGTCATTCATCGTACTACACTCGAAAGCTTGGCAAGATGGTTTTGAGTCAGGGTCACCCCTTGAATTTTCGGGTGTTGTTCACATCCTTATTTCAAAGCTGATAAATGCTTCCTGTGGCGATACATCTACGTCTTTCTACTCGGCTCGTGTGTTGAGCCATCTACTACCCAAACTTGTTGAACAACACGGATGGCAAGTTGGAGGCGAAGAATGGATCTCCAGCCTTGAAATTCTCAAATCCTCTACATCGAACATTCTTGGGGCTGTTGCCATCTTGACAGGGCTTCATGAGACCCTCAGTACTAGCCAGCTTGTCAGCAACCTTTGCAACCGGATCATTAGTGATGTTGCTAGTGCCGATGCCCAATCTGAAAAAACTCTCGGTCGACTTGTTCTCCTGAATGCAACATTATCCGTGTACAACAATGATGATCTTCCTGTGGCACAAAATCGATTAGTGTTTGCGGTCAAGCAAATTCTTTCATGGGCCCCAGAAATTTCAGACACTAATTATCAGCTCTCTTCTGAGTCTTGTCTTGCTCTACAAAAGTTGCTCCCGGCGATTAAATCTGTCTACGGATCGTACTGGGAGAAGACCCTCGAGTTCTGCATCAAAATTTGGGAATCAATGGAAAATGAAGATCACCAGGACCAAAAGCTCCCCATGATGGGGATGTCTTTGAAACTGTTCTCAAATTTACAAAGCTTACAAGATGCTAATGATGACCTTGAGGATGCCCGAGCTCAATATGGAGAGACTGCATCTCATTGTTTGATCAAGCTCACCAAGTTATCCAGATCTAAATCAACGCAACCAGTCGAGTTTGTTGATAATATTTTGTCGCGGCTAGTAATTAATATACCTTCAAGTCATATTGATGACATCTCCGAGTTCTACCCTTTGGTAGCTTCAGAGAATAGGATGGTTCAATCTGCAGCATTTAGTGTTCTTCATCGGGCCATACCTGCAGAGCAAGAGGAAATCTCGGTCAACGCCCTTCTTGAAAAGAAAGATGCGCAATTGCCAGAAGAATTACTATCTCTTCTCTTAGACGCACCATCTATTCGCAACTTTGATGACGAAGAGCTTGCAGAATTTCCTCCTTCGATTCGTAGCTATTTACTTTCGTGGCATTTGGTTTATGATGCGTTTAGCACAGCGTCTTGGAAAGTGCGCAAAGACTATTGCAATCACCTTCAGTCAGAAAACTGCCTTGGATCATTTTTAACGTTTTTGTTCGATGTGCTAGGCCATTCAGATGGTACGCCTCTCAACCTTGAAAAAGCACATTTTGATGAATCATATATTCGCGCATACGATACATCACTAGCAGACAGTGAAACAAATGAGCGAAACTTCCAATGGCTTCTCATTCATCTATATCATTTATGTCTTAGACACACTGGTGATCTTGCAAAGGCTTGGTTTTCTGACTGTCAATCCAAACAGACCCGACAAGCAGTTGAGACATGGACAGAAAAATACTTCACTCCACTTCTGATCTCTGACAAACTTGATGAGATCGAGGAATGGGCAGCTTCGAAGGAGGCCAAAGAAGGAGGCGAGAAAGAGCTCGAAATTAAAACATCGAAGAGCGCACGTTCCATCTTTGCCAGCTACGAAATCGATGATACTAGCATACAAATTGCCATTCGATTTCCACCCAACTATCCTTTCTACAACGTCAAAGTCGAGGGTATCAATCGTGTTGCCGTACCAGAAAAGAAATGGAGAAGTTGGCTACTCATCGTTCAGGGTGCTATCACATTCTCAAACGGTAGTCTGATCGATGGATTGACTACTTTCCGTCGTAATGTCGAGGGTAGTCTTAAAGGACACACCGAATGTGCTATCTGTTACAGCATCATATCGAGCGACAAGAAAACGCCGGATAAGAAGTGTGGAACTTGTAAGAACACATTCCATGGACAATGTCTGTTTAAATGGTTCGCGAGCAGTAACCAGAGCTCGTGTCCATTGTGTCGTTGTGCTTTTAACTATGGTCGTTAGGCTGTTAGATGTGGGAAGTGGAAATTGTAAACTAAAGAGATGGGTGAAAGTATGTTATGGTAGATTATTAGTTTTTAGATGAAAGAAGAGGAATTTGGAGCGATAGGGTTTGGAAAAGAGGGATTAATGACGAGATCTACTCTTCAATTTGTAATAGATATAGATCAAATTAGAACAAATCAGTATCTAGATGATGAATTCATATTTCCTTTTGTAAATGTCCAATTCAAGTACCTAATTGAATGTTCGCCAGTAAGACACAAACTATGATATCAATCCTCCTACCAGCCTGCGCATGTGCTCTCCTAACATGCCTCAGGCACACAACCCCACCAACAGCCAACAGCCAACAGCCAACCAACCAACTTTCTCCCGCGCGGGAAAGGCCGTGCACCAGCCAGGCATAAGGGAAGCACCCTGGAACACCCTGACACTCCTCCATCCAGCTCGGGAAACCTCGGGGTTAGCATCCATAGTGGATCCCCTAATCGTATTACCCCGCAACCAAAGTGCATGAATGGTGGTGGACATACCCGCATGCTACCTATACCGAGCCATACTCAGCCTTTGAGCTATCCTGTTCTTGATCGTATCGTATTGATTGAGGTAGATGGGTAGGTCAGGTTATCTACTGGTGCTTTCCTCTTCTTCCTCTTCTTCCTCTTCTTCTTACTCACTTACGTCCTTACTTGCTCACGTTCTGGTATCGACATCGATATCGATACTCCCTCACCTGCGAGTTGAACGAAGAAGAGTTATCCATCCTTGAGAGAGTTTTTCCGTTGGCTACTTGCAATCAGATCATACGCGCTTACTTTATTTGTTGATTTGATTTGATTTGATTTGATTTGATTCGGTATCTAATCAGTTCATATTGGTCAATCAATCACAAGCAAAAGAAAGGAAATCAAAGTTTCCTTCCTTCTGTCCATTCATCCATCCAACAAGCACCGGAATAAAGCGACCAATCTGGTAAGTCTTCAGCTCTGGCTTAAATACCACTATCCTTTGTGTTTTTCCTTTTGACACTTAATTTCCATGTACAAAAGGGCTTTTGACATTCGGAGGCTATTTCCTTGTTTGCAGTTGTTCCAATCTTCCGAAAGCTCTTATTGTTATGTCAAAAGTACCATTCTGACAAGTTCGCCGTCCTAACTTAAATAGCATCCTCTCTTGATTATAACATTTCATTTGAATTCACCTACTTCAACGCAATTCCTGTCAAATAGCCAACTTTAAAGGCTGAGTTGAATGAAACTTTATTCGTGAGTATAATTGTCCCTGAACGTATGACATTTGGTTAAACCTTATTTAGGTCCCCGAGCATGATACGATCGGAATAATTCTTCGAGATGCTGTCCCAGCTCACCACCTCGGTCTCGCAGACCACATCTCCTCTGATTCGATATGGATCTATTTCTACCTCTACCAATCTACTCCGAATATCGAATCGTAGTTGGCACAATGCACAAGGGTTATTGTCGAACCGAGGTCCGCACAATCAAACACGAGCATTTCGAATGGGTTATTGGTCTTCATACCTTGATCATGGATTTGAAAAAGAGCTCAATCGCCGTCAGCGACTCTTAAAACAGAAATATGTTGAGGCCAAAAGCATTAAGCGTGATGAGCGCGTTCCGGATTACAAACGTGCCATGCATAACTTCATGCGCAGCAAAACAATCTATTTTTCTCCTGCTCGCTCCAAGTACACATTCAAAGCCGATGTTGAAGGCACGGATAGTGGTGTGGAATCAATCCGATTATCGCAAGCTGACGAAGCATACTGGAGAAATCTGAAGTCAAAAAACCAGTTGGATAATGAATTCGAGCTGGAAAATGAGAACTACCAGATAGACCCGATCACAAATCGAAAGGTGTTCAAAAATGAACAGGCTGTAAACATTCCCGTAACGAAGTTCAGGGGATATCGTCAGCGATTTCAAAACTTAGTCCCGCCAGATGATGCCACTCAAGCTGATATTGATGCCTATAACAAACCATTCATGTACAATGAACCTGATGGGAAATTTCCCGAGAAACCTGACTCTGTACGAGAATCTCTCAAGGAATACGATAGTAAAGGATACAAGGCATATTTTCATAACGAACCGGACGGACAACCGCCTCAAAAGGCAGATCCAGTACAAGAAGGACTCAAGGATTACGACAGTTGTACATCTTATAACGCTTTTCGATATAGAGAGCCTGATGGAAAGCTGCCAGAGCAACCAGATTGTGTTCAGGAATCATTGAAAGATTATGATTCACACACAACTTATGGGTTTTTCCGTCACAATGAACCCGATGGAAAGTTGCCCGAAAAGCCAGATTCGGTTCGAGAAAGTTTGAAAGATTATGAAGCGGATACTTCTTATGGATCATTTCGATATAATGAGCCTGACGGAAAATTTCCAGAGAAGCCAGATGCAGTACAAGAGTCGTTGAAGGAATATGATACAAGCAATTCATATGGATCCTTTCGATATAATGAGCCCGATGGAAAACTCCCCGAGAAGCCAGATGCAGTTCGAGAAAGTTTGAAAGATTATGATGCCGACACTTCTTATGGATCGTTTCGTTATAATGAGCCCGATGGAAAGTTTCCTGAGAGCCCTGATCAGACACGCGAAGCATTGAAGGAGTATGATCAGAAGCAAGCAAAAATCACCCAACATCCTGGTTCCGAGTCCAAGATTCCTGGCACGAGCTCGTCGGAAAAAAATGTGGAATCAAAAACTTCGCTATCCTCAAAATTTTCGCACAAATACCCCGAGCCAGATACGAGAGAAGATCTTGACCTGCTTCGAGCAAGTGACATTCGCGCTGCTTCGGGTATCATCAAGAGTACAAAGAAAGAAACTCTTGAAGAGAAGTCCACTAAGAGAGAGCAATTGGAAAAAGCTTTCGAGGAAGCGCATCAAAATGTAATTAAGTATGCTCAAGACATTGCATCGGAGCAAAAATTGAAAGGACAGACACACACCAAGATACAGGAAACCCCCGGCCCTCTGCCTCCAAGACTAGGGAAGGTTCTGAGACCCTTAACCAAAAGGATCATAAGAATGCAGGACAAGTCGAGAAACGAAAAGTCACAGGAAACTTTGTTCGGGATTTTCCAGAAGAATTTGAAAAATCTTGGTCACAACAAAAAGACGGCACAGGAGAATTGATGCCAACAGTGTCTGAAGATGCTTGGGGCTATGACAAGTCACCCAAGGGACTAGAGCTTTCTTATTCAACGGAGGTCAAGCAATCTGTTCAAAAGGCTGAGAAGGAATATATTGAAGGTCTTGGCGTGAAAGAAGCATTTTCTCGAAACCCAAACACACCAAGACTTCAAACATCCTTGGATCGATCTGCGACAAAGCCAAAATCTCTTCAACCTAATTTGGCCAAACCAATAGCAGAAACTGATCCGTACTCGAAGGTACCTCAAGGCTTAGAGACGTCATATAAAGAGGAATGCGCAAACCAAGGCGAAGGAGATTTATCGGTATATGTTTCATCTTATGGAAAGCCCAGAAAACAATCTAGTAAGGACAAAGATCTAGTTCGCGAAATCCGAGGAATCTATGAAGATAATTATGGAAAAATTGGCTCCAAACATCGCCAAGTACCTATAAATGATGCACCAGCGGCAAGTTCGCCCGGAGAAAAGCCCGCGTCGGGCCCTGAGCCAACCACTTATAAGGTTTTGGCTTATGATTCGACAATGCAGTCTATTAACATCGCTGAAACAACATCTATTGTGACTGATACAGCATCAGCTTTGACTCCTGCAGAGGTTCTTCTTCGATTGTCTAATCCTGCAAAGTTCTTTCCACATTTCCAACCATTGCAGGCTGAGGGTTATGAGATTGTATCCGGAAGTGGAGATGTTCTTGTATTCCGCAAAGTACGACCAGTAAGACGCTCGTCCTCGCAGGCCGATCTGAAGAATAATACAACAAATCCGATAGATGGTATGCAGGTGGCAACAGCGCGATTCGCCAGTCCTACAGGTTTCGTGAATCATGATTTACCAGAATCAGCAGAACCATCATTCAAATCAAACATTGACGTTCGACGCGAAGAACCAGTATTCAGTGGTAAATCTTCCTGGAAGGATCACTCGGAAATTAAGAGCAAGAAGTCTGGCAAGGCAAAGAGAGTATTATTAGGCGGTGCCATTGTCGGCAGTGGATGCTATGCGATTGGCGTGGTAACAGAGTTCTTCAGAACTGGAGGCGTGGATGGAAAGGGTCCGCAGGGATTTTGAATCCGAGATGATATTAAGTTTTATTGGGGAGTTAATCTGGTGGCATATTAGCTTCATATTCTGTTTTTATATGATAAAGGGGAGGGATCGGAGTTTTTGGCAACGGAGTTTTCGATGATATTTGAGTTGATAAGCATTGGTGTTGTTGGGAGGATGGATATGCATTGCAAGTTGCTAGCCAAGTTACTTCTTTTCCATTTATATGAGCCATTATTCCCTCCTTCCTAGCTGTATCCTTAGATCATATGCCACTCGATCTGACATTGATATCATTGTTTTATGTGACCATTGAATTTTGTATAGCAATATGTATGTCCATGTTTTGAGTGTCTGATAGACAACGATAATCTTGGGAATCTGTTGTTTTGAAAATGTTAATACCATATAAAGAAAAATTGTGTGCATGGAGGGGAGAAAGTCCCTCCAATAACCAATTTTTAACTTTTACTGTGCAGCAAGACCCCACTACCCCGGAGTGGGGGTACTCAACAATCCGGTGTAAAGGATACTTGGGATCACGTGTGTCATTTCTGCCCAGTCAAAGCATGATTGACCGCCTAGAATTTCTTAGTCATGATCAGTAACTCCAACATTCCAATCACTCCGAGCTGGTTTTAGTCTTTCATCATTCACTATCTGGTTTATGTACAGAATTATCAACTTAAGGTCTATATCAATTCTATCATTATTTTGACAGACCATTGGATATTTGGTCGATTCCCTCTGTGTGAATAGGGGTGTTGGAAAGAGAAGGATTGCATTTGGGTCTTAGTGAAAGGTTGCCAAAATGACGGACAAAACGGCAAAGTACAAGACGGAGATCCAGCAGGTCAGTTGCTCCTTTGTTTGAACAGTCATGTTCGATTTCTTTATTGGCAATACCTTGTGAATTGGTGATGGGCGAGGGTTGGGGAGGGGGGATTATGAGGCTATATCAAGTGATTGCTGGCGGTGAGGTGTTCACTCCTCAGCCATAGTGAATATGTTTTCTGCGAGGTTTTCGCCTGTAGGCTTATTTGATGGTTGAAATATCTCGGTTTTTGTAAATAGCTTTGAGGAAAGCAAATCAATAATATGGCTTCGAAACTGGCTAACGCAAAGGTTCTTCGTTGGTTTGCACAGATGATGTATGTTTCTGGAGAAACCGCAGAAGCATCATCTGAGACTACTGGTATGATAGAGGAGATCGTTCGACAACAAGTTATTGAAATGGTTAGTAGATATCCTTAGGCTTTACTTTCTCCTCTCTCTGAATTATCTCCATTTCTTCAATCAAATCACATGACCCTAACTGTTCCAGCTTCGTCAATGTACTGAACAAGCATCCCGTCGCGGTAGTCGTTCAATATCAACCGACGATCTCATTTTCCTAATCCGACATGATCAAGCTAAGGTCTCTCGTCTCCGAACCTTTCTTTCCTGGAAAGACGTCCGTAAAAACGTCAAAGACTCCGACGAAAAAGGCGGCGACGCAGACATCGGAGCCGGTGACGAACCCGTGGGAGCCAATGCCCCCATCCCAGATACCACGAAGAAGAATAAGAAAGCCAAAGTCGGTCTCCCATGGGAAGTCCCCTCGTTATACAGCCAAGAAGTACCAGAGCGCGAAGACGAAGAAGATGAAGACGAGGAGGAAATGAATTACGCAACCTTACAGCGTCTCAAGAAAGCCGATGAGCGCACCAAGGCCATGACGAAGGAAGAATATGTTACCTGGTCTGAATACCGTCAAGCTTCGTTTACCTTCCGTAAAGGAAAGCGATTTAAGGAATGGGCAGGCTTTGGCGTCGTCACGGATTCTAAACCTAACGATGACATTGTCGATATTCTCGGTTTTCTGACTTTTGAAATCGTGCAAACATTAACGGAAGAAGCTTTGAAGATCAAAGAGCAAGAAGACTTAGGCAAGGAGAAGAGCGGCGGTGAACAAACAGGCAAAAAGAGAAAAGTACAAGGATTGTTTGATCCACCAAGTGAGGGAAGAACTCCGGTGGAAACGAGACATATTCAAGAGGCGTTTAGAAGATTACAGCAGAGACCAACGAAACAGAGAGCGATGTGTAACTTTACCAGAGGTTTGAATAGGACCCCTTTGAAATTGGTAAGTTAGATTGGCGACTTTGGGAGTGTGAGGTTCTTTTACTAACGCTTGATAGTTCTAAATGTATTATGAGGACTTTTACTTGAGGCGCGAGGCGTATGGAGACTTGAGAGGATTATGGATATTTGTTATGGAGGCGTTGCATACACATCGGATTGGCGTAGCAACGGTGTAGCAAAGGTAGTTAGTTTTGGGTTCTGAGTGTGGGGGATGCATTTCTTGGGACACTGCATAGGATATCATCAACGTATCAGAAGGTGCCATTGACATAATGTTAAGACAATATAACTTGAAAAGCTTCCTCGCATTGCAATTGATTAATTAATTGATAGCATTATTCATAATAAATCCCATCCCTATCCACAGGAACGAAAATCTCATTTCCCAACCCGATCTATTGAACCATTCCCTGGCTAGTCCTCCAAGTCTGAATCTCGCTCTCACTAATCTCCCTCAACTTATTTACGCTCGCCGCCTTGCCCGTAATAACTCCCTGTGCAATCTCAGCTCCGCGCGCCAGAATACTCTTGCGTACAACGGCATATGTAGCCGTCTTGGCTTCGACCTTGATAACACCGATACGTGGATCGTTGGGACCACCATCGTGGGTTCCATCGCCGAGATCGCCGAGCCAGGCTTTGAGAGCGGGGGAGTAGTATTTCTTGACGGTTTCGCGGTCGGTTTCAACGGTGGAGAGACCTGGGTGGGGAGGTGGTGTTAGTTGGGGGTGGGATTTTGGAGGGAGAGGAGAAGAGGAGGGGGGGAACATACCGGAAACAGAAGCCCATTCGCCGGAGGAATTCAAGAATGAGATGTTGATGTGAGAATCGGTGGCCAAATCATCGGTCTTTCCAGACTCGGTATTGGTGTGGAAGAGAAGAGTGGTTCCTCCATTTTCCTGAGTTTGAATGGTTAGTTATCATCTCTTGAGACGGGTATGGTAATTTTGGAGGGAATGAAAGGAGGAGAGTATGTGTCCAGGGGCTCAGGCTATCAGATCTATCTGATCTGAATTCGCGATATCTCAGAAGTTGTAGTATCCCCAATAATCACTCAACAGACATCCCAGCCCAACCCTACCCTAAGAAGTATGAAACACGACAAAAAGAAGAAAATATATACCTTTGCAGCGACAGCCATACATCTGCTCACCAACGCGCCCGTCTTTCCATCTCTCGTAGTCATCATACCGAATTTGCACGCATCGATAAATTCATTTAGATCCTCAACCTTCTCTTTCAAAGTAGGAGTATCAATGTTCTTGGCCTTATATGGATCGGCGTCTTTGGAGCCGGTATCTGCGTTGCTGAAAGACATTTTGGCGTGGATTGTGGCGAAGTTGTGTTTGGGAATTGGGTGTTGGTGTTGGTATTGGGGGTTTGATTGTCTGGGGAGAGATGAGAGGATTAGTTTGTTGTTTTGGGGACGGGAAACTCTGGTGAGGAGACGGAGACGGAGTGAGGATTGCATTGTGTTCTGGGTTTGGTATATATTGAGAAAGAGTTGAGGAGGAAGGAATTACTTACAGAGCTTGTTTTCTTGACTGAAAGTGTAATTGTAGTAGAAAAGGCGGAAAGTATCTAGATGATAGTAAAAGAGTTTGGACAGTCGATTCGTAGTAAAACAGTTTAAATAAACAAAGTCGTCATGTCATGGAACGCATATGTTGTTATAAACAAGGTAACTGGTGCTATGGGAGCTACCCCGCTTTAAGCATTGATCGGTTGAGGGGATCATGACATGGCATGGGATCGGAAATCTCAATACGTCATCATAATCGCATTGCTTGACTAATCGATTTCTTGAGATTGCCATGCCTGCTCTGCTGTGAGAGATCGACGTTCATCGGATAGACAGACATACACGTGGATTTGTGGGTATGAGTTGCAAGGGGCTTAGATTGAAGGATGGACGGGTAAAGAATTGGATCCAAGTCTTGTGTGCAAGAAGAGCGGGAAGAGGTTAGGGAGCGGTCCGGAAAAGCTGGCTTAATCCGCGTTCCCGAAAGCGGATATGTATGGGAGGTTGTGTGGCTAGTGTATTATTTTAATTGGCCTCTTTTACTGGAAAAGATATCTATTTCTATCTCAAACAGTTTCGACATCGATACATTGAGTCTGGACTCTGATTTGACCTTGCGTTCATCTGGCATGCGTTGAGGATCGACATGTGATGTCATTGTGGCTGTAGATCTAGCGGGTGTGGCGCGGAATTGTCACGTACATCATAGCTTACTAGGAGCTGTTCAGACCTCAACTGGGATAAAGCTATTGAAACATTACATTACATAAAGTCGTTCATAAACCCACATTGGGGAACATCAAAATCCGGTATACGATAGTAATACAAGGGAAGTTTTGATTTGATAATCTTAGCTACTTTGACGAGAACAAAAAGCTGGAAGCAATACGTTTCTAGACTTCATTCATAATCGATTAGGAAATGTACTTGACAGCAATCCTCCCTCGCTTATAGAATTATATCATTCTTCACGATATGACGAGTTACCCCTTTGTATCGCTTCCTTGCTCTACGTCAGTTCTCCACTTACGCACCATCTTCATTGAAACTGGGAGGTATAGACTCCTTGGAGCCAAATCGTGTAGCCGCCAACCCGCAATACTACCTATTACTTATAAGATACAAATGCTGAGATACTTTTCACAATATCCGTCCGGAATCAATAAGTAGCTCAAGCGTTGAAGGCGGGCCCACTCCACAAGAATATAAGGGTGTTCTTGGCTCAAATCAAATAAATTTACTACAACATTCTTTGCCACTTAGGCGTATAGTCTATCAAAAACGGAGTCTGCAAATTAAGATATCATCTGCGACTCAAGAAGCAAGGCTTGCAAGGCTTGACAGTCGACAGAGCTAACAGCTCCATTTTGATAATCCCCCAAAACGTTCTCCATCGTTCAATAGTGTTGGAATAGGTCGACTGGACCACTATGGCCATTTGAAGTCGCGAGCAGCTATCGTTGTAGGTGGTGATTTCGATATGATTTCTCGGAGATGCAAGCCCTGTGTTTGGGTTGCAGTAATTTAGTAAAAGGTAAAATTTACCCTTTTCAAGAGCCATGAAGCCAAGCAGGTCGACTTGTCTCGGGGGCTTTCTTCTGGGCTATATATCCAACGTCACGAGCTCGATAATAGAACGCCCTCGTCATGTGCAACGCGATTTCGAATAACGGTGTCTTGATATAAATTATTATCTGAGTCATTGGCCTGTCCCTATCTAGCCATATCCAATACCAAAAGACTTCGATTCACAATATTGCTACTGAAAGCTTGCATTAGAACCGGAGCATCACGAGACAGCCACGGACCCAATTCATGAGAAGAGACTGTAGATACACTAAGGTATGTTGACTTTATCAACCTTAGTGGAAGCGCTTAACAAACATCTGGTTTGGTCAGGGCCTTAACTATGAAAGGGAGTCGAGGAGATCGAGAGATTCTCGCTATATTTCATCCGCGTTCAGCATTCCGTCGATACAGCATGAGGGACGTTGCTATTGCGAATATGGGGCGGCAAAGCGCTACGACATTGTGATTAAGGACTCGAAAGTTTTAAGAACTGAAATCCGGTTGCTTTCAAGAGAAAAAGGTCTAGAGATTCTTGATTGGTGCTTCAGCGGTACGCCATGTTGAATTTCTTTTTCGAAGGTGGGTTCAGGGCCACAGAATCTGGTATAATACTGGAAGCAGATGCGGTGGATTTTGTCGTCATCTTTCCATTCCAATCTCAGTACTATAGGTTCATCCATTTCTACGTCATTCACTCTCACAGACTGTATCTCACTCAAGAATGCATCGTCATGTACGACGTACAACTCCTCTCAATACCACTCCTTTCCGTACGTAGTTGCAGTCTTGGAATTAAAGGGCGCCCGTAGACTTCGGCGCCCAACCCCTCGACTAAAGGTAAATTGCGTCGCAAATTCAGATGCCATCGAGAAGAAATGCAGCAACATATCGAATCAAGTTCGAAGCGGGATCAGGCAATCGAATTCAAAACTACCAATGCGACAACTCATATGCCAACGAAGGGTTGAAGAGAAGTCGCATATTGATCGGTCTTTTCCCCGCTATGCACATGCGACAGTAAGATATTTCGAAAATTATGAATAAAATCGAAGGGAATAGGGGTGTAGCAGAGGAGTAAAGACAAGAATACAGCGCGTGGAATGTACCTGGAATTGCGATTGTATATTCATTCAGGTCGTCGGATATCAATTATCTTGCGTGTTCCTCACTACATTGCGCTCCAGGTATGCGTTAATACAGCATTTTAATGCTGTATGGGACTCCAGAACTTCAAATCGCGAAAGAGGCGTAGTTGTGCAGCTTGAATCCTTCTTGAAGGATCTCGCAGCTCGGCCTTTCGCTCTTACGCTATTAATCATCAATTCGCCTCGGCATAATTAGTTTGATCGTAGGATCTTACATGCGTATGAGAACTTCATAAATGGGCTTCAGGTGGGGGCCAAATACTTTCATCGTCCTTCTTGTATCTCAGGCACAGCTGCGGCACATCATCTTTAGGACTGCCTTCGCTCTTTCGGCTTTCAGCTGATGAACTCTCCTTATTAATCATTGATGTAAATTTGGAGGATTGTTACAAGGTAGCAAATTGTGCAGTGAAAGTATGCACAGCAAGGGTATTCGTGTGTTTCGTGAATAGCTTCACATTTTGTATAAGTAGAATACCATTTCCTTGGCTTTTTTTTATCATCACCTCAGGTCTTCCTATATCTACATAACAATCTTCTACACAAGATAAGCTTATCCAAACGTTTACATGTCCAAACAATTCAAGAACGTCCTCAGATCTTTCACCAATAACAACGATAAAGCTGTCCTTGAAACCCAAACTCAACCTAGCACTACTATCTCCTCTAAATCTACTTCAGCAGCAACAATGTCTACTATTCCACCACCCCGCGCCGTGGTAACCTCGCACACCGCCTCCGGCACCGCCATTATTTCCTCGGATTCTCAACTTCCCCTATTTCATCCTTTCGGTCCTTCGGCCTCAGGTTTCACGACCATTCACACTCTTCCTTCTCTTCCTGCCTCCCTCACCACCCCTATCAACCCCAATGCCGAACAAACTATCCCTCGACCAGCTCCAGCTGGTTTGGTAGTTTGTACAACTGATTTTCCGCCCCATTATGTTACCCCCACTCATCGAACCATCACCTGTGATTACATGATTGTCATGAAAGGTGAACTTGTCCTACGTGTTGATGAGGGGAAGGAAACCGTTTTGAAAGAGGGAGATATTTGTGTGCAGAGAGGCACAATGCATACTTGGGAAAACAGAACTGATGAATGGTGTCGTAAGTTTGGTTTTGCTTAGAATTTTTAAGGGTAACGAGACTAATTGTGCAATAGGCTGCGTGTGTGTTATGACTGGCGGCGAAAAGATCGTCATGGCGGATGGAAAGGCATTGGAGCAAAGTTATACTCCACCAAAGCCCAAGAATTAGATGGATGATCTAGTTGGTGTTTATTTCAGGATGTGCGGTGATGATTGGGTGGTGGTAGAGGAGAACAACATCATGGGAACACTACCGAGCACGATAGAAAGTTCTATCGATGGTGCTAGAGCGAAATGATTTTGTTTTCTTGGGATACACACTATGCATCATTGCAATTGGCACATTTATCCATCAAGCAAGATCACTATGTCTTTTTATCATGTTTATTTATTGCATTTCATTTTAGAATTCAACATCCCTGGGGAGTGCATGGTTGAGTAAAGATGTTTTTCTGATGATATATGAGGTGTATGCAATACTTTATCTACTATTTTGACCTGCCCTACTACTTTTCTTGAACTCTGGATCCGGTAGGATTGTCGCATCTTTGCGTGGAGATTCGTATCTTAATTGATATGGATAATGTTCTTTCTGGTGTCGAATCGTAAGCGTAACATTATGTAATAATGCAGATCCACAACGTACACTTTCAAGTGAATGTTGGAAGCGAAATTGTAATGATAATGATACTTCGCGGATCTTTTCTTTCTTTGAACCTCCTAGGACGCGAGAATCTTATTGTAAGGACTGTTCGCGTCGAGTGCAGGTTGTAGCACAAAGTTCCGCCGATGTTTGGTGATACTAAAGTTGTGACCAAGTCGGTCGCGAATTTGGGTCTTGTAGAACATCTATACATGTCTTGGTTGTGCAAGGCGATGACCTTCAGCAAGGAGTTCTTCTGCGGTGAAGGAGCTTCTTTTAATGCGTTAGCATGTTAAGTCTTGACCCCTTCAATGTGCTCCAACTCACTCTTCTTCTTCTTCTTCTTCTTCTTCTTCTTCTTCTTCTTCCTCCTCCTTAATGCCATCCTTCATCTCTTCGTCTTCGTCGTCGTCATCACCATCCTCTTCGTTAACCTCCGCATCATCATCATCATCATCATCATCATCATCACCTGCAGTACTCTCTGTATCTTCCTCGATATCCTTCGTATCCTCTTCCGAACTATTCCCAATCTCTTCATCCGAGCTAGAATCCTCTACAAGAATAGCCTCATTTACGAGGTACTTTTTAAGATTTCTAGACTTCCACGGAGCCGCCATCGATGTCTTGCCACGAGCAACTTCGACTGACAATTTGTGGATTTGCTCAGCAATATATCCACCACTATTAATAATACTCCTAAAACTCGAATCCTTAAACCCACAAACACGATCACATCCATGATAAACTTTAACATCTGTTTATTTCCCCAATACACAGATCCACTTTCGACCGAGCACCCACGAGTCCAATCACCCGTAAAATCCACTTGATCCCAACATCTCTTCAACGTCGCCGCATCAAACCCAAAATACTTAATAATCACCAACGAAGGATTATTCTCCGACGCCTTCGCACACAGCGCTCTCATAACATCATTCTGGTATCTCGGCGCCCTGAAGGCTTCTCCAAACATCCACAAATCCCACACCATCAATCCCTCAATATCGATGTTTCCAGTATACAACCATTTTCCAAAATGATCCATCAGATCGCTTACAGTGGAGCAAAACATCTTGGCTTCGAATTTTGACTGTGCTTCGTCGAGACAATCGAGGATGCTGAGGGACTGGTTTGGGGCGTGTTTGTCGAGGGGCTTGAAGCGGGTGGAGATGGCTTTTAAGATGGTGATGGGCCAGTGGGTGGTGATTGTGACGTGGTTTTTGGTGTAGGTGATTGAGACCATGTTGCCGCGGAGGAGGCTGGAGAGGAAATCGGGAGGGTTTTCTTCGATTAGCTTTGAGAGAACCATTTTGGTGGGTGGAGAGGGTTTGGAAGTTGAGAATAGATCGAAGTATGAGGTTGTAGGAAGAAGAAGAAGAAGGAAAGAAAGAAATTAGGAGAAGAAGAAGATAAATCCAAAAACCCCTTGCTCAACTACCCCGCTTTGAAAAGTTGAAAAGTCAGTAAATGGGGATGGGTATCCAAAAATTCACTTTGCAAAACCGGGCTATTCACTGCTCGAATTCACTACTTCAATTCAGATCTGAGAACTGAACTGAACGGAACACCCATGAACATTTTCTCATGTTCTTCATCATTTCATTTTCTCTTCTCGAGGGTATGGAGAGATGTTTGCTTGGCATGTTCTATGTTGCTGAGCTTGTGTTCGTTTTCTCTTTCAAGGGGGTGCTTGTGTTGTACATTGTTATTTCTCGTTTTGTGTAGTGCATTGTTCATCGTTTCTGTACTGAGGTTATTGAAGCTGTGATGAAATGCAGTCTGTTTCTTGTATGGTATTCGGCTGACTGTTTGTTTCCTTTGCTAGTAATCTAGGATTGTCTCTCTTACTTCAACTACTGGCTTCGATAATTGTTCTTTAGTTATTGATGAATTCAACTTTATTATCTGGAATTCTGCAATTTTGCGAGGCATGGTTGTTCTCTACGAACTAATTTTGGGGAAATAAGTCAGATATAGTAATTTTGTACTATTCTGTGTGTCGAACTCTTCGAAACTACTTGGTTTTTTTACTCACTGATATTATCTGTTAATTTGAGGTCTCTAATCTTTTCATTAGATTAGATAAACACTAGATATAATAATGAACTCTTATATTCTTGAAAGCTCAGTTTTAAAGTTTCGAAGGCTTTGGAAGTTTGGATACGATAATTATTCATCTAAATCTGTTTATGCTTATTCTATAGTCCATGAATACATTTTATTCCCAAAAGAATCACACTTGGTGAGAACTCATTAAATCATAAAATCGGTAAACAGAAACAGTATCACATCAACTCTGAACTCTTCAAATTCCCCAAACTCCGAGTACATTCCTCTATAACAACTTCACAGAGCCAAACTTTCTGGTTTAAAACCACACGCTTTTGAAATTTGGGAATAAGATCTTCTCAAAATACTTGGCTTAGTTCTTTATCTTTTTTTTTCTTTCTTGATGAGCTATATACATAATAAACTGTGTCGAGATTACACATATATTTATAGGGCTAGTATCTGAACTAGTACAAAGATAGCGAACTTGAGAAGCAGGGGAGCGCAACATATGTAATAAGATGGTACATCGTGACTAGCGATCTGAAGGCAGATAGTCCCGAAGCTATGGAGGAAGCTAGGCGGGATGTTAGAAGGGAAACTAGCGAGTTCCAAATTCCATCAGTAGGTAAACAGCATTGTTTAAGACAGCTCATGAATGCTATGAACTCTGAAGTCAGTTGAATATGAGAGAGAGAGATTCCATGGTACTTGTATTACAAGTTTTCATGATCTGAAGCCGTTATATATCATACATGCATGCTTTGCTCTCGAGCTAGATTCTGAAGCTGATATGAAGCTAAGAGTACTGAGATCTGTCAGGGGTATAAAGTGAAGTTGAGGATAGTTCGTATCACTTCTGAACCTTTCGTGCTACTCTATAGGTCTCAATTAATAATCATAATACTGATTTCGTGATCAATATAGTGATGAGGTCACACAACGGAAGTGGTATTGATCACAGTATTGATATCTATCTCTTATTATATGCCATTCATTTCGAATATTGTTATCGATATCTTATATAGATCTTCAAATGTGTAAATTCATACTACTATTCAATTTAATAATCAAAGGATACTCAAAAATAGATCATAGATGTGCTTATACCTATACTAAATCTAAACTAAGCAAATCGTTTTCCATTCAGCGCCTTGAAGAAACAAATACTTATTTGATTCCTCACTCCTCGAATTCACGTACTTAGGGTCCTCTTCTGAAATTAAATTATCATTCTCATCCAACAGAACCCGATACTCGTATGTTCCCTGGTTCTCGATATTTCTCGTGTGAACATCATAGCCCAGGACAGCAAGTCCCGCCCGCTCGTACTTGCCGTCCGCTACAGGGTGAAGAACTATGATGTTATAGGTATTCGGGTCTTTGTAGAATTGGCCACCGCTTGGTAATACCAGGCCCAATTTGTGCAATTCGAAATTATACTCTCTATCGAAACACACCGGCACGCCAAGAAATATACCCGGCCTTGCAAGAAATGTTGGAATAATTCTGATGGGCGGCCTCCTCAAGTTTTTTTCATTGAAATACTGAGGTCGTAGGTAGCCATCAACTTCATGAAATCGTAGCGGGATAATGAAGGAGGTGATATGTAGTTCCTTCGGATGAATTTCGTGATGTAGGTTCAACTGACGTTCCCGACAAAAACTGTTCAAATCGACAAATCTGTCCTCGAGAGGAATCTGAATCCGAAGAACGCGCTTTACTGCGGAAGTCAATCCTTCTTCCTCGTGTACTGAATTTTCAAGCGGCTTGTTGGCTTCCAGCTCTACTGTATGAGGCCGGATTTCCAATTCATGAAATAAAAAAGTGTTGAATTCGACTGAACCACCCCAGCCTGACCAAGACCAGCTGGGCAGACCATCCCTTCGATGAGCAATAGCTTCATGATTCCATAGCAGATCAAAGAATACCCACCCCTCTTTAAGATACCCAAGCAGCTGTAATGGAACTCCCCAAAGGTGGGACAATGGTCTATCGTCGCCCCCTGCAACTGACTCGTAATATCTCAGGATGCCAGCAAACGCATTCAGGCTGTCACAATCGTAGGATAGATTTCGCTTGCTGTATCCACTTATATGTGACCTAAGTCTGTAGCATTGAAGTGAATAAGCCTCAGTGTCGTTTGGAGGCTTCATTGACTTGAACTCATAGCCCAGATTCTCGAACGGATGACTACCAGGGTCCAATACCGTCTCCTTTGCCTGTTTCTTGTTGCAGAGAAACATTACTTCGCTGTCTGTGAACACTAGTCGTCTTTTAGAGAAGTACCATTCTTGGTAAGTCCACCCTCGCGTAGCCCATTTGCTGCACACAATGGCTGCTTCAACGTCAGAGAATTCAATCAGGTGGATCTCGCCAATTTCTGCATGGCCTTGATAGCGTGGTACACTGATTCCTGCTAAACCATCACTAGCACTGTTACCAGACGCTGCGACTATAGTGGCGTGGGCGCTGCCATAGACAAGATCCATCTGGTTGATCATAGACTGCATATGAGGGGAGTTCGGGTTTTGATCGATGCACTGTGGTGAAGCTTCCATTAGTTCTGTTGTTCACCGTCATGCATGGAGTTTATTTTGCCATAGCTGTAGTGACTCACATATCGATCAACCCATAGATACCGGTAGCCCAAGGCCTTAGTCACGATGAAGGCATCTTGTACGACGGGTGGAAACTCTCCTTGAGTACTTTTGCAAGCAGATTTATCACCCCAAACATAAGACAGAGCGATGTATTCACAATCTGGAGGAGCCTGGCAAATTGTTTCTGTGGTGACATCAATTACACGCAACCTCGCAACTTCGACCCTCGTAGACTGGCACTCTCCATGATCTTCGAGGCATTTGTTTAACATTTGTCTAAGAAAATCAAAATTGACTCTCAAGGGTTCTAGTATGCGAATGCCGACGGTCTCATTGTTCCTGAATTTTTGCGCTATTATGAATCGGGTGTAGTCATAGTAGCCATTTATTTTTGTAGAACCAGCCACAGGTGATTTAACTGCCAGTTTAACACACGCCTCTCCGAAACCCCAAATCCCACTCAAATCCTCACAAACGTCCAAACGTACGACCAGCGGCTGGTCACTCAATTCTATAGACTGATTAAGGACGTCGCTGCCAGATTGTGGGTTGACAAGGCTCCCAACAAGGCGGCAGATGCGACAATTCGAGTTGAGCAATTGGTTACGG